TAGTTGGGCAACAGACTGAAAAATAATTAATTTGTTTATACATGAAAATTGTCGAGTAGCAATACACTGTATACCATAGTGCAGTGTTAAGAAGCACTGGGATGCTATGTCCCAAGATAAATTCCTTTGGCACTTACACTCTAGTCTATCTTTATTCCAAATGTTCATGATGTATCCTACTATGTAAAGAAGTTTTGTACATATTGAAACCTAAACACACATTATAATCTGAAATCTCTTTTTGTGTATATGGAAGCTAAGTGAATCTAGGCCTAAATATGTACACATCTGTTCATTACAGATTACAATTACAGATTACTGTACATTACAGTTCTATTACAGAACTATATGTACATTATCAACCATGCTATGGTGGATTGTAATTTATGCACAGTATTACATAATGATATACTGTATTTACTATGTAATATGATTAATCATTTTGAGAAATTGAGTAATTTTGTATGTTGGTTTAAACAAACAGGGATTGTAGCACAATCTGAAAATCAACCCTTTATCAAATTCATGCATGTTTTGTAACAAATTAATTCTTTACAATGAAAAAATTAGAGAATAATATTTTAAGGACTTGACTTCTAATATACTTTTGTTTTGCTGTTTATGTGGATCTACAAGATTCATATATATATATATATATATATATATATATATATATATATATATATATATATATATATATATATATATATATATATATATATATATGTCGTACCTAGTAGCCAGAACGCACTTCTCTGCCTACTATGCAAGGCCCGATTTGCCTAATAAGCCAAGTTTTCATGAATTAATTGTTTTTCTACTACCTTACCTACCTAACCTAACCTAACTTTTTCGGCTACCTAACCTAACCTAACCTATAAAGATAGGTTAGGTTAGGTTAGGTAGGGTTGGTTAGGTTCGGTCATATATCTACGTTAATTTTAACTATAATTAAAAAAAATTGACCCCATACATAATGAAATGGGTAGCTTTATCATTTCATAAGAAAAAAAATAGAGAAAATATATTAATTCAGGAAAACTTGGCTTATTAGGTAAATTGGGCCTTGCATAGTTGGCCAAGAAGTGCGTTCTGGCTACTAGGTACGACATATATATATATATATATATATGTATATATATATATATATTATAAGATTTATATATATATATATAAAACCCCTTACAAAATAAAACAATTATATACAGTACTGTATTGGTAAATTTTTCTTAGAAACGATAGAAGAATGTTTCTGTCACATATTTCAGAATGTGTAAATCTATAAATGTTTAATATTTATATCCTTAGAAAATAATTGGGATTTTTTTTTTCAGAATGTCATATCTGTGCTGTATCCATACATCAACTGATGGCAAACTTGAGTGAGTATTATTAATGGTATTCAATTATATTTAGAAATATTATTTGACTGAAAAATGCTGTTAAGCTGCATAAAATATACAAAAGTGTTTCAACAAACTAAATTTACTACAATAAAGATGGTTACAATTTGGCAGCAAAGATGTTTGTATCATTGTAATATTCTCAATACCAATATACAGTAGCTGCATTCAGAGTTTAAGGGGCCCGGTGATTGAGGAGTATGTTTCCAAATAAAAATCAAGTGAAAAATCTATATATAGTGAAATTATATATATACTGTATAATGAAATTTTTTAAACAAATTTCCATTATTTGGCATCAGCGTTGTGAAAATTTCATCCCAATATGTTAAGAAATGGATTTTTTTTACATTTTTTTTTTTAAATAAATGCATGCGCAAGAGAAGGCAACCTGTACTGATAATAACGATAACACCTCCTATTTACTAGAAATCAGGGATAAGAAGATGCAAGCACCTGTCCAACGCACAAAAAAGAATAGTAGTATGTAGTAAGGAGGGTCCACAAAGTGGATATATGGCCAGTCCTCCAGCTGGTGCCACCTAGAGGACCGGATTTCACACATAATGAGTTAGTATGTTATTATGCTGTATATTATTATATATCATATAAATACATTGCCCAGTGGCAATATTTCTTATGTCTCTTTGTATGAAAAGCTGACAACCCCTTTTATTTTTATTTTTTCTATCTCTCCTTTGTTTCTGTGTGGATTTTGTTGTGAGTTCTACATTTTGGAGAGTGCATATCCAGGACTATGCATGTGAAGGTTTAAGGAAATTGGTCTTCTTGTTAATCAGCCACATGTAGCAGAAGTTGTGATTTTTTTCGGGTGGGGGAGGTGGCCAATTTATTTACAGATTTCAAACTCTATTCACTTTGTATTGTATTGATGAATTTAGGTTGTATTCATGAATGTTGAATACTTTGGGTTGTATTGATGAATGAGGGCCTTATCACATATATTCCAGTAACTTTATTGCCCATATATATGTTTGTTATCCCTAATCAATCCCTATATTTTGTATTTTTGGGTGGATTATTTTTTCTTGGACTTCATTTCAACACATAATGACCTACAACTTTTACATAATCGAGTACGAATGCCAAGCAGTCTTAATTAAAACTTACAAGATATGTCATAAATTCGAAGTATGTACTATATTCATTGTCGAGAACTTTAACTTCATTTTTCTTTATGAACAGAATTTTCAACTTTGAGACACCATAAAAATTCAGTTTCTGACCGATTCTCACCATTTTTACATATGTGCAAAGCTCTTAGTTTTAAGGTTTCTTCTGGTTCGTTTAGTCATAAAGCCATAATGTTTGTTGTTATACATTTTTTTGCGTCTAAATTTTGCACATATTTGGATGGCCACATTGAAAAAATGTTTTACAGTAAACTATACTCTCAAACAATATTTTCTCTAGAGGAACATGAACGTTATATGCAATTCTGAGACCGTAATGAATAAAATAACAATTAGTGACATTTTTATACTGAATTTGAAATTTTTAATTTTTTAATTTTTGTTTTAACTTTTTTTCTGTTCATGGTATGATGTTGATCCATTAGGAAACGGAGCATTTACCATGAATATATTATTCACAAAAAAATGGAGTGTGTTTGAGGAATTTCTGGTGCATAGTCACCAGGCCCCTTAACAGTGGAGTTTAACCTAGGTAGTAAATGTCCTATGTCCAACACACATTCTTAATTATATTATCTTTTATAACTATTGTGTACAAATATGCAGCTGTTGAACAATGAATTAAAAAAATTTTCCTTTGCAATTATGCATATTTCCAATTAAATGAAATAAGTTGCTAAATTCCATAAAAAAATGCAAAATAAACTTGTTACAAACATATATTTTGTACTACAGTGGCACCTCGACTTACGACTGCTTAGTTACGAATTTTGAGACTTACAAATTTTGTGAGTTACGACCCCAATTTCTTAGAAAAATGAGACTCGACTTACGACCATAAGTGAAAGTCGCTTAAAACCATGTCGACCCATACACTGGGTCGACTGAGCATGTGGTTTCTGGTGGCACGGGCGACCCCGCCTCAGTTTACCAGAGCCGCCCGTTTAGTGATTGCGCTTGTAAAGAATTTCATTGTATTTTTCTTTTTAATGTAAAAGTAATTATATATCACGCCATGGATCTCAAGAAAGTCAGTGGTAAGGTTCAACCTAAGAAAACACATGTGAGGACGACCATAGAGGAAAAACAAGAGATCATTCGTAAACAGAAGTTGGTGTGCCGGTTGTTGATCTAGCTAGGCAGTACAACAAATCTATGTCAACAATATCCACCGTACTTGCTAAGAAAAAGGACATTATGAGTGCTAAAGTGGCAAAAGGCATATCACTATTCACAAAACATAGAACACAAACACTTGAGGATGTTGAAAAGTTATTATTAATTTGGATACAGAACAAGGAGTCAGCGGGTGATAGCGTTTCAGAGATCATCATTTGTGAAAAAGCAAGGCTATTGCATGAAGATCTTATCAAGAAACCCCTGGAACGAGTGAAGGAGTTTAAGGTGAGCAGGGGATGGTTTGAGAAATTTAGAAAAAGTGGTGGCATTCACAGTGTTGAGAGTTGGTGGAGAAACACAGCAAAAAACAGACCCCTGAAGAACTCCTAGCCCTTCACAAGGAGCAGCAACAAGAGACAGCTGAGGAAATTTCTTCAGGGGAGGAGGAGGCAGTACAGAATGTCCCTTCCTCAACAATTAAGAAGTTAAGAAGTGTGCAGTATGGGAAGAAATGCAAAGTTTAGCTGAAATGACTCGCCCAAATCGAGCTGCAATAGGCCGTTGCCTTAACTTTCTTAATGACAGTGATGCCTCACTACAGACAAGTGTTCAGACGTAGGGAAAAACAAGTCTCTATGGAAAGGTTCTTAGTGAGAAAAATAAACAGTGAGCCACAACCAGGTCCTAGTGGTATGCAGGCAAAACGCAGGGGAGAGAGAGAGTACCCCAGAGAAATCGTCACTGCCTGATATAATGAAAGGGGACGCTCCTCCTCCTCACCATCCTCCATACGCCAACAAGTGTCCTCAATAAAAATAAGATATACATACTGTATTGTAGCTAGCACAAAAAGACTGGTATTTGGTATAAAATGTATCTTGAAGTTAATCTGTTCCACACCCCCAAAAATATTAATTCAATTTACATTATTCTTATAGAAAAATTCATTTCAACTTGCGACTCGTCTCGAACGGATTAAATTCGTAAGTGGAGGTACCACTGTACATGTACTTAGAATTCCAACAAGATTTATGTAGATTAATTATTCCCAGCAGTGTATTTAATAGTGAAAGTGGAATTTTTTCTGTCTGAAGTGACAAGGACAAAAGTTAAACTTAGTATACCAATACTTATGATTCTTCCCAGACTGAATTTTCACGACAAATAATGTAAGCTAAAATTTAAAATGCAGCATTATTAAGATGGTGATGAATTATGAATTTTAATGGAAAACAAAAAAACTTACTATAATGAAATTGAATATACAGTAATATTGAGCATAATGTGACTGATATTTTGTAGTTGGATTAAAAAAAAAAGTGTGTGATCAACCATCCCACTCTGGATGTAATATTTATTATTAACATTTACAACAATAAAATTAACAGGTAAAGTTATAAGTGCACAAATTGCTGCTTGAACATTTACAAATGTTTTAGGGAAGGATTGGGGAATTTTCTCAGGAAGCATGAAAGAATGGTAGCTATACATTTGACACATTAATTCCTAAAATTACACCAATTTATCGGTGCATCCTTGAATAATTAAAACAAGGATCTTATACAAGAAAAGCAGATATCTGCTTATCTTTAAGATGTCTTCTTTATTATATCAACACTGACGTGCAGAGACAATATCAATGTGCAATTAATTAAAGAAAAAAAAATATTAACTCAAAATCAGAATGATTACAAAAATATCTTGAATTTTGTTAGTGCTGTAATGAATACTATGTATTTGTTTTTCAAACTTTCATACAATTAATAAAATATGAGGGAATATGTAGAAGCCAATGTGCCTTTGTAAAATTTGCTATGTACATATGTATGTATTATACTTATGCATACACACACTGAACCACTTTGATAAACAAAAAACCTAGACAATACCTAAGGCTTAAGTAAAATGGTTTCTGCTTTGATTACATCAAAATTGCTGTCATATTAAATATTTAATTATAAAATGGTTACTTATGTAGTTATACCTGTATAAGAAAATAATTCATGATTTTAATATTAACTAAATCTAAACACTGCATTAGAAAAGAGAAAAATGACAATATTTTTAAAAGACTAGAATGCAAAATTTGTGATGCATATTTACTCGTTACTTTGCTAGTACTGTACAGTCAAATATCACAAATAATGTGTAACAAGCAGATATGCTTAAGCTGTTGCTATATGCTTTACCCAAGTGTGAGAAAACCCTATGTTGCCTGTTTTATTAAGGAGTATAAAGCAAAATTATGAATAGAAATTGAATCGTTACCTGACTAGCAAAAATGTTCTTACTGAAAATATTAATGCTTGATAAACTGTATAATGCCAACTATTATTTCCCTATTGCAAAGAAATGTGAAAGCAACAGCATTAACTTTAATGACTTGTCAGAAAAAAATTGTAAGGAAGAGTGGCAACCATTTATGATACTTGCCATGTCACTGTAGTTTAAACTCAAATAATCCACCTTCAGTGGTACCTAGTATGATATTTTAACTATCACATTAAGCCGAGATGTGTAGTCCTCTTTACATTATCATTCGGCTTGTTTATCATGCAAATCAAGTAGAATAAAGAGAAACACAGTCTGCCATCGGTTCATCACTGCCAATGGAGTCCCAGTCGTCAGTCTCGGATTCTGACGATACATTATCTTCCACTCCAGCACCAGTCATAGCAACTCTGGCATAGTCATCAGTGTCTATGCTCTTGCAGAAATGAATGGCGTATTTTAATTTCTCTCGAAGTACAGCCTGGAAAAAAATGATAATACTGTACTGCTTAAAATGTATACAAATAAAAAATAAATGGAAAGTGTGGCAAGAAAGGCAAGGAAATGGGAGGCAGTAGAAAACTAAAACATTCTTCTCCTTGAGAAAATCTGTAGGAGCCGTGATGAGGATTCAAACTTGTGTGGTGGGAGTTCCCACGCACACGCCTCGGTCAACTAGGCCACGACCTGGAAAAGGATTGCAAACTAGAGTTCTACTGAGCTCACAAGGCTTTCCCGAGGCTTCCACTAAAACTCGACCAGGATTTTCAGTCTCCCCATGCACTCTGGCTCTGTCATCCAGGAATATTTACCTCTGATGATCCTCTTTCAATATACAGAGTAATCACACTAATGTGATGTAAATTGCCATCCACACTTCTGTGGAAATAAACATTCCCTTCCCCAGGACTGTATGGGTCTTGAACCGTGGACCCCATGCTTGTGAGGCCGTAGCTCTATCGACTGGGCTATGAGCAGTCTTAAAAAGGAAAGTTTCCTGAAGCAGCATCCTGCTGCCAAACTATTTTTTTATTTTAAATAACTTCTGGAAACTTTCCTTTTTAAGACTACTCAATAGCAGATAGAGTTAACGTGATGTGTCAATGAGAAAATCCGTAGGAACCGTGACATTCCTATGAACCGTGATGCTTCTTTGAACCTATGCGGTGCGTGTTCCTAGGCACCTAGTTGACTCGACCCATTTTCAACTCAAGTCCATTACATCCAGCGGTCGACCCAACAGACACATTCATAAATGTTTACATGCTGTTCATTCAAAACGGGAATTTTCTTAAATATACATTAATATTATAATACATTAGCACAGGTTAGGTTAGATTAGGTGTTTAGGTTCTGTTGGTGATTATTTGTATTTGTAGTATGTGGGTGAAGCATTTACAAAATTGTGGTTCGAACAAAATTCGTCAGTGAAGCACTTGTTCCGGAAGTGTACGAACGAAATCAGTTGAGAGTCGTGTGTAAACTCTTTTTCATTCATAAATGGGGGGTTTGGCAGGTGCATGGAATCACTTTTGGGTCTTTGTTTGGAGGACGGGCTGAGTTAACTAGGACATGTGCATGGGAACACCCACCACAAAGGTTCAAATCTTCATCACGGCTCTTATGGATTTTCTCATTGACACATCATGTCAGTGTGATTACTCTGTTTATTATTTGTCTCATCATCCCTTCCTGGTCCTCTTCCCCCCCCTCCCCCTCACTCACTCCATTCCCCAACTTACTAAAATACCGTTTGTCCTCTCCAACTTTCCCCACCTTTGCTTAATAATTCCCTCCATAACTATAGTATTTGCCTTCTCTCCTATTTCATCCTTTCCTCTGTTCCATCTCCGTACCTTACTGCTCTCCTCTTTCCCTCCTATCCCCTTAATCTTTCTTCTTTTTACCACTTCTCTCTCATAGTGCTCCTCTTCCTTTATTTCCTTTTATTCTACACCAACTTTGTACCCTCTGCCTCTCTTCCCCAACTCAACCTTCTTCCCATTTTCTACCACCACCTACCCACTGAAGTGGAGGAAATGGAAAATACATGAACCGAAGGGAGTAGAAAAGAAAAAGGCAGATGGGAAAATGAAAATTATGATTCTCTCCAATTTTTCATCCTTTTTTGCTATGAAAACCTGTCATTCATGTAAAAGAATGTAAACACACAGCTTTTATGCCTCAGGAAGTCTGCTATGATTCCTAAAGTGTTCATAATTAAATATCCCAAGCAATGACTACCCCAAAAGTTATCCCTTTCCATGAGAACGTACCGAAGAACTGTACTGTAATCTCATGCCTGACTTAACACATCACTAACCTTGCAGGAATAACGTGGCATCTTTAGAAGGAAGAAACACGTGTAGGATTCTGGCAGAAAATGATCTGGTGGAGTGTACTTATCCAGAACCTACGGAGTGGAAATTAATGTTAAACAAATTTAAATTATGATTTTTTAGTTTTTATATTCATTCCATAAGCATTGTGAATTTGAAACTTTAAAAACCCAAATGATCATCTTTTAAATATATTTCATACTATATATTTATCACTTTACAAATATCATGTTACATTTGTACAAAATTCTTAGTGAAGTGCACCTTCATAGATTATGAAACATTTCCATAAATTTTTATTGCAAATACAGTGATGCCATTATCCAAAAGAACTTTGAGAAAATTAGTCCATTTGTGTATAATTTAAATAAAAAAAAGTAAAATAAAAAAAAATTGGTTACTTGAAAGATGATCATTCGCAACCCGTTCTCGCAAATTTAATAAGTCAATATTGACTTATTAACTACGTGCATAGGTGATATACTAAACATAATAGATACCCTTAAAAAAGATTCATAGAAAACACTGACCTTACCTAACATTGCTAGTATCTTAAGATAAGCATCTTATTGCTTCGTAATTACAATTATTACTTAACCTATACCTATTATAGGTTAGGTAATAATTGTAATTACGAAGTAATAAGATGCTTATCTTAACATACTAAGTAGGTTAGGTAAGGTCGGTGTTTTCTATGAATCTTTTTAAGGGTATCTATTATGTTAAGTATGTCACCTATGCACATATTTAACAAGTCATTAAATTTGCGAGAACAGGTTGTCATTCGGTATGAAGCAATTATCCCTCCCCCCCTTCCCATGCACCTGGAATTTTTTTTCCACATCCCATAGTGTTCATTTAGGTCTTCTTGCTTTAAAAACTGTACCTGGTACACATTGCCATCTGTCAGTGACTGAATCAAACAGAATAATGTTAAGAGTTGTACACTTTATTCATGAGTGCAGGGATAACCACCCTGTGAATGAACCATGAAAGTTGTGCCCTCAAGCAAGGAACTTAAGGTACAAGAGTTGAAGGCTCTTGTACCTTGTCAAAACACGACCTTACCAGAATAGGGCCTCGACAGAACGCTGAACACTCGCTCAATGCCAGGATTGACAATGGAGACCAACCTAATATATTGTGTCCTCAGGGCCAAACAACAAATATTGGCAAACTCTCCAACTTAGATAGGACTGGAACAACATTTGGATTGTAGGTACCAGTAGAAAAAGGTCCACCTGATCCAGACCAAGCAATATGTATCCAATGCAAAAGCCTCCAATTGGGGAAGATAAGAATGCTTACCAGAAATGAAAAACCCACACAGTGGCTAAGAGATCTACTTGTTGATTGCCAATCACCACACAAGAAACCCATTCTAAGCCACATCAATCTCTTAAAATGGAGCAGAATCAGGAGAGATTATCGACAATCGTATCCAACATGCACCAATTGTGCATCATTTGGGAGACAAAACCCCAAGAATACAAGAGAGAAGCTACAGCTAGAATCTAATACCACAGCAGTTGGAAAACTATCAAGACCCTCCTGCCCCCCCCCCCTCCCATTCCCTTTATCAAGCAAAACTATTAGAAAACAGACCAAAAATCAGGATCATTGATTCTTGAGGGTAGAAGATGCACTGAAGTGCCATCCAGACCATCATTACCATTCTTGCTGACATGTAAGTTAGCTGCAATGATGGAAAGTAACAACCCTGATTGGTGTGGTGAATATTGTACCAATAATGAAAAGAAAACTCCATCCCCCGGCCTGACAGGTCTTTCGACTCAACTGGGATGGAGGTTGGGTTTGATGAGGTTGGGTTTAGTCCTGTGAACCCACCTGCTGATTCTGTTGGGAAGGACAAGGCTGCATTATGAACCACATATCCAACACCCCAAAAAGGTAACAAAGGAAAAAACCAAGTCCCTAAGGCCCCTTCACACAAACAATGACTGGACCCCTCAGTGCAAGTCAGGTTATGGGGACCTAGCAAGCCCTTGAAAACTCTGCATAGAAAAGAAAAATCATGCTGGACCAACACAGAAGAAACACTAGTGATATTTTAATCTGGCATTGCACCATCACACAAAATTTGCTGCAAACACACCACCACAACCAAGCCACATTGAGTAGACAATTTAATGTTCACATGTTGTGCAATATATGCATCCTGTACAATTATCTACAATAGGGGAAAAGCATGCAGTTGAAGGGTTATTATGCAAAGGTCATGCTTTTAAAGATTTATGTAGAAAGGAGCAACATTGAGAGTTCATCAAATTAAAACAATGCATTTTTTTCTTTTACTCCATGTAGCAATGAAGACTATACAAATTAGAAGTCACCAATTTAAAATAGGAATATAGTACAATAACAAATTTCTATACTGAGATGATTGCCAAAATGGGTCAATTTCAATCATATTTGCCTCTACTCTCTCCCACTCCCTGTTGGAGTGTACCAAGAAGCATGAAAAATTTTACCAAGGCTATTTTTTTATAGTGAAAGACTGTATGGTTGAAACAAAAAATACTAGACAAATTACATTTTAATACTAATAAAGCTTCTGTTAATGCCCTAATTTCTCTCTCTAAACATTTATAAATATTTATAAAAACTTACTTGGAATACAAAATCACGTCCCCTAAAATCAGCGATGGTGCGAGGTAGACGTGTTCTGCCCCAAACAAAACGAAGGAATAGAGATCGTTCAGCAGTACTGAATTCTTCCATTACCTCCCAGAACCACTGGACTAAAGGCGCTGTTGCCTCAACACCTAATGATAAATGCATTTTCAGTACAATACTAAGACAAATGTACATTATACACTTAACACATCCATATGGATAATTTTCTACAATTCAATATAACCTAATTTGGTTTACAATTTCACTAGACAGAATGAATGCAAAACCATTCTTTTAGAAACTGAAAACTGGATTTTTTTTATAAACACACATTAAATTCCTATAAAGAATGAAACAAATAATTATCATTGAATGTAATGAAACACTCATTTTCTAGTTAGCCTCAGTAGCGTCCTGGTGCTCTGGCTCTGGCACAAGACATGCAACCAAAGCACCACCAGGCCACTGGACTTGCACAGGCCAACCATGCATGAACACCTGAATCTTTTTGTGCTCAAGAGGTCAGAATTGGGATAAAAAAAATTGACCCAAAACTTGGGTATAGTGCAGTTAGTTGACACTGGTCAAACTACTACTACCCTCATTTCTATATTTTCTTTGAATAAATCATTTTGATTCATCTGTACTTTCTGGGTAGTTTTACTCAATTTTGGGTCACTGCCGGATCCCAGTCCTCCCCTCGACTCTATGAGCACCCCAGATTCTGGTGTTAACACTTTCGCGCTTTAGATTAGAGATAACTCGTCGCCGTTTTCTCTTACGATTCCGCATAACCCGAGTTTTCTCGTCCATCGAAAAAATATTTCTATAAATTCCATTTTTTAACCGAAATGGATGGGGATACTTTTGTTTTGTAGGGAATTTATTTGCGAATGTTTTGGTACCAGAATGAATATTATATCACATAAACTTCTATGAGTAAAAACAAAAATACACAAAGTATGTTTGGGGGTGTGGCAGTGGGTTCCCTTTAGCCGTTGATATATCCAACACGTGGGAAATATTTGTATGTGTTATGTATATGTCTGTGTAGGGAATTTTACTGCGATCACTGTCATACAAATTATAAAATGTTTCAACAAGTATAAACATGACAAACATTAAACGAACGAAAACAATGCGTTCGTTTCTGCCGCGAACGCATACTGAGCGACGTGGTTCTATATTTGGCGCTTCTCTTACACATGCTTTGTACAAATGTTATACAGTTCATCTTATAGAAAATTTTATTGCGAACACATTGGTATAAAAAAGAAATACGTACATAGAAAAGTAGGGTCAGGAAACGTATAAACTTTCCAAGCATGATTTCCCCCCTGTGTTTTCGCCAGTGCGCTCGCGGCTAACTACTCTCCACTTCACACACTCTTGCGGGTGGGCAATTACCTATATTAAACATTCATATGCATATGTCCGTGTAGAGAATTTTATTGCGATTCCAATGATACCAAAATTAGCGATGTAGGACAACTGTAGGCTTCGCAACCATTAAGAGAGTGGAAACATTTTGTTGCTGTTTGGCGCTCTCGGCGAGTGATCTGCATAGTTTTTTATTTGGTGTTGATACTCCTTATGCTTGGGCGGCATTTTATAGGTATGCTCTTATAGACAATTTCATTGCAAACACAGTGATACCAAATTTAAATACGTGCGCCTTCAATTATTGTCAGGACAGTCAAAAGAGTGTACACTTTTCGGTCTTACCGCGTAGGCGCGCGAAGTGCCGAAAGCATCTGGGGTATTGTTTTTTTTTTTTGAGCGCCGAGAGCGCGAAAGTGTTAATATCTGGTAGACTTGTGCAAGTTCAGAGGCCTAGAAATATTTGTGGTGTGTGTCTGGTACCAGGGTCAATACACCACAAAGCTACCCAGGCTCACAACCTAGAAAGATAATCGCTATTTTTCACTTTAAATCTTTTGAATAATTCACAATTTAAGTGAGCATTTTTTATTTGTTACTTACTATTTAATTTATGAAGATAGATAATGAAATAAAGAAACTGAACTGTTAAATTTGTTTTCTGAGTAATGTAATGTTTTAGTTTTTATTTGTCATTATATATTCCATGCCTATTGCACCTATTTCCACTCAGTCATTTGACGCGTACAGCACAGTACTTAAATTCACCAGAATTCATAAATTTATCTGGAATAAATATAAGTTGCTTGACTGCCAGTGCATTCAACACATTTCATGCCTATTCTAAATGATTTGAGAATATTTAAATTATAAATATATGCAATATCTATTAAAACTGAAGATCCTCTACCTTTGTAGGTAGCAACACTCTTGAGAAGATTGAGAGGAATGTCTGGGGATCCACAAACCATTGTCTCCAGTTCATAGGGTGTAAACAATGAAAGAAGAGGCACAGGTATGACCCTTGCCATGCCTGCTCTCACACTTGAAACTTGCGCATCAAATTCATGCAATCTGTCAAAGGAGAAAATAATTTTTTTTATGACATACAATAATGTATTATTGTATGTCTAATATGTATATATTATACATTATATATATATATGTATATATACTAATATGTATAATAAGGGCAAATGAGAAAGGTAGCCCCTTGCCGGCACATTTTGCGATATGAATAGATTGGTGTAATGAATAGGTGTAGTGAATACATGGTGGCATAGTAAATACAAGCTGATGTAATGAACATATGTAGTTTGATTTAATGAATATAGGCTGTGTATTAGATACGGTAATCACATTCTTGCATAATGAATACAGTAAAGGAGGAATAACAAGAAAAAAAAAAAGAGGAAAAGGTGGCAGTTCTACATGTCATGTGTGAAAACAGTGGTCAAGGTGTTAGGTGGAACTTTGTTATCAGTAACTTTATACAAGCGAGTTCTAGCAATTTATGCCCCAACTGCTAGCTTTATTTTACATGTTTTATGGTTTAACTGTTGTGGAGTTAACAACTGTGGTGGTTGGTGATCAGGTGGTGATGGGAATGTTAATAATTGTAGAGGTGGTAAGATGGAAATTGCTTGAAGTAATGATAGCAATATTGTGCTTATATATATCAATGATTATGGGGGAGGGAGATCTAGCTCATTATGCCAAACTACCCTAGCCTTTGCACAAGAAGTTCAACTTCTGCAGCATTCACAATCTTTGATTAACAGGCACTGCTGGGAACTGGGTACCCAGATGAGCTAGTCATTGAAGTAGGCCAAGACACCTGCACTCCTTGGGGGCCCAAGATCATGAAACACCACCCTGATTAGCCTGGTGAGCCTACTGAACATTCTGGCTGCCAGATTTAACCTGAATAACAGAGCTGTGAAGTGGTAACTTGTGTCACTGATGCAAAACTTAAAAGTAGTAAAAGAACTCAAAATAAATTAGGTTGTGACTATAATAATCCTGGAGACCCTGTAGTTTAACTGTAGTTGGTTCTGTGATTAGTTGTTCTCTAAGCCTGGTCTGGGGCCAGGCTTGTCATATGAAACTACCTCATGCTGTTGCCTGCAGTAGCCCACAGAAATACACATCCAGTACAACTCGGCTGATCTGGCACTTCCTGCACGAATTTGTTCAATTACCCCTTGAAAAATCTCACTTTTGTTATGGCAATATTTTTTATAGCGTACTTAACGGAAAGAGGTTGAAAAGCCATGGGCCTTTGATGTTCATATAGGTCTCTATGCTTATGCCACCTTCAATCTTCACTAGGTATATTTTGCATTTCCTAACAAATAGATCAAAGATGACGAGCAAAAATATGGACATAACCAATAGAGCATGTATAGTTGTGCAAGGGAAGTGGGCATTGATCAATAATAAATTTAGGAATGCTTTTTTTATTGGAAAGAGAGTGAGTCATAAACAACCCCTCCTTGTCTATCGTCTGTATCTAAGAGCAGTGGAGGATGGTTGCCCATGACCAATAACACTTATGGAAGGATATTATCAAAGGTCGACTTCTTTGCGTCTTAAGGGTCTTGCTTGGATGTGTCATCCCAGCTAGACCCATAATGATCATGAAGAAGTCACTCAGACAATACCCTCCAAGCCCACAAATACCTGACTCAAACCTGGTGAAACAGTGAGATTTTCAACCACCCACCCCACACTGCCACCTGGACTCATCTAGGAATGATGTATAAAAAAAGGATTGGGAGCAAAACTTCAGGAAGCAGATGGTGCTGGCCCATACGAAGGCAGAGAACAGCAAGAACAACAACTGCGTTGAGTCGGAAGTTTATGATCCAAAGCCTATACCTTCAGCAAGAGTCCACCAGGCTACAATCCCAGGAATTATAATTAGAACCAGCTAAGACAATTCAATTTCATGAATTTTGCAGTAGTAGTGTGCTCTGTTTATTATTATAATTATTCAGTGTTCCTCATTGATTTTGCTATCATTTACATCCCCGTGGCGTAGTGGTAAGACGCTCGCCTGGCATTTCGCAGGCGTTTTGACCTGGGTTTGTAAGCTTTCCGGGGAGGATTTACTGGATGTCATTCCTTAACTGTTTACCCAACAGTAAAATGGATATCTGGTTGTTAAACAATTTGGCAGGTCATATTCAGGGGAATATTAGGATTAAGGACTTGCCTGAAATGCTATATGCACTAGTGGCTGTACAAGAATGTATGGAATTTTTTTATATATAAATACAAAATATCACGAGCAGTATTGCCATCAACATCTAAAAACATCTAAAAAGTAAATTAAGTACCAGAATCAGTGAATTAGAGGAACTGTATTGAGTAATAAAGCAGTACTATACTGGTATTGGTCAAAATATTGTTATCAGTACAGCTCTATCAGCAGAATCAACAAATAAAAATTTGCAATTGCTGCCTGTAAGAGTGAATGAGGCATATAATTTGAAAACATTTGTGATGAGCATTTTTTCAGCAATGTTCTCCAATTTTAAGCCTCATTCAGGTACATGACCTTACCTGTAATTCAGAGCCAGGCGGACATATTCATGTCTAGTGGCCAGTGTAATTCTAGTGTGTCGAGTAGAGAGTTGGACATCATGACCAGCTGCTGAAGTAGTTGTGAAGGGCAAATCTAGGCTAGAAAAGGTTTTGTCATCACCTTCCATTTGCTGAACACACATCAATCCAGGTACATAGTGGCGATCAACCTGTAGGTGGGTATTTCCAAAACAATCATGTAAATGGGCAACTTATACACAAAATTAATTCATGTTTACCCAACTATGCCCATTACTGTCAGTCACTACTGCACACAACATAGTTAAACATTGTTTACTTTGTTAAGCAATAACATATTATGAAGAAAATTCTGATCTCTTAAAAATGAATAATTGTAAGATTAACAATAATTATTATACAAGATAACTTCCTGATACTCTGGTTCATTTGCAACTTATTTTCATCTAAAAATGAATTAATCAAACTGTATATAAAGTATGTCACAACAGTCATCCTTGGCAACACAAAGACACACCTATCAATAGGGTCTCTATTACACATACTTCTCAGTATGGTCTCTTTCCTACAGACGCAACTCTTGTATGCATAATATCTATAGACATTTCCTTGAGCTCTTGTACTAGTGTAGTTTGGCCTTGAGCCAAACTACACTCGGTTCCCAATCAGCAATGCATTTAATTTTGTCAGCTCACGCATTGCCACGGCCATCACAATCTGACATGATGAAGTACTTTCTGAAGAGAAACACATCTATTCTTGAAGTTATCAACTGTTATCTCAATAAAGTTCCTAACCATTACCAGTTAACATAATTAAAAAACAAAGCCTCAAGCTTTCATCATGTCTATGAGGCTTAAAACTTCTTTATCTTGCAGAAAAGGCAGAATATGTACCAGTAAGGAATGAGAAAGAACAAGACCAAAAGGTACACTCCACACTTTCCCAGTGGTTGAGGCAGCTTTAACTACTACATTAAACAAATATTATACAAAATGTGCAAAAGGAGACTTGCTTCTGTTATGTCGGCTGGAGTCAAGGCCATCCCAGCTAGCTGTTTCCAGACTGGCTCAGCCAAGTTGAGACTCAAGGGACTACCTGTCCTTATTGCTATCCCCATCAACACACCTGAAAAATAGTTACTGATAGAAACTATAGCATACTAACAAAGGTATTCACAGAAAACTAAATATTTATTAGACAGAAAGGAAAATACTTTAAAGGGAATATAGTATTAACACTACTTAACAATTTAAATAGACGTTATTAGAAAAATTACAAATTTATTTCTCGGAGGCAAGATATATTAATATGATTGTATTTTATAAACAAAATGTGACTAATGTTCTGGACTATTTGGTTAACCTCATTTATTATGGGAAAGGCATTGCAAATATTCAATACTACTTACCAAGGTATGTAAACATATTCAAATGGTGAGATGAATTGGCTTGAGGGTTCAAGAGGAAACAATCCCGTGAGGTTCCAGCTTCATCCCTACCATTAGGTGTTGGGATAAGTAGTGGCAGTGATCCATTCATAAGCTCATCACACATCTCTGCTACACTCTCACTATAGCCACCACCACAGTCATCAACACTTTCACCTGTTGATGACAAGTCAAATGATAACATTATTGTCTCAGAACAATAACTAAGAATTTGCAGAATACATCTTCAGAATCACAGATCCTATTGAAGTGTTAATAATCTTTAAAATAAACCAATACTACAGTACCATCACCTGATATGATTCTGCAAGAATTGCTGAACATTATAAAAGAATACTAATTTGGCTAACAAACACACATTAATAAAAATGACAATTTACAATATAGTGAAGGTAAACAACTGCCTATCCTTGTGTACTTGAGACACAAACCTCTGTGTAGACAGCACTCAGAGGCTCAAGCCACTTGATGGTGGGCAGGATTAAAAGCTATGAAGGCAGGAGGCAGACTGTTACTGAACCCACAACAATATCATTGCAAATTGGAAAAGGGATTCTGCATTGTTGCAGAATCCCCTTCTAGCTTTTAATCAAACTCACAGCTTAAGTGGTTAGTACAGTACTTTTGAATTTCATCTACACCATCAAGGTTTTGTGGCCCCTAGTATTCCAACCCGTCCTTCTGTTTAGATAGTAGTTTCTGTAACTGTGTGCACCCTAGTACAAACATTAACATACTAAGAAATTAGATATTGTACTAGAATTTGGTAATATTCACTTCAGAGAGTTAAAAAAAATTAAGCTAAAATACAAATACTCCTAGGCCCAGCATAGCACACACTTGTACTATATTAGGCCTCAGATAGCATATATTAGGCCTAGGAAGGTTAGGTTAGGTTGTCTTTTAACTATAAATAAAAAACCTATTCCGGTTTGTCCAAATTCAATAATACAGATGTCCACTTTCTAATTGTGTTGTATGTCTATATATGTAATATGGTCCTCCTCGTTACCATAAGTACTACCAAAATAGGAGGATGGGCCGAGTATTCAGGTAGATGAAAGTGATCAAATGATTTGAGCATCTGAAAAGCACTTTTCAGCATAATGTCATCCTGCTGCTGCCAGAGATGAATTGATTCACTGTGCATTAAGTCGAAACATTGACATAGAGGCTAAAATAATATATTGGACTGTAGATCATATGTTCATGACAGTTACTGCAGACTAAAAATTAATTACACCAAGTTAATGGATTGTTTACAAGTCCCAGACTATCAGTCCCCTTCCCAGGTCTGACCTGATCATCAATGACAAGTCTGCCCTAACCCTCCAGGCAATCAAATCAAATGGCTGATTTGTTTTCTATCCTGAGAATGTATGATGCAGAAAATTAATATACCTGTACCACAGGAAGCAGCAAAATAATGGAGCTCAGAAAAGTTAAATTATCGACTGAAGAATTTAATATATACATAATCACCATTACCGTGTTTCCCAATTTCACGTGGTGGGGAGGTAACACCCTAGAAAAAATACAAATTATGCTAAAACTTTTAGATGTTTACTCAAGTAATATTAAAAAAATACTTAAAATCCTTATACAATAATAAGTAAGTTGGTGAATATAAATGTAAACAAAATATTAATATCAGTAACTGTTGTGATTTTTAGATTTGGCAAATACAATCCATCTTTTAACATTATTATTACCTGAGCCACGCTGCTGGCCACTGCATTAAAAATCTCCAAAATTTCAAAATTAGAAGAAAAACTTAAAAACTCGCAGTAGAGTATTTCTTAAGAATACATTACAAAGATCACAGTGACTGCTAAGGTCTTCTGAAGTTCGAGGCTTTTAGTTTCATTATAATAAGAACTAAAACTGCAGCCTGTCCTCAAACAAAGGCCAAAAGTGATTCCATGCACCCACCAAACCCCTGTTTAAGAATGAAAACGGTTTACACACAACTCAACTGATGACGTTCCAACATTTCCAGAACAATTGCTTCGCTGATGACTTGTTCGACCACAATGCTGTAAATGCTTCGCCAATGTACTACAAATATAAATAACCGCCAACAGAACCTAGACATCTAACCTAATCTAACCTAACCAGTGCCTTAATATGCACAGTATGCTAGTATTTAACAATATTAATATATATTTTGGAAAATTCCTACTTTGGATGAACAGCATGTTAAAATTGATGAATGCATCTTTGGGGTCGACTGCTGGACGAAATGGACTTGGTCTGAAGAAGGATTGAAAAATAAAGAAATAGCAGAGCTGTAACTCACCAACAAATTTGACTTTCCACACACGATGAGGCAGGAAGAGGGCATCGGGTGTCAATAATGACATTTTGGCCACCATCTGACCAAACACAGATTTCATTCCATCTGGACCAGCTAAGCCACCACGAGAACGCGATCGTTTAACACTGATGCGATTCAGTTCCACAATAGGTCCGTGTTGACGGTCTCTCACCATTGTTGCTTGCACAACCTGAATGTATTGTACAGTATTTCAATGCAAAAAAATTATTAAAATGTATAGTATATTGATATGCACTATAAGTTCCAGAGAAGCAGTACAATAAAAAAGGAAGCATGCAAACCTTTTTAAATGCTGTCTCTTTTGCTGTTGATACAATAATTGCTCGTAATCTGGCTACCATTGGTTCATCTACTTCTTCCTCCGGTGGTGTGCAAAGGTCAAACATTGAAATACTCTGACATACCAAGTCAGAGAAATGATGCAGAAGTACCTAAAAATGCAAATAATTCTGTCTAAGTCATAATTTCTTCGTAATTATTCCACATTTTTAGAAAAGGTGAACAATGGTCACTTTGTTGTAAACTCATCTTGATTGTATTATGATAAAAATATTACTCATCAAATTTACAAGTACAGTACTGTAATTCAACAATGAAGACACTTAAATTTACATACCAGTCTGTTCCTTAATGCATGTAATGGAACCTCCTTCAACAAGTCATATTCCATAGGCACCTGAGATGGGAGGCGTCCAGTGCTCACGGCACGACTCGTGCTCCATGCCAGTGTATGTGCCGAACCACATGCTACTCGGTTAATTTTTTTACCCTGCAATAATATTTCCATTGTTTACAGAGCCTGTTTTAACTTCACAGACATCACTAAGAAATTTTTTTACCACTTCAGAGTTTCTTAGAATAAAATTATACCAATTCATTCTCATGATTTAGATTACTTAATCACTAGCATACCGTACTTCATGTTTTATAGTCAACGTTAAATTTAGCTTATCTTATACACGACTTTTCTTTTAAGTAATACTAAACAACCAGTAATAAAATGTAGACTTTTGCAGTAGGTGCTCAATTTGTATTAAAGCAGCTAGTGAAAAAACTACACTACTCAAACACACACTGGCCAACCTCTCATTCAACCTTCAAATGTTCAAGTATTATGACTGGTACACCTGCTTCCCTGCCACCCTCTCCTGAAGACGGCTGACCTATATACAGTAGTTAGGAGGCTGGTCACTAAGAGTGCTGCAGCTCTACCTCTGTACCTGCTCCATTGACTTGGTTTGTGGTTTTCGTTTGCCCTCAGCCATCAAAGATCTACCCTTTCACCCCATTTCATAAATGGCTTTAAAATCATTTTGTACCTGAGGTGAAGGACCACTTTAATAGTACTGGCTTGCCAGAGAACAGGAAAGTAGTACTATATTTATTTTTTAACAGGACAAAACATCCACAAAGATGAGCTAGTCAAGGACAATATGCTTGGTTCATTCTTGCCATTGAACACAACTGCCTTGATCTATTTCCATGGATCAGGGAATAATTTAAAACCTCAAACTCCACTTCATAATTGGAGTTTACCCGATGACAATATGCGAACAAGATGCCTCCCCAAAGCAAAAAGACCTGGGAGAAGAGGTGAATTGCAGTCAAAGAATCAGGCACCAAAATTGGAAGGAAATCAGTGTGTTGAAAGATGACCCAAGGCCACATAGTCCCACCAAGAAAGATGAGAGAGACAGTGAAGCAGCCAGAAAATGTTTGGTTTGACTTCCAAAATCCCCTACTGGTCTCTGAACAGGACATTGCCAATAAAAATAAAGCGAACATCACAAGCTTCCAAATATCATTAGCTAGGAAACTGACATGGTGGGGCTGTATCATCCTCGCCTACCTCCATAGCAGGTACGCCATTAGGCGTACTTTAATGCTTGCGCAATGATAAACGTTTTAATGCGCAAGCATTTAAACGTGGGCTATAGTGGGGAGGTTAAAGCCAAGAGCAGCTAGAAGATAAACAAGAATTCTACAGATAAAAGTGCACCATAATGTGGCTCTCAATGAAATGAGGATTTTCATTCTTAGCCAGAAAATAGCATTAGACTACAGATAAAGTAATCACTAGGCATAAAATCAAAGAAATAGGCATTGTAAAACACGGAGCTCCCTAACATAACAGTGGCTAGAACCAGTGCAGGAAGACAGCCTTCAAAGTCAAGCCCATGAGTGCAGGCATCATTTGTGACCAAGACAGACAGACTAAAATGACATCAAATGATTTGGTGAGCTTTAAGGGCACACGAGCTAAGTGAAAGTAAAAATTACCCAACTCAACTTCATGAAAAGCAGTGAGAAGAGATATATCCGTTCCTTTAGAATATTGTATTAAATACATGCAGTTTGATACAAATTGTATTATACAAGATTCACTAAAATTCACAATACCATACAATACCTGTAGAGCCATTACTAATCTTGGTCTCTGGATGGCATTTGTAGTACTGTCACCCAATTGTCCTTCATCATTATCTCCCCACGTGTATACTTCACCCTCGCTTGTACAGCACACACAATGCAGCGAGCCTAAACCAAATAAAAAATAAATTTTGCAGGAATTGAATACCTTAGAAATATATTTACACAATAAAGATAATTGCATATTACTCTGTACCACAAATACACATATGCTAGTAAGATATACCTGTAGCAATGCTGATGACCTTCTTGCCTTGCAAGGCTGTAACCTTGCGTGGCCGTCTGACATGATCATCTGTGCCATGCCCCAAACGATGGTAATCGCCTTTACCCCATGTGTAGACTGTGCCCGAACGTGCCAAAGCTACAGAAAATTGTGACCCACATTCAACCTGTTGACAAAATTTAACAGTATACATACGAATACGAAGTTGATAGTCTTGTTCTGACTGTACACACAAACAAAACTAGATATTATATAAAAATAATGTTTATTCCATGCTTTGTGATTGTGTACATAATTTGCAGAACCACTTCATTAGGAAGGAAGGAGGTGGTGATGGAGGCCAAAACCGTCAGTAATTTCAAAGCATTATATGACAAAGAGTGCTGGGAAAACGGGACACCACGAGCAGTTTTCATCCTATAACTACACTTGGGTAATTACTTATGTAATTACACATATGTACAGTGGCATCTCCAAAACCTGGTTCATAGCATTCTCACCATTTGTTTGAAATCCAGATTTTGGAAAAATTGCTGTTTTGGCTTTACATCACCAAATATTCTATCACTGAGTTGTACATGTGTGTGTGTGCATGTGCATTATATATACTGGTTAAAGTATAGTGTGTTTGAATATACATGTCCTTCATAAGAGATGATGCCTGTCTGTTTGAGGATGGAGGTCAGACAGTTGTGGTTAGCCTCACATAAGTCTCCATCTTGAATGAATAGTGATTGTATGGTAAGTGTCAAGAGTGGCTGGTGGTTGACCCCCATGCCCATCTTTAAGTAGGACTGGCTCCTTTTATGATAACCAACCACACCTATGACGTCTGCAATGTGGGTTTAAATGTCTATAGAGCCTTTTCCAACTAAATTCTCAGATGTTGATTCAACATTGATAGTATTGATTCAATGTTGATTCAACATTACTCGAGCATGTTTTGCCCACTGGAAGAGAGAACAGGAGGGATAAAGGGGGAGAGATAACAGGAGGGAGAATGGTATTAAGGGAGGAAGAGAAACAGAGATCTGGGTACTATCAGGTACTATATCAGATAGTCTAGTACCTTATACATAATATGTGTATACATACATGCAGCACTTATTTAATAAGATTATAATACAATTTTCATATAAACAATGTGTTCTTACTGCACCGTTTAATTCACTCACTTTCATGATGCCCTGATTTGCCAGTCCATCAATCCTCATTGGAACCTTGCAGCCATCTGAGCCACCACGACCTAACTTGCCATAGTCGCCATCGCCCCAAGACCAGACATTGTCATCATCAGAAATGCACAAGGTCTGGGCATCTCCAGACCCACAGGCCACATCTACTACTCTGTAACCACCTAAAGCCTCCACTAACTTGGGTCTAAACTGGTCCTGTAAGGCAAATAAATTAAATAATTTAATTTTCAACATACTATTTTTACCATATCACGCAAAATTATAAGATAGACCCAATGAAAATTGACAAGATATCCTTTTAGCATTCAAGAATTTCTTGAAGGTATGAAAGGAAATAAGAATGTGGAGTGGAATGGACTTAATGTTATAAGACCAGGAATGAAACGGTCAGAACAGGAGCTGTGAACGCTCATCCAAGCTTTGACTGACCCAAAGATGCATTCAAATTTTTTTTAAGTATTTTGAGTAATAAAACTACTTTATCAAACAAATTAATATTATAGTTTTGTGTACAGTTATGCCTAAGGTAGTTTATGTGCAAGAACAAAATGGAACATGAAACAATGGATACAAGTTAGTGACTTGGGAAAACTTTACATGATACCCTTATAGGTGAAGGATTATCTCTAGTAATAAACAAGGTTTGTATCCCCTTGAAATGCATTTGGACTAACAGAACTCAATTGAATTATAATTGGCTACCAAAGTTACCCGAGGAAAGTCACAGACTATACAAGATTTCACCTCCTGGGCCCCTGCCTTCAGCTGTAATTTTTTGTACTTATTTTTTTATTTTTGTAAATCACCATCTACTATTTTCAAAAAGGAAATTAATTCTAAAGACTTATTTCTTTGGCTGTGCATTTTCTGAGGGGAGAGCAGTACAGGGATGACTGAGAAGTGGGGGGAACGGTGGGGGCTGAGCGATTGTGAAAGTAGTGAAGATGTTAGAATGAACAATGATGATCATTTGAAATAATGTGGTCCACTGTTATTCATTTGGGTAGCATCAATTACCTCAGGAAGTATTGAAGTTTACTCTCAACTTAATGTTTCTCAATATGAGTATCAACACTTTGTGCTGTGCTCAGTCATGACTTACTTCAGAATCTCCATGGCCAAGTCTCCCATAGCGACCTTTGCCCCAGGTATACAGCTCGCCAGAAGATGTAATGGCAGCAGAATGGGCTCCACCACATGCTATTTCCACAACTCCTTTACCTTGAAGTGTCTCTACTAATCGCGGACGATCATAGGGGCTGAAAATATGAGTGCAAATGTAGGCTATTAACCAAATAATTTACAAAAGAATAAGTTTAAACCACATATATTAAAGAAAATATTATTTTATAAAATAATGCAAAAACAGAACATTACTTTAAAATGGGTTACCTTTTATTTCCATGTCCTAATTTTCCATCATCTCCCTCACCCCACGAGTAAACATCACCATCTGCAGTAAGAGCAAGGCAGTGTTTCCCTCCAGAGTTGACTGCAACTTTACGAATAATTATGTGCTGGATTGACTCTAGAAGAGTGGGGGTCGAGACAGATTCCACTCCACCAATTCCAAGTCGGCCACCAGCTCCATACCCAGTAGCATAAACCTGTAATAAATTCATAATACAATACTTAACTAGAATACTGACCATTTATCAACAGATAAAGCAACTAAGTCAATTTTGCCACCACTAAGTGACTATGACTATGCTCACTCACACTATTGCATGTACACTCCAACTCTATCTATATATATTATTAAATAACAATTATTATACAGTGTATTTAAATCCAAATTAATTCTCTAATATTAAAACATAACATTTTATTACTATTTAGAAACAAAATAATGACTTAAAGTATTGACAAAGTTCATAATTTATTTTATAGTTTTACAAGTTATCTACTGTATTATAGTTACATTCATACCAAAGAAAACTGAATTGTTTTGAGTAAATCATTTGAACTCTGAGCTGTCTATTGCTAGCAGTTACTCTTGGTATCATGATTGATGATATTGTATGTGTATGCAAAGTATAGTAGCATAGGGACAGGAGGGGCTTGTACACTTGAGGCTCACAACACAAAAGGAGTTTCAATGCAAATTAAAAATAGTTTACATCTTTTATCGTATTTTTGTATACAGTTGAATTTGTTTATTTTTTTGAGTTAAAATATTTATAAATACAAGGTGTATTATATCTGGTAAACAAAAGTATAGCACAATTGAGGTCAAAAGTAGGCAAAAACTAAAATGACATTAGATATAATGAAATGTCAGATGAACTGGGTGGAAATCTGCTTCAATTATTCCATTTGATCAGCAGTGTTTACTAATACAAAATAGTTACATTTGTAATGCAAGCAAAATTTCTACCAGGTAATGCCACTACCTCCCAAAGCAGCATTGGTGTAACAGCCACACAAATATTAACAAGATAAAACTGACTACCAATGAAGTGCCAATTAGAGTATTAATACCCATGCAAATTACTGCACATGTGTAGAAGGAAGAAAGACTTGTTATAAAATACAGGGATGTCTTCATCTTAAGTAAACAGTTATAACATACAAATAAATAAATAAAGAAGTTTAGGAAAAAAAAAAGTAATAATCATTAACGCCACACTTAAATGATAAACATTACTACATTCCCGTCCAAAATTCCTGAACATGAATGACATGTTGGATGTACTATGAAAGTTAAAAGAGTAATGGCAGCTGGCAGCTCCTGCCACTCAAATCTCTAAATATTTGTTTTTGTTTATTTGCCAATTCAAAACTAGGTTCATGCAGCATTATTAAATATTATTCATTATCTTGGTAATTTATGTCAATGCTTAATCTAATACCAAGTCTTTCATTATGGCATTATTTTTAGTGCAAACCTCACATAATTTTACAGCATCTTTGAGATGTAACCAACAGAAATACAACCATACAGTATTTAATTTTCTTACCTGTCTCTATTATAACAGGGTAATTAGGAGGCAAATTACCGATCTCCTCCAGGATGCAACCTCACAACAAATTGCCTAACTTTTTACTACCTATTTACTATTAGGTGAATAGAGGCATTAAGTGAAAGGAAACGTGTCCAACCTTTCCTGTCTTGCCCTTGGATGCAGGATCCCCATTTGTGAGTGAAGAAAGAAGCCCACTGCACTACACTTGTGCTATAATCTATCAACACATTCTTAAACTTTAATAAACATCCACATTAATAATACACACCATAAACAATATACGAGAGCATTTAAGCAACAAAATAAGAAAGTTAGTCATTCTGTCAAAGTTTGGTTTCGTATAAACCAAATGCTGTTTTATATATTGGGGCAAATTATCTGGGATTTTCTAAACTTGACTCATAATAATAATAATGAAATTAGTTTAAACCACCAGAGACAATTCATTAACAATATTTAAGAAGAATATCATTACATTTTATTAATGCTGCATATTCATTACTAACATTACTGTTATTACATTTACTAACATTACTGTATAAACAGGTTCATCGACTCACCTTCCCATCAGCCGTAACAGCAAAGAGAGTTTGTTCTCCACCAATGAGCTGTACGGGTCTGAGTGCAGTCAGGGTATCACAGGGAGTAGGTAGTTTAACTTTGGCCCCTTCTACACCACCCAACTGGCCGCGGTGGTTGTGTCCCCAGCCATAGATGCTACCACTTCCTCCCCATGACAAAGTCCAGTCTTCTGGACGTCTGCAAGTTGAATTATAATACATTACTTGAGCAGGACTAAGATACTCAAAATGTTCCATCATTAAAAAAGTTTTTTTTTAAATAAGTTACTGTATTAAAATCAACTTGCTAAATATATTTAAATAGAAAAAGAAAGTACAGTATTAACACAGGTTATAAGAAATTATTAGAGATGATGACAGGAATAAGAAAATAATTCAATGTAAGAAAAATTAGTTTGAACCATCATGGCAAACTTTTAAATAATTATAGAAAATGTCATTGCATTTACTGAATCTAAGTCTTTAATGGCTTTGTTTCTCAGGAAATTATATGAGACGGAAGTGCTGCTCTATATTGTAGAGTGGGGATAGTTTGAACGGCGGTTCTTGAAAAATCAGTGGGTTCTGCAGCCTACAGACTGAGTGTTGACCAAACCACACACTAGAAATTGAAGAGACGACGACGTTTCGGTGCAGGACGAAAGTCGGAATATCGACTTGATAATGGTCCAGGAGGGACCAAAATGTCGTCGTCTCTTCAATTTCTAGTGTGTTGTTTGGTCAACATTTTTCAGCCACCTTATTGTGACTCATCATCTGCATACAGACAGTGTCATTGTGCTATGATCACATCATGGAATGCCATGTGTTTTGGAGCCGACTCAGGGCATAATTTTTATGGTAAATTTCCTGAGGGGCAAGGGCAGGAAGCTTGTTAGGCTTATCAAGCTCCCCCTATGCCAACCACTGACCGTCCATACAATGCAACCCACAACAGTTTAACCCCTGGGTACCTATTTATTGCAAGGTGAATACAAGCACCAGGAAAGTTGCCTAAATTTTTGTCTAACCACAGGAATTGAACCAAGGACCTGTTGGCTGTGATTTGACAACTGTGCCACAGGACCCATAATAATTTTAGCTTTGCTTTTCCTATGTAAAGCTGTCTTGTAAATAGATTGCTGAGGTTAGGCTGCTGTCGTGATAAAGCATACAATAGTGATATTGTGCTAGGGGTTTGTCTTGATACTGGGAACAGAAATAGAGTGGTGCTACATTCTTGCAGTGCTTGAGGGTAGAGAAATAAGGCAGCGCTAGGTTCCATTGTGATATCAAGTACAGATAGCAAAAAGTTTGGTAAACGTTTGTATATCATTAACCCCTTCAATATAATTTTGCTCTTCTTTTTTGGAGGATATCTCCTTACTCTATGGAAATTGAGAATGGGATCATGGTAATAATGATTAATCCTATGACAAAATAAAATTTAAATTTTTTCCCAGTACAATATATTGTAAGAACACTGCTGTAATTAAAAAAAAAAAAAAAAGATTTACCTGTTGAACCAGAGTAGCAGTTGTTCATCATGTTGGTGGAGAAACATAGTGTGGTCTTCCTGTTCTAGAGACAGAACTTCTCCTTCACCAAGCATTTCACAAAGTTTCTTGCGTACCTGTTCAAGGACACATTTTAGTGTATTGTGACCCTTATATTTGTTTATTTTTGCCAAGCTACTGTTATTATTCACAGCAAAGTTCACTATAAAGCATACAGTAGTTCAATATTATACTACAAAATAAAATCGGTTAACAATCTATTGTAGTACTTAACACATACATCAGCACAAAATCCAGATGGCAGAGGAGTTCGATCAATAAGAGACCTTAGTACTCTGCAAGCAACACAGTACCGTCTGAACCACGCCCATTTGTGCGCTTCACCGGAACCAACGCCGTTATCCAACTCCAGGTCACAAGCTAGTCCAACTAATACCTATTCGGAAAATTATGATTAAGCATAATGGTCTTCCCCTAATGCCTAAAACCCTTTCACTATTGAAATCTGAAACTGACCATTACCCAAAACTAGATTTTTTAATAATTCTGTAATAACCAATGGATAATAAAAATTATTTTAACCCAAATAATCAACATTTTTAACTAAAATTTTGGGTTTGAAATTGTGGGTTGCCACCTTGCTCCCACTGGATACTGTAATACTGTATCACAATAGCCAAGAAATATTAATGCTATAATACCTGTATTCCTAATGACTCTTTACCAACTTTTTATAATACAGTGGAACATCAGTTTTCGAATGGCCCTGTTTTCTTATTTTTCGGTTCTCATACTCAATTTCTTTGAAAATTTTGATTCTCGTTATTTGCCTCTGAAAACAGAGTTTGTTTATACACGTATGGGGTCCACAGAGTGCGCAGCTCTTCAGTCTACCAGTGTCTCCCGCCTCGTGATGATCATGTTTAAATTCTTTGTAAAGAATTTCATTGTTTTTGTGTTTTTTTTGGTTTCTGAACATAGTTCTTATTATATTTCATGCCATGGGTTCCAAGAAAGTCAGTGGTAATGTTCAACCTAAGAAAATAGTTGTGAGGATGACGATAGAGGAAAAACACGAGATCATTCATAGTAAGACAATTATGTCTCACTACAGACAAGTGTTAAACGTAGGGAAAAACCAAGTGTCTATAGACAGATTCTTACTAAGACAAGCAAGCAGTGAGCCACATACAGATCCTGGTGGTATGACTACAAAACGTGAGAGAGAGAGTACCCCAGAAATGTCATCACTGCTGTTATAATGGAAGGACCCCTGCCAAACACTAACACCTCTCCTCTTCCCCACAGTCTTCCATATGCCAACAAGAGTCCTCAATAAAGGTTAGGTACCCAAGAGTATTATTTTGTATAAAATGTATTTTTAGTTAATATATTTGGGGGTGTGGAACGGATTAATTCAATTTACATTATTTCTTACGTGAACATTCGTTTCGGTTTTCGTATTTTTCTGTTTTCATACCCTGGGAAGGGATTAAATATGAAAACTGAGGTACTACTGTATGTCCAAAATGCTTTGCATATTAGTGGCTTTATTAAAAGAACATACAGTATTCTACAACAATTATCCATTGTATTGTATCCTTCTGAACAATTTTTTAAATAAAAAGTATTTTTATCATTAATATTTTAATATTTAAAATAATTTTCAAGGTATGTAAATATTATGACTCTCCTAGAAACTGTTTTAGCCTAATGAGTTAATAATTTTTAAATTGAAGAATGAAAAAATCTACTACCAAAAACATTTGATTAATAAATTTTAATAACAGTTATTGAAAATATTATGATTTATTATTATAAATGGAGAAAATAAACCATTCCTCAGGGACAGCTTTGTCAGATGTACAAATAGAGATAAAGGATCAGTATTTTTCTCCATAAGTGGTTTTACAGGAAACCAAGTTCAAATGACCCACTGTATAAGAATACTAAAACAATTGAAAACTAATCATTTACCTTGAAGAACTGAGAATGCATCAAATGTTTTCCGCCTCGAACTAGAGGATCTTCATACTCAGACTGGCGGAGAAGAGCTTCTGGCAGTCCCTTCAGCAGGCTGACAAGGGGCATTTCAGTAGTTCTGACCTCCACTGATGGTTTCACAAAACTACCCGACGATTCTAAGCTCTCTGTGCTTCCTCGCAATGAAGGTGGAGCAGGAGGAGCAAGAGACTGTGGGGCTGAGGTAGGAACACTGGGAACTGATGAGGACTGAGGAACGGGAGATATAGGTCTAGATGGAGCTGGTGTAGAACTAGAGGAATAAGATGCTGAGAGAAGAGCTCTAATATTGAGTCCAGATCCCAAATCAGTGGTGACAATCTTTCGAAGAGTTTTGAGAGCCCACATGCGCTGACTAGGTGCTGGAACAAAATACAATACAAGATATATATTTATGATTATTTAGTGAATAGGGTTGTGTAGTCTTGTCTTCAGGTAATTTGTCAAAAATTTTATTATTAATCACATTTATTTTTTTATTTAACCAATTTTATAAAAAATTCTATTAATTACTGACCAAAACATTGAATAACAATTTTATATACACATGAAAATACAAATGAATTAAACTCTGATGAGATTACTGTGGTAGGCACTTATCAACTGTACCTAAAGATGAAAGTTGGGCACACAAAGCCAGGGATGCAGCTAAACGTGACAGAATGGCAGTCTGGGTACACAATGGCAGAAGAGAATCCAGAAGACACATGGGCAGGTCCACTAAGGGCCGAGACAGAAGCCTTCGATCACTGTGTAGGTCCCGTGGAGTGGCACAGGGCATAAGAGGGAAGACTGTAAAGCGCCAACCCCACCCATTCACAGAGCCATCACTAGTAAACTTCCATCTCAATTCATCACCTGAGGGTAGAAGAGAAATCTTATAGTTTAATTCTTTTTCATACAAGAAATTCAATAAAAAGTTGAATTACTATTTTTTAAGCAAAATTTTGATCCAAGATGGGAATGGTTGAAACTGAGCTGCCACAGCAAAAGGGATTTTATAGATAGATTATATTTTGCATGATAGTTAGCAAGAGTGCTCACTTAAATAGTGTTTAGGAATGAACTTTCTGGAGGCCATTCTAGACTACACTGAATATTCTCCAGTGTCCCTGGCACCAGTATGATCCTGCTAGTGTGTCTGAAAGCTTACATGAGGCACCATTGCAAAAGGTCTGCTCTGAATGTCTTGATTGGAATACCTTACAAACCCCAAGTGTTAAAAACCAGAAAATATTTTGATGCAGCTTCAAAAACAAGGTCCTTAATAAAGCATTTTAGACAGTGGAAAATATTTTATGGCATAGAAAAACAAAATTATCACAAGAATATGTGATAAAGTATCCCATGTATTACTGGTCCACAAATCTAAAGCTCAGACTTGAAAAGGTAAGCTTATTGATTGTTTATACAATGATAAACCATGATACATAATTACAACAACTTGTTTATACAATGATAAACCATGATACATAATTACAACAGCCTTGCAGTTTATATTATAAGTAAATTATGACATTCTAATTAAAAAATGTTAAAAAGGATAATATAAGGGAAGATGAATGTGGAATTCCGCTAGACAGAACCAGGCAAAGTTACAACAAACACAATATTCTTAAAGCTTTCTGCAAGGACACAATAATCAGCTATAGAGGGTAAATACTTTATGATAACCTTAGAAAAAGAATTTAGAAAAATTACATGGCAAATACCCACCAGCAATACGAACTTCAGTGGACCAGTCAGACCATTCCCTTCCTGATCGGGTACAGATAATTTTGCCTGCTCCATCCATAATAGTAAGCGGGTCATGCTTTCTTTCTGTCGAACACTGACGATCAAATTCAACTCTCAGAGCCTCTGCACCTAGAACACAGTAATTTCAGAATTGTTAAAAGTTAATTAATTTTTTATTAGTTCTACTGCAATTAAGTTCATAACATATTACATGGAAATAAATATATGCAATATATACATTTGTTTTTAGAAATTAGTGTTATCTTATACTGATTATTACGTACCTAGAATTTTGACTGCCCCAGTCAGTGTTACATCATCTGTATAAGGATGGGAGCTTTCCTGTACAACTGGTTGAGGTACTGACCGCATTGCTTCTGTGTCTGATGCTGCATCTTCAAGTTCAGTTACACACAACTCTGTCAGCATCCCAGATACAATGGAATTTTCTCGAGCCAAGCCTGAAGAAGGAAAAATCATGTCTTGCTGATAATAAAGTTTCTTTAGCTTGGAACTGTTAAGCAAACCATGTTTACCTACATTGCCATAAGGTGTAATTTAGTACTACCATGAACAACATTTGTGCAAAATATTTAATAAACTACTAAATGAACTTATTACTTTCTTCACACAGTAGAGCTGAGAGGCATTATTGGCTGGTCCTTGAACCAACTCAATGTAGATAGGGCATTAAATTTCAAGGAATGGTTTAGAATCAAGGTTTCAGCCTTTTTGTCTGAAACGTGTCCAAAACTCGCCTAATAGTTTACAATTGGTGACAGTTTACAACTGTACAAATACAACATTTTACTTGGTATTACAAGTACTGTATGCATACACACACAAATTTATTAAATATCAAGGAATCCAACATAAAGGAAAGCAATATTACTTAAATGGCTACCTCTCTTCTCTCATTTAATATTATTTTGGGCTGGAGCTATATTTACAGTGATCTGGTGATCTGTTTAATTTTCTTAATCACCATTAAGTCCCTATTTAATGAATAGTTTTTTCCTTTCTCTATCCATTTCACTTATTGTATTACAGGTCTCATTCCTGCTGCCTCTCACATTCTCACTAGTATATGCTTGGTGGGGAAGTCCTCATTTGCTCAAAATTTACTTGACTTTCTTGACTGATTTACTTATATTTGCTCAAAATTTAAAGTAAAATTTTGCAATCAAACAGCAACTGCCTTAACAGTATGATAGCTATACCAATGGGCAGACTCATTGGCAAGCCAATCATGTACTGCTTTAGAAGCTTACAAAACTTGAAAGGTATTTTAATGGCCCAAGATTTTACACAAGGCTAACTCCTTGAAGATGAGAATGTTTCTACAACACGGAAACATTAACTTCAAAGGCATTTCATTCCGTGGTCAATTACAATTAAAAAATCATATATTGAAACGCACATAATTAGTACATGTAAAACAAAAGTAAATCTGTAGTCTTATTGCATGCCCCACCTATCAAGACTTTTGTGATAGCAGGAGCAGCCCGGGCTCCAGCTCGTCCAGCAACAGCCAGTTTCAGGAGATCCACCAGAACTCGTGCATCGTCTTCAGTAAGTCTTCGTGTGAACTCATCCAGTCCATTAGAACCAATGTCGTCTTCAGGAACATCTGCTTCTTCCGACACCTAAAATGTTATCGCCATCATTACACCATTTTCAGTTTCCATACAGTAGGAAGGCAATGACAAAAGGAGAATAAGAAAGCCATTCATTAAAAGTTAAAGCTTAAAAAGATATAGTCCATTTAACATACTGTACCTGCATACAATCCAGCATCACATAATTTCAGCACCATCACACTATAGCAATACAATCCACAGTGTCACACAATATGAGCAGAATGCTTCCTGCGATTTGTCATCTACAAGATATATTAAATAATCACCTTATATTAAATTTAATTCTCATAGCCTGTAAACTTACTCCCCACTACAGTACTGTATTTATGTGCAGTATTCACACTCAATCCCTACTTCATCTCTCATTTTCTCACCATGTCTGCCCATCATATTGGACACCTATCCATAAATTCACTTTACTGTAATTGCCTTCCCACCACTATGTCCAACCTCTTGGGCTGGACGGTAGAGCGATGATCTCACTTCATGCATGTCAGCGTTCAATCCCCAACCATCCAAGTGGTTGGACGGTCATTTCTTCTCGTCTCATCCCAAATCCTTATCCTGATCTCCTCCATGGCCTATAGTCTTGGTACTTTCTGCTGATAGTTTCCCTTCTGCCCTCTTCCCCCCCCCCCATTCATCGGCACTATTATCATCCCTTCACTCGATATCACTAAACCATCTCAATACAGGAAACACTCTTGTGGTCTGAACTGTGTGTTAATATTTAATGTTGTGACTGGTTTTTATAACAAAAAATGTCTAGCGAAAGTGTTACTTTTGAGGCATAAGTTGGCAACTGTTTTTATTTTACTCTACACACCTTTCAGAATATTTTTTCATGATGCCTCCTAATTTTTTTTTTATTTTTACACACACATTTTGTATTATATTCTTGCATCATAGTTCCTCTAAAACATTATCTAACTCCTGCTGAATCCCTCACTTCACCTTGCCACATGGTTTCACTAAGTCTGTGTGCCCTATACACTTCATAATATGCCACACATGTATACATGTTTTATACTTTATACTTGAAAAGTATAAACATACATTTGTTATACAATGTGCTACAGGGATTTTTTTTGTTTAGGAACCTGGCATTTCTTGTGGTTATATTTTATTCGCAGATTTCAATTACTTTTGCAAACAATACCCATTTACAATATATTAATAAAAAGCAGCACACAGCACTTCTATAGACCATAAAAATAAAGTAAGCACTATAATATTCAACCAACACAGAAGACTGTCTCACCACATCAGCTTTAGTAGTGAGTGTAGCAGCCAGAATGCTCATGGCAGAATGCGAGAGGCGGGATGCTCGAGAGGACAAGGACCCGGTTGAGGGAACTGAAGCCAACTGAAGCAGCACACTTTCTTCACTGTCTGGACTAGTCCCACAGCTCTATATAAATAAATGAATTACATGTAATCATAATATATGAGTTTATAAACACTGAACTTTCTATTAAACGTCTTTGCTAATGAAAATATATTGATTCCACAGGATTATTAAATATAAAACTAAATAATGCTGAATAAACAGCAAAAGCTCCAGCAATTTTTACATCTTGTGTATCTAATCAGTAATACAATAGAGGCTTTTCATCTCACTGATTGGACAAAATGTTTTTTTGATTAATGTATGAATAATGGCAACTTTAGCAAGCTTTGACCCAAGAGGCCTAATATTTACTTGAACCATGACAGTATGACAGTGCTTGTTGTGATGGTGGTGGTCGTCTTATTCAAGAGATCTCTAATTATACTTGTATTATACAGAGAAATCACATTAACGTGATATATCGAAAAAACAAATTCACAGGAGTCTTGATGGGGGTTCGAACCTATGCGCTGAGAGTTCTCGGACACACTAGTCAACTGTACCATGATATGGAGCACTCTAGTCAACTGTACCATGACATGGTCCATGTCGTGGTACAGCTGACTAGATCGTGTCTGGGAACACTCAGTGCATAGGTTTGAACCCTTATCATGGCTCCTGTGGATCTATACTTGTATTAATCTTAAAAAAATACAATAAAAAAACTAGCAAACATATTGCAATATGTTGGTTAACGTGTCAAATGTACGATGTAACTAAAATAAAGACTTATGAGGGAAGAAGAGAGGGAGCCTAGCTGTAAGTGCACTGAAGCTTCTCCCTAACCTGAAAATTCCTATATAGATTCCACGAACCTATTTCTGTGCTATAATGCAATTTTATTGTGAAGAACAAATACAGAGATTTTATTAATGCAAAGGTATTTCAAACGGTTTCACAACTTGCCATGTTTGTCAAATAATTGAAACAATTGTCATATGCACGAAGTGATTGTGCAACCATGAAAAATGTGATATCTTTAGCATGTCACAATCCAAGGGTTAATTTGATGAACAATAAACACCATAGTACCAAGGCATTCAGCAGACCAGAAATGTTGGATTTTGCATTTATATGTGATTGATATTTGCACTAGTAGATTTGTTCAAGAGCTTTCCCCATTGAATGTTATGTCTGATTTTATATACTGTACAGATAATAGGTAAATTGCTTCATTTGGTATCTCCAAAGCTTTCTTTTAAACACTATATCTGTATATTATAATAAGTAGGTCAATATTTTTTATATTTTTCATACCACTATGCGAGTTAATTTGCCTTTCACAGAATTTCTTAAGTATAGGGAAGATAAAGTTCTAAAAACAAAGGCTCCAAATATCAAACATTACCAGAGCTGTGGGTACTGCAGCAGCATCAAGAGCAGAAGCTGGGGCCTCTCCTCCACCCTCGGCTATTTCTCCTCCATTGGGGCTAGAAAGGGATGAGGACGAAGAATCTGCTATGGCATCAGTCATAGACTCGGGAGTTGGGAGCCCTCCAACTTTTGGAATAGAGTCGCAAACTGACAAAAAAAAAAAAAAAAAAAAAAAAAAAAAAAGAGACCAAAAAATTTCATAAATATTGGCTCTATAAACACATTCTATCTGCTATATCAAGTACCTTATTGAGGTAATTATGAGGAGAAAGCACTAAGCCAGTATGACTGTATAGCAAGTAAGATTTTTCTGAGTAAATTTATTTTCTGAATAATGTAATAATACCCCTTTACCTGGAGTAGACATTTTAAAATTACAAGTAGTATAAATACTCAATTGTCGAGTAGAAACATAGTCATGCTGACCAAACCACACACTAGAAATTGAAGACAATCGACTTGATAATGGTCCAGGACAGACCGAAACGTCGTCGGCTCATCAATTTCTAGTGTGTAGTTTGGTCAACCTTTTTCAGGTTGACCAAAACCTGAAAAAATCCCAAAAGGATGCCAAAAAGAGGAGGCCAAAAAATCCTTCCACATTCTAAAATATTCAACTAGGTCTTTTGACCATCAAAACTGTCACCTGGAGCCGAAACGTGCTGCCATAGCCATATTTCTGCGATGAAATTAAATATTCCATCACTTATCTCGCTCCTATATTTATGACTTTTATGGCATAATTAAAATTTATGACATCCTGTACATCACAACATGTAGTGTAAAAGTTTAATATTTATATATTTATACATATATATTTTTCAGTATATTGGAATAAATTTACAAGCATGGTGATATGCTCTTTTTGCTATTAAATTTTTGTTTAGGAAAATTCAATTGCATAGAATTTTTTTATAAGAATGTGTATAAAAAAAAGTGCCATTTTGATCACGGGGAAAATGAGTGCTGCAGCAAAAGTGTTAAAAAATTAACACAAGTCTTTGCTTTTCATACTATAAAGTTCATACATACAATATAACATACCATTAAACTCATCCTTCGTGTGAATGAGTGCAGAGACTGTAGAGTCCAGAGCAGCAATGACACAGTCCCGCGCAAACATTACTTGAAGGGCATTGAGCACATGCTGGAGTGCTGCTTGTCTAGCAGCAGATGACTCGAGCATTAACACCACACGTGACAGAGAAGGATTCACTGGTACCCCGCCTGCATTACTGGACGGGCTGCAGCTGGCACCTGCATCTCCTCCAAGAGGATCTGTCACTCCTTGATAAATAAAAACATCACAAAAGTTATTTTGCTACACTGCTCCCCTAACATGTAACAATATCTTATGCCTAAAAATATGTGATGCCTATATATAAAATCCTTTTCAGTTGAATTCTCAAGTCTTCTTTTACACAAGAGTGCATATTCACAAATATACCAACACACACCCATAATTATTCTCCTTTCTTTTAAATGTCATCTTAAATATTGGCAAGAAAAATACTGCTGAGGGGAATAGACAAAGTAGACAAAGGAAGTCTATTTAAATTAAAGAGAGGTTGGATAAATGACGTCCCAGCAGCGGAAGCTGGGCAAACAACTTTGTTGAAGTGGTGTAAGGATGTTCTCATTTCCAGCATTGAAAGAAGAGGTTGTTAAAACTAATTCCATCCACAAATTTAAGAAAATATATGAGGAAAATATTAATGATGAAAGAATTAATGCATCGGATATATCTGGCTAAGAGGTGGGGCCTATAAAGCTAGAGCTCACCTCCCCCATAGCCACTGAAAAATAACCATTACTTTTCCTCTTTCTGTCCCATTCCCTGTTACTGCCTCAATTTCAACTGTTAGGTAATTTACTTCTTCTATTTCTCCTTTTGTTATTCTTCTAGAGGAATAAGAACAAAATATTTGTTTCATACCAATTGCATAAGCTCCAAGAGGGTCTTTTGTGGTAGTAAACATGACCGGCTCTGTAGCAGCCGGGAGAGGTGGGTCAGGAGCTGTCCATGCAACACTATGAGATGATCCACATGCAACACGTGCCACTTTTACGCCCTCCAGTCCACACACCAAAGCGGGACGCCGATTCACTATCGTAGTGCCATTGCCTTGTTGGCCGTGGTCATTATCACCCCATGCATACACCTGAAATATGAAAAGGCAGAAAATCTGATGTTCAATCAAATACTAGTGATATAAGTAAGAAAACAATAATCAATTTTGTTTGCTTATGTATGTTACGGAGTTCAGCCTGTATTCCACTATTCCCGCACGAGTCATAATTCCCTCTCTGTAAATAACCAGAAGTTTTAGTTGATTTTATAACACTAAAGGCAGCAAGATGCTGCAATTAGAAGTAGGATGAGGGTAGGAGATGATTCCATCATCAAACATGGCAGTGCCACTTGCGAGAGAGAAGAGCTTTCATGCTCGAGGCGGACCCCCTGTGCATGCTGGTTACAGCGTCAGGTGTGGTGCGATTGGTCAGCGGCAGGAGCTTGGCCAGATTGAACAATGGCGTCGCGCCCAGGGCATGACGTAGCATGATGTCAGGTGTCCTGCAGATTAAGGTGGGAACTCTGACTCACTCGCTACCAAGGGGTTCTGCTGTGAGGAGGTGCGCTCAAGCAATTACCTGTTTTGGAGTGGCATAAGCCTCCAGTGTAAAAATTCTATCAGCTACCATGTGCTAACAAAGAGAGAGGCCTGTTGACTCCTGACGGATTATGAGGTAGAGTTGGATGGTGTGAAGATGGCACCTAAGGCTCAGTGATGACAGTGCTCCTGGGTAACTTCGAGAGGTGGTGCTGGGGGGGGGGGGGTTGTCAACCTGTGGGCCCTGCATGACGGTAAAGCTGTGTGGAGAATATTTGGTAGCAGTCCTGGTACGGTGCAGTTCGACAACTGCTTACACAGGAGAATAATTCATGTGACGAAGCTATGTGTGAGGCGGTGGACCAGTAGGTGAAAGTGAATTACCCTGTAGTCTGGATAGGCCAGGCGACATCAGTTTCAGCCTAACATCTAGTGAGGAACACTTGGTGGAGTGAGTGGCACTCGAGGAGGAGTAATAGCAACGGTCGGCGTTGAGTGAGGAGTCATTCACCTGCAAGAGGACATCTCAACTTCGTGGATTGGTGAAGATCTATACTGCACGCCAACAATCTTCTGAGTCTACGATTTATAAAGGCAGTTCAATTGCCCTCCCTTTTACCCCCCTTGTGTTAGGAAAGGTGTTATATACCAACAAGGTAATAATCAGAAATTACGTGATGAAATTATGTCACTGAGGAGTGACATCGGAAATAAAGCAGTATTATTATTAATTATTTTGAACCAGTGATTATGTCTTCATAGAGTTGATAAGTAGTGATTTAAAGGCTACATATTTTTGGAGAGGTATTGTAATTATAACCTTTGATTGGGAAACAATGAAGTGTTGCTGGATATCATGATTAATTTCAAGTGTTAGCACTAAACTGTTTTAGAGAGAATTTACAGGCCAGTATAGTGTAGCCTATTGTGAGTAAACAAATTATATTTTACTACTGTCTTTCCTTCCTCCTCTTCATTTCTGTTGTGTGTTGTGGTGACATTTACTGTACACCACACTACTGTTGAGGAAGCTCTAGACTGGAAGAAGTGACACTCCACTGTGTTGGAAGTATTACTTGACCGCGGAGGAAGGCGAGTCAAGTTGGCGGCCTTGTGAATAACCTTATGGACGGGCAACTAGACCTGGGTAAATCTCGAGTTTCCATGTCCATGGACACCCCAGCAAGAAAACTAAGAAATGGTAGAGTTACTTCACTCTTAAATGGGGTGCAAGGCTTAGTTTGGTGCAAAATCTGCTCCGTTGTTCAACTGAGGTGCTCCCCAGAGGTGAACAGTGGCACCTAAGGAGGGGTTTAAGACCTCATCAGTGAGGAGCTGTAGAGCGAAGGGTGCTGCGGCACTCCAGGACAGACATCGTCGAGTGCTCAAGAGAGACATAGACTCCTCTTAAAGCAGTGTACGCCGGAGTGTAATTGGAATTTATGTTATGATACTTAATTGGGGTGAAGACCCATCACATGTGCAAGACTTTAAACACTATAATTTTTTAATTTTATTAACAATGAACAAACACATTATGCAATAATGCATCAAATACTGTTTAATAACATTAATGATGTACAAAATCTTTCAACAGACAATGATGCACATTAGCCAGTATCTTCAACTAACCTGTCCTGCCTCGGTCACTGCCAGACAATGTAATGCTCCAACAGCTACGTGAATTACTTTTTTGCCTCGCAACCCTTCAACCATTGTTGGTCTCCGCACGTGCTGGTCTGTTCCATGGCCCAGTCGGAAATAGTCTCCCTTGCCCCAAGTCCACACCTGATGATAAAGTTAATTGATAATAATAATTATTGCAATATTTTATAAACAAAAGCGATAATGAATACAAACTCAGCATTCACAATATCAACAATTTAGCTTCAACAGGCGACACTTTCCCAGTTTAGCCACGGCTTACACGACACTGGATAATTCTACCAGTTTATTGTTAATGAAAGCTGTACAGTGGTTACTTCATGATTGACTGTCAACAAATTACATACTATTATGCTTACAATTTTGTAATTTTCATAAACATGAACACAAAAACACAGCTGTTATCTATGTTAATAAGTCAAACCCTTTCTTAATAACTACCAGAATTTGCCTATTCAATTTTCTCTTTATTTAAACATAACACTTATTCAATTGTCCCATATTCATGCTCTTCATACTAACTCAATTTAAATTTTCATGTTATTCCTGTTTCAACCCTAAATAATCTATATGTCTATTTTTCACTAACAACTCTTTGTGCTGCTCCGTACCCAACTTAGCTTCCACTCTTTCTGCATGTGTCTTGCAGCATAATAATGCTTCACCCATTTACATCATGGCATGCTACATTTTACCATCAAACAAGTTCAATCACACCAACACAAATTCTTACAAATGCTGTTAAAGGAACAAGGTTCAAAATAGCCCCATGAAAAACTAAATTATGCTTTTTATAAACTCCTTGCTGTCCAACAAGTCAAACAACTCTCCTATAAATACTTTGAGGAAGACATAGAAGAATACAGGAAAGTATGTCAAATACAAACCTGTCCACTTTTTGTAAGGGTTAGAGAAAACTGTGCTCCACACTCAATCTGGCATACACCAAGACCATTGAGTCTCTCAATATTTTGAGGTAATGCACATCCTTCTGACCCACCACGTCCTAATTTTCCAAAGTCACCATCACCCCAAGAGTACACCATTCCTTCTGAAGTCAGTGCAAGTGTCTGAGCATCACGGCTTCCACACGCAACCTGTAAATTAAATGACACTGAACTATATGCATCATTCTAATTACAGTATGATACTCTGCCCACATATTTCTCAATTCAGAGTGTCAAAATGTAGTCAAAATGTTTCCAGAACACAGTACAATACCTTATTCTATTTTAATAAACAAGCACCAAAGGGCCCGAATTGTTTTGGTGTGCAATACCTCTCATCACTCTCGTGCTCTCCCCTCTCGCCTCCCAATTGTTAAAAAAGTTCTCATAACACCATCCTTTTTCCCCCTAGTGACTATTCACAAATAAATATGAATATTTTGCAAATTTGGATTTCATTCCTGCATCTTTATTTCTTCAAACAACCAGCAATAATTCATTATACATGGGAACAGGTGTTTTATTAAGAGTTGAGTTGAAAGAAGTGAGATATTTAAATGTTTTTGGCTTTATGCATATGCTATAGAATAAATCATGATTTTATGTGAAGAACAGAAATTAATGTTTGAACATTTAATGCAGTGAAAATGCTTTGTCTACATGGATCTGTTTCTCTGAAGTACTAATAGTATTTACACTCTAATATTAATGTCTTAAAACTTATAACTAGTCAAAGAAATTGAGAATGACTGCCAACCTGAACAACTCTTTGACCCAGCAGAGCTTTTACTAATTTTGGCTTGAGCTGCGTTGTTGTGTCCCCGAGGCCTAAACGTCCATATTCTCCAAGGCCCCAGCAGTAAAGCTCTCCACTTGAAGTAATTGCTGCACTGTGGGAACTGCCACAGGCAATATCTCTGATGCGCTTTGACTTAAGTACTTCAACAAGTTTTGGTTTATCATAGCTTAAGCGACTTCCGTGGCCTAGTTTTCCATCTTCTCCTTCACCCCACGAGAAGATCTGGTAATTATAAAAACAAACATATTATGATGAATTTTGGATGGAGGAGCTGTCTTCCAAAATATCAAAGAGCATTAAAAGTTTTAAACCTAGTTTTGCATGACATGTAGCCTCTGGCGCTCTAAAATTAGAGGAGTAGTTGTGGACCCCAAACCTAATGTCTGTCTGTCTCTCTCTCTCCAATATTTGGATAATAATTGATACCAATTGTCAATAACTGTTTGCATACTTGACCAGAGGCGAGTACAGATATTAAAAGTGCTCCTTTTTGTATTGTACAGATATTTAATCATTTACCCTCTCAGATTTGCTATACAAATTTGATAAAATAGTCTAGATTTACTATACTGTATGATAAAAACAAATAATTATGGTCAAGTTAATGATTTAATGTCTTTGCTCATGTTGACCAGACCACACACTAGAAGGTGAAGGGATGACGACGTTTCGGTCCGTCCTGGACCATTCTCAAGTCGATTGTGTCTTGGCTCATGTTAGTGGAACATGAATGTGTCAAGGTCACCACACAACTGTCTGTCCTGTACTGCACTGCTATACAGGTCAGAGTCAGGAAGGATATGGGTGAAGCACTAGTTTGGTAAATAGGGCGGTTCACAAGTGGAATAGTTGCCAGCAAGTATTAGTGAGGTGCAGTAAATGCTGCAGCTTTCTTTAAAAATATGCTCGATAAATACATGGGGGACAGGGTTGGTATCTAGATGGGCACTACTCAGAATAGGGCATCACAGCCTGCTATAGTGACTACACTATGGTCTTATTATTATAAGTGCTCTTTGGAAGATGCAACAGCACAGTACTTTTAGTGGAAATCTGTAACTAGTCCTGGATCATAGAAAAATTATGGTAAAATAATTTTCTCAATTCAACACGGAAAAACTCATACAATAGATTCTATTATAAATTAAATACATATTTATGAATAAATTATTAGTATTGAAAAAATCAGCAGGCACCATGAGGATTCAAACCTGCACACAGGGTACTTACTCCCTAACTTGTGCCCTAAATCCTGTTAATGTGGTTCCTTTATACATTATTATTCTTATTCTTATTATAGTTAACTACTAATGGACAGATTATTTTAGAATGATTGCTGACAATTGATATTATGAAAAATAATAAATAATCATATAATTTGATTCTAACCTTGCCATCTACAGTAAGTGCCATAGCGTGTCGGCCACCAGAGTGGACAGCAACTTTCTTCACAACATATTGACTGAGAGCTGTTATCTGTCGTGGAATTGGTATATTACTGCAGTGGCCGAGTCCCAGCCTTCCACCTGTACCCTCACCACATGCATAAACCTGCAAAAATGCAATTTATTATTATAGTACATGGACTGCCATTTTATAATTCTGCTTTTGTGCACGGTACCTATTACTTTTTTTGTCGTGACATTCTATGGAATTGAAACAGAACAAAAGCAGGGTTACCATTATATTATTTTGTAACCAAATTTCAGTCTTCTTTATCCAGAGTTACTGATGCTGAGAGTTGAGTGTCAGACTGAGCCTCTGGTGCACCTTGTGATAATGAATGCTGGCTTCACAGAACCTTATCTTTAAAGTGCTCTCTATTATAGTGGTGTCAAATGTGATGGTGAAGGGCTTATTACAGTTTTGTATGGTATGGTCGGAATTTAAGGTGAGCGAGGACTGTTTCCTATCGATACCTGGTTGATGGGGTTCTGGGAGTTCTTCTACTCCCCCCAAGCCCGGCCCAAAGCCAGGCTTGACTTGTGAGAGTTTGGTCCACCAGGCTGTTCCTTGGAGTGGCCCGCAAGCCCACATACCCATCACAGCCCGTTTGGTCCAGCATTCCTTGGAGAAAACTATCTAGTTTTCTCTTGAAGATGTCCACAATTATTCCGGCAATATTTCTTATAGTCACTGGGAGGATGTTAAACAACCGTGGACCTCTGGTGTTTATACATTGTTCTCTGATTATGCCTATGGAACCCCCCTGCTCTTCACTGGTTCTATTCTGCATATTCTTCCATATCGTTCACTCCAGTACATTGTTATTTTACTATGTAGATTTGGGACCTGGCCCTCCAGAATTTTCCATGTGTATATTATTTGATATCTCTCTCGTCTTCTTTCTAGCAAGTACATTTGGAGGGTTTTTGAGAAGATCCCCATAATTTAGGTGCTTTATTGCATCTATGTATGCCGTATATGTTCTCTGTATTCCCTCTATTTCTGCAATCTCTCCTGCTCTGAAGGGGGAAGTGAGTACTGATCAGTACTCGAGACGGGACGACAACACAAGTGATTTGAAGAATACAACCATTGTGATGGGATCCCTGCACTTCTCAGGGATGTGATGGGATCCCTGCACTTCTCAGGGATGTGATGGGAACCCTGGACCTGGATATGCAACTTCTTTGGTATTCTCTAGGTAGACCTTTTTGCAGCCACATAAAATCATAGTTTACCAATGTGGTCACTATATAGTGATCACTATATAGATGTGATAGACACTGCATCTTGACAAGCTAAAACATCTAGGCTAACAGTTTCCTCCAGCACAGATATTTTTGCCTATTCTTATGCCTATTTTTCTGAAGAAGCTGTAGCATTTTGTGGGCTACATCTTACTGGTGCCCTTGTGGTCAGTTGAGCTAGTTCCTGGCTCTTCTCAACAACTGCCCCAACCCTTCCCCATTCCCCCTCCTTTCTCCTAATGCAGATGGTCAGTCTCTGGTGATACACGAACAAGACAATGAGTTGAACTGTAGGAGTAACATGGGGGAAAAGAGATATTGGAAGAGGTAGTAAATTTTAAATAAGTGGGAACAGTGTTATACAAAATGAAAATATGGAAGGGACATAAGAGATAGGATAATGAGTGGGTAAAAAGTGATAAGAGAAATGGGAAGATTATTGAAAAGAAGGAATGTTAGTGTAGGAGTTAAGAAAATACCGATATAGTATACTACTCCCAATTCTGAAATATAGGTGAAATTTTGTATGGAAATGGGCAGTGCTCAAGAATAAAAGCAATGAAAACAACTTTGAGAATAGTAACTGGTGTATGACATGGGATGGGTACAGAAATGAGGAAATGTATGAAATATGTTGTACGAGTGAAAAGAGGGAATTAAATGTAGAGTTGTAAAGTGGGAGAAGTGTTATACACTAAGGTTGTACCGACACTTTAGTAGAATACCACAATCACTTCGAGAGACGGGTGTACATGGGTGAAATAAATAAATCATAAGGTAGAGGAAGAACACCAATATCTTGGAAGGAAAGGGCTGAATAATATGTCAAACAAAGGCAAGGAGAAGAGGTCAGACAGCTTGAAAGAGTGAAAGGTTTGTGAGGTGATAGAGACCCCCTAGAGAAACTTCTCCTGTGACCACCCCTAATAATGAAAAGCTTCTATGATTAAGTTAAGCATCAGAGCTATAGATAGATAAACTGTCAACTGACCATATCGATTCCACTTGGAATTCCTCTTTGTCCTTGGAATATTTCACTGGTATATTTTCAACACCAACATCTACCAGTAAGAATAGCCAAACAAAAATAGTTTTAAAATATTATTTGGGTGAACATATATTTATCATTATTTTAGCCTTAGTCTTTATAGAAAATAGATTATGCTATTCAGGGCTATATTTTACCCAGAACAGGATCTGTCAGTTATTTTAAATTCGGTTCCCCAATTAAATTACTGCTGGATGCATATGGGTGAACAGAGCAACTGTGTCCACTCTGCCTAGGAAACTGAAGCCAAGATTATTTGAATTTTGAGGCCAGTGTTCTAATCACTTTATCACAGTATGCACCTAAAACAGGATCATAAATTTCTTTCACAATTTTTTTTTAATTTGTCAATATACTTTATCATTCCTGATAATTATGCTATGCAAGACACTGTTTACCCTAACAGCTTATAACCTTAAGTCTCGCCAGTAACGTTTCTCTTCCAATCAGAAAAATTAATTCTAAACATGAAGAAGCTTTGTATCTTACCTTACCCTCCTGTGATACAATAAAGAGGGACTTGGATCCACCAGCAACACTAACAGGGTGAAGACTGCTCAAGGTTTCTGATAGTATTGGCATTTTGACTTTAGACCCCTTGAGGCCTCCTAGCTGGTCCTTGTCATTAAGACCCCAAACTAAAACCTTTGGTTCACCATCAAAGCTCATAACCGACGTGAGGCTTTTTCGAGACATGTCTGTAATGTCCTCCTGTAGATACAATAAAACACAATATTCAGTTCAACTTATACAATTGAAAATAATACTTAAATGTGCATTATAATTAAGTTCAAAAGACTCGCTAAAAGTATTATTCAGCATAAGCTTTTATGTAGTAAAAGTAAATGCTACAAGTTTAAAAAGTTTATGCTACAGTAAAAGTCTGGTATCAATAGTCAAAATATCCACCACTTTTGGATGAAAAAAAAAAAAAAATAGATTTGTTCACCTCTACATCCTCATTGTCAGAGGCCAGGAATGAGACAGACGAAGCTGGCTCACCAAAATCATCCACTATCTTCCCCATCATTGTTAGACCATGGACACGACAGTCTATGCCACCACTTTTGCACTGCTTTATGCCAATTTCTATATACTTCACATACTGAAAGACAGACATTTATTATAATAAGCACAAAGCCCTTTTCTAGTCCTCTGCCATAATGCAACTAAAAAATAAAAAAATGTTGCACAAGTTATTAATTCCATATACACTGCACTCCTGTTTGAAGTTCGTTCCTAAAACTAATTAGAACCAGACCCACCTAGCCCATCGGACATTTATTTGCCGCTATTATATTTCATGCTCCTTTATTAGCTCCACTTCAAAATTATACCCACCAGATCAGCTGGAAATGTTGCAAAATACTTTGAGGCACATTGCCAATCAGTATTTTGCAATGGAAGTCAAAACTTCCATTACAAACAGCTTTCTGAAAGATCACATTCCATTCAATTGGGAGTGCAGTGTACCATCTACCCCTTGGAGTTAATATAAAAAGAACCTTTCAGAGCAGAATCATTCAGTTATATTAGACACAATCATGCAGTCAGGCAGACACACAGACACCAGTGCCACAGGGGAACTTTTCGAAGTGCTTCCTGTAGTGTAAGTATAGGCGCTAGGAAGCTGCAAAACATTATAGGTATCAGCGAGTTACAGGAGAATACTCCAAGTCTAACTATGCAGATTCACTAAGTGCAGGAAGCGACTAGAGATCATTTAGTCAAGCCCACAAGAACAGAGGTCGCACTCACAAAAATTCAAAGCCCTGCTGAAATATTTTTTGGCATCACAGATGCCAAAGTTTTTTTGGCCTCTGTATGTGTATGGCAGTATCTTTGGCATCTGCGTATGTATGGGAACCAAAGCATACACACCTGGATCCGAGAATCATACTCCAGATGTTACATGGTTGAAGATCCATATATGGCACTATTGAGAAGAAGGTTTTGCATGTACTATAGCAACCTTTCTCAAAACATTACCCAGAGCATAAACCTCAGGCTAACCTATCTTTATCACCTTATGTAATTACCCAAGTGTCAGCTGGGAGATGCATGCCTAGGCAAGAAAGCTCAGCCCTGGGAATCAAGGGAATACCCATCTTGGAAATGCTTTTAGGATGCCCCTTGACAAAAAACACTCAAACTGTGCCTGAAGACCTATCCAAAGACCTATTGCTCAATCTCGTGCGGCTAGAATTGCCGCTAATCCCTCTAAGAAGAAGTTGCGAACTGGACACCAATTGCTGGAGATCCGTCGACTAGTTAATAGGCCAGAGTCTCGTTCGTTATCGGAATTAACCAGACAGGCACCAATGGAGCATGAGAAGCAAATAAGAAAAAGCTTCATTAAGGTAAAGTACCAGTTGGTTAAAGCTGTCGAGGCCAAAAGCCAATTGAAGACAGGATCAAAGCAGCCTTGCTGAAAGTGCCACACCTTATATCCTAAGCAAAACAGAAATAAACATTTCAGAAAATGTTGTGATTAGAATGAAGAGAAAGCAACATATATAAAAAACCTGGCAAGAACCCCCAGCAAAATTGCCATCAAATCTATGTACTGTACTGAGAATAAATTGGTTTGTGTACTGATAGGCATCCTGTGAGGGTACATGTGTGTCTTGCACAGGTCCATAAAGTCCCACCACTCCAGATGCATTGGATAAAGTCAATAAGCATCCTGGAGAATATTTATCACTAATATAAGCCTATAAGAAATCTGAAGAGGTTAAATAGGTAAACAAAAACAAAATGATAATGGAATTAATATCCACTTATGAGAAGGACAAGCTATATCATTAAGCCAACTCTAGGATGAACATATTGATTGGAATAATAAGTCTAGTGCCTTAACATCAAGGCCATTACTGCTGAATAAGATAAATAGAGCAAATGATAAATTATTACAACCTCATATTAAGATTTTTTTTCTTAATTAAATAGGAGGATGCCAATCTCTAATAAAATTGAATAAGGATAGTATCATGAAGGACAATTTCATAAACTTATTTGTGGGGATATTAAATAGCAACACAGAAGTGACTGTGAGCAGGAAATAATGAATTGTCAAGTGTACTTTTTATTACGATTCTATTACAATGTGCTTTTTTTTGTGACATCATTCAACTACAGGACTGGACAATTGTATATATTTGAAATGTACCAATCTAGGTACTGATAATATCCCAGCATCATAGAGAATGCATGTACAAAATACACAGCTTCATATATCAATAATTATCTGTGACTCCTAAAGGCAATTTTGTGCAAGTTGAAATGAGAAAATGAACAATCAATCAGCTTCAACAAGCTGCCAATGATGTCATTATTATAATTCATTAAGAAAAATTAATTATATACCCATATAATTACAACAAGGTGCATATAATTCTATGCACCTTGTTGTAGCTGATTAGTTTCTTATTTCAGCTTGCACAAAGTTACTTCTAGGAGTCACAGATTTTTAGATAAAGCTGTGTATAGTGCAGTTATATTATTGAATGTGCAAAGTATAGCCGGAAGTATAACTGCAAAGTATATCATGGAGGTCAACAAGCACTTCACTAGTAAACTCTAGTGCAACATCAAGAGAGCAGAGAGGATGGTCAATTATTGTGAAGATCAATTTCTGAATATGGTGTGTGTGTGTTCCCTTCTATTCAATATACATATAGAAAAATCCTCTACCACGGAGGCAAGGAAATCTCTCTTTGGGTTGAAGTTATCAATCCACTTTAATAAAAACCTTGAATTAAGACCATTTTGCACTTTTTTTTTTAAATTAGTGAACAAATATTGCTTTGTTAAGTAATGTGTAAATAGCTTGTGTGTATAGTAGACCACAGGGCGCAACTCCATAGTCTCCCGAGACTGAAGGATGCCTACTACTACTATAGTAGACCACAGCTGTATATCAGCTGTTTGCAGCCACACTTGTGTTGTTCTGAATACCCCCACATGCTTTCTTGGGCGCAGCGCTTCTCCATACAAATTCATTTTTTTTTTTTTTTTTAGATTTCCTATGCTCCTTCCCATCCATAATGAGTTCCAAAGAGCCAACATGTAGAACAAGTAGCAAAGTTCTCCAAAGGTGAAGGATAGGACCATTTTGCTCAAGATAAAGAAGAAATAGTAAGACACTTTGAAACTGGAGAAAATGTTCATGACATCAGCAAAGCTCTGGGCCCTGCCACCATCAACTATTAAAAGCCAGGACCAGACTATGATTCCACTCAATGTAACAAACCTAATATGGACACAAGAGTGCTAAAGAAAAGTACAAATCAGTTCCTTGGATTGAGTAACATAATCAGTGCCTTGTGCCTCTCAGCACAATGCTAATTTATGTGAGGGTACAAAGTTTGTTTAATGATTTCAAGAACCATACAGGTGAGAGAGTAGCAAGTAGAAAATCTGGTGCTAGTAACTAAGGGTTGGCAAAAATTTGTATAGCACAACATTTTGCTGGAGAGCTTTATTTTGGTGTTGCCAACTGGCTGTCGAGTAATGAATCAAGGTGCCCACGTGGCCATCTGTCTTGCCAAGTTTCTCCAGGAGAGGCTATTGAGTTTACATAACACACTTTTTTCATCTACAATCTGGTTGGGACTGATAATTAATTCTCCAGTGTCTTCAGAACCAGCATGAATTAATGGGGCCAGTTTGAAAAGTTGCTCACTGCCCGAGTATGATATGTGGTGTGGTCTGGCCTGATGGCAGAAAATCTTAATCAGAGGTCAGTAAAGGCTCATCTTACAGTACATCGAAGGGTTTGGCTTAGAAAAGTGCTTTTCATTTCATATATACTCAAACCTAGATCTTTCATGCAGAATCTCAAAATTTAGTGAACCAAATACTATAGGCATTGAACAAAACCTTCAAACATGTTAGGTGGCCTCCAGGTTTTACAAGCATGGAACCAAGAAATAAAACCCTGAAAAAAGCTATACATCTGCATCTAATACATTATCATACTGTACTGAAATTTATATCATTCTGTATGTACTGTATACAATATATATGTCAAACAGCCAGGGAGTATCTTTGGCAATCAAACAAATGAATCTTTCAATCCCTCATAAGTTGATTGGTTATCTGATTATATTCATGATAAAAAAATCATGCATACAAAAAATAAACTTACTGATAGTGTCATAACACACAGCCAAAGTTGTGTTAATGAACAATGACGCCACGCTACTGCTCAAAGTGTGAACGTAATATGACCATTTGCATGTATTTGTCATTGGTTGTTCATGTAAGTCTGTTGGTTTTCTCCATGACATTGTATATATTCACAGGCACTTATAACATAGCATTCAGTACATATATATACAGTATATATTACCCTGTCCATGGTAATATTCATAATTTAAATAGCTGCATTACTTTATAAAATATAGAAATTATTTTTATATTATCGTCATGAGCCCATAAACTATCAATGTATTTATCAAATGTAAACTAGTTAATATGCAAATAGATACCATAATAATAATAATAATAATAATAATAATAGGAAATTAATTATATATATATATATATATATATATATATATATATATATATATATATATATATATATATATATATATATATATATATATATATATATATATATATATATATATATATATATATATATATATATATATATATATATATATATATATATATATATATATATATATATATATATATATATATATATATATATATATATATATATATATATATATATATATATATATATATATATATATATATATATATATATATATATATATATATATATATATATATATATATATATATATATATATATATATATATATATATATATATATATATATATATATATATATATATATATATATATATATATATATATATGGTGACATATCCACTTGATATAAAAGAGAATAGCAAAATTAAGGCCAGCAGGGATTGCAGGTATAGTATAGTATGATTTGATCTTTTGTTTATCAATCTGTTAAGCCAACTTATGTACTAAAAGCAAGTTCGCAGAATTCTGGCGAAAAGTGTGCGCAAACAGACTTACGATTAAAGACAGACATGTTGCAATCGCTGCATCTCCCTGGCTGGTCTGCTGGGAAGGGGGGGAGGCAGGGTAATCATCATTTGAAGTCGAAAAACCGAAGGTTGCTAAGGAAGCTTATGTTTCATTGTTTAGGGCTATCACATTCATAATTTGTCTTAAAATTTATGCAGTTTCTTAAACTTATTTAAATTGATTAAGAAAGGTTTTATTTAATTGTTATCAAGAGAAAGCTGATCAGAAAGAAATTGTTATTTACCCAATTTCATGTGCTTCCATTTATAAATTGATTGAAAGATTTCCTACATAGTAGGTCATCTATAAATTGAAGCTTTATAGGGATATTAAATTTCCTTTCAAATTTCAGTCTTACACGCAAGAACATACATTATGGTACAATATATTTAGCTACTTAGCTAGTATTGTTGTAAGTTCCACATTGTAAGAACCACGTTAAACACTTAAAAGTAGAGTATAGTTCCTGTATCGATTTACATTATTGCAATTTATACTCTAAGTTATCTAAAGGCTGTCTAATATACTTATAATGTACTGTATATGCATATAATTTACAAATATAATTATGAATTGAATTTCTATGTAAATTTAAGGTAGACATTATAAATTTAAGCTAATTTATGTGCAATGTTAGGATATCAACTTGTACACTCTTCTCCCTAAAATAATAACATGAAGATTTGTAAAATTCCAGTTAATAATTTATAGTATGTTTTACTTTATTTAGGAGACTAATATTCTTTTTAATACTGAATTAAAATGCATTGAAAACTACTGACTAAAGGTTTAACATACAAAAAGTATGAATATCGACCAGCACCATGCCAACACATCAAACAACTAGTCGGTAGCTTTATTCTGTGAAATTACACTACAAGACTAAACGTGTGAAACTATAAATACTATAGAACTAAATATACAAATATACTATAGAACTAAATGTGTAAAATACATTTTGATTTTAATGATCATTCACTAGACCAAATCAAAATGATCTGGCCTAGTGAAATCAAATTTTCTCCATGCAAGTATGTGGGAGGCCTAGTTATGTACAAATCATAACGCAAGTATGCTAAGAGGCACAGCCGTGAAAAATTCAGTGGGTGGGAATGCCAGAGGCTTAAAGGTGAAATGTGTTCTTAAAAAGTATGCTATATGTGCCTAAAAGTCCATAATTCTGTACCCGAGTACATTACAAGGCTAGAGACAACTTCATTGTTTGAATAAATCCAATACTCATTTAATTTATTTATACTGGTGCATAGATGTTTATATAGGGAATAATATAAATGACCAGCATACACAAGCACCGCTAAACAAAGCTTAGTATAATAATGTGTAAACCATCTTCAGACATCAAACTTTATTCTTAAACAAATAATTAAAACTATGAATCTTATCATTATCAATACTGAGCAATGGAATGATTTAGTTCTTCAAGAATAACATCACTTTTCAAATAGTATATATAAACAGCAAGACCTTGTCCTCTGGGCTATTTCACTTGCAATATCATGAAAGTATCTCACCTGTGTATCCAGAATGTTTAATGGTGCATATGTAAAACTGTGATGTATGTGGCAGTCATGTCACTGCAGGGCAACATAACTTTTGAAGTCATACTACTCTCTCTCACACACACTGGTTTTACTTGTGTGCATTGGTACTTGGGTACTTGTGCACATGCTTGGAGCATGTGTGCATGTTTGGCTCATGTGTGCATGTCTTGAGCATGTGTGCCTGTTTGGTGCATGTGTGCACATTTGGCATGCACGTGTATGTATGTCTGGTACATGTGTGTTTATATTTTGTTTGCATGTGTATGTCTGAGACCTTGTATGCTTGGCTCGTGTTTGTGTGCGCTTGGTGCCCAGTGCGACAATCCTTCACATCATTGGGTACTGGTTTGTTAAAACCTCTGCCATTTCACTGTTGCATCATTGCACTGAGAAAAATGTCCCTAATCCAGGAAAAACAATCTAGATATAATTCCCCCCAAAATACCACCAGGTTATTGCACTGCTGAACTTCAAAATAAACTTTGTATTAGGAAGATACATCAAGTGTAAAAAAAGTTGATTCCAAGAAATGTCCTTTAAGGATAAGCCAGGATAAAAGTTATCCTTCCTTATGGAGGTACTCAATACAAAAACAAATCTCCAGGCTTTACTTACCTCCTTCGCACTTCGAAGGAGAGTAACCCAAGTGTCTGAAGGAGTGATACGGACAGTGTTCAGTTCCCGCATCTTAGCCAGAGAATCTCCTCCACTGATCACTAAGAGGGTTGGCATATAGGAACTGTCTGCAGGATCTACAAGCAATCTCAGCCATTCAACTGCAATGTTGGGTTGCATCTCTAAACGTATCCAGTGCTGCAGATTAAAAAGATATTGTTCAGTTATACACATGATTATTACTACTAGACATTCTGCTATTCTCAAATTGGATATACAAATTAGAATAGACACTATTAATTATTTTTTCTATCTATTTTTGTTTTGTTTTTAGAGCATAGAGTACAAATAGAAGCTTTTCTATTAAGAGTTTTGCCAAGTACTAAAATGTGACAAAATCATGTTCCAATAAGTTGCTACTTGGAGCCAAACATAATAACGTACAAAAAACACACAATGTAATGCACATAATACATTTAAACACTAAAATATCCAAGATTACAAAATGTCAAAGACACCTAAATTAATAAAATGCACAATTTAAACCTCAATACTAAATAAAAACTGTCAACAACAAATGTTCAGGAGGTTTCTTGGTTATTCATTATTAACGATAATGGAAGGTAATTTACAAATCAATGATGTAAAGTGGGCTCTTGGTCCTTCAAAAGTATGCATCTGCAGACACCACATACAGTATTATTGTTCATGTAGAAACTTGTTAAGGATCTTATTCCAGGACTAAAGTATTTTATTACTGCATATACAATATTTTACAAAGCCTGTACAATAAAATTATGGTTTATTAGTACAATGAACACAAATCTGATTAGAAAATAATAGATTACGACATGCTGCTTCCCTCGGCTATCGACCATCTAATGAATGGTCGCTGGCCAGAATGATTACCACCCCATTCATAAAATTCAAAGCCCTTTTGAACTCGGCCTTGACATGTGACCATTGAGAGAGAGCTCTCATTACCAATTTGCTAGTTTGGGTATGTATGCTGACCAGCACTAGGTAGCAGCACTTCACAATTCCTGGTCCCCACACTGAAGCCACCTCACATAGTTGACTTTCTCTTGTTAAGAGTGGAAGTGTTCTTCAATGGTAGTGGGTTACTTGTTGGATAGTCCTTGTACAAGATGACAATGAGTTTACCTGTAGGTTACCCATAGCCAGTTTTGAGAACTGTTCTACTGTACATGTTTGATGATAACTTGCACCATGAAGCTATTGATTGCAGCAGTCTACAGACCCACATATTCACAACAATTTGGCTGATCCAGTACTTCCTGCAGAAATTTGTTCAACTGCCTCTTGAAAAATGTCTACTTTAGTTCTGGCAATATTTCTTTACAATGCAGTACTTTCATTAGGGTTATATAATTTTTGATTAAGTTAGATTTATGGGTGGAAATCAAAAGTTACAGAAAGTAAGGCCAGATAACAGGTCGAGCTTATGAGTGAGTGATAGGGGGGGGGGATAGTAGTGGGCCAGATATAAATAATAGTCGCCTCATGTGGGCCAACGAATAGGCCATCCGAAGATTCAATATTTTTGTTACATATAGAACTATAATATACTTTTTGCAAAGTCAAATACGATAGGTTTCTTTAATTTTATAACACGCAACACATTCTGGGAATTTTTGCTTGCAGGATAGAGAAGTGCCATTTCCAGCTCAGTTGTAGTATAACAAATCCTGTATGAGAGTTTTCAGTAAAACAGCCTATACAATGCTTAAGTGATTAATACAATGACCTTAATCCATACCTTGCCTTCCTGTCCACAGCTCTGCCAGTAACTTCCAGTGCCATCAATAAGCCTGTGGGCCCAATTTTCTCGGGATGACACACTAAGATTACGAACACAACGGTACCAATCTTCCACCGTGCCATCAACTCCTCCCAAGATGCCTTCCTTCTTACGGAAACGGCCTCTACCAGGAGGACCAGCATAGACAGCTGGACTACCTGCCCTCAGAAAATAGGTATCAATTTTATTTCCAGTCTAACACAAATATTTAAATACACACTAAAAATATAGTTATACAAAGATGTATTCATTTCTGAAATATTATTGCAAGCTTTTACAGAAATTGATCTTTTCAATGATCTCACCCGGCTCTGCAATCCTATTGAAGAGATGACGGTGACTTCTCTTAGTCTGGTAGCATTCTTCACAATAGTCAAAGTTATCACATACCTTGCATTTCATTCTTGCTCCTGTGGATTCAAGGCAACTTTTATATTTATTACATAAAATACATAATTTAAGTTAATCATTAGTGCATTACATTCAGTAATTACGATGAAATATTGAGACAATGTGATGGGAATGAACTAACACCCCTGGACTCTAGAAACAAGGATGCGAGTCTGATCCCACCACTCTGCCTCAGTATTTTCTTGCATGTATATCATGTTACTGTGATTTCAATGTACAATATCTACTATAAATTGCAAAACTAAATGTCACAAGATTTCTAAAGTAAATTACCACAAACATGAGAGGTGAGAGTGATGGCACGCATAGCCATTCTGAATGGCTGTGTGCTGTACACAGAATGGCTCGCTAAGCTCTGCTCACTTGAGCGACATGTTATTCGAACACATCGATGCACACGAAACAAAATCTCAAATCCAATAGTTTTACAAACTGGTATGTAACACATCGGAATGCAGCCACAGGTTTTTTGGATGATGCATATTGCAGTACATATTTGAAATGCAGATGTTTGGATTTGATAACTTGTTTAATTATAAAACCAAAAATGCTTCTAAATTACTATCCCTCGTGTAGATAAATAATAACTTACAGTACCTTATAACACCAAATTCTCTTCTGACCTTGACTATCAAATGCAATTGTCTTAAATATTCAAAACCGACATGTTATTTACCTCATTATGCACGTAAGGACTGATACGAAGCATTCACATCCCCCAACTTTAACCTCAGGTTTGTTTGTTTTTACAATGGAATTTGCAATCGATAACCTAGGTTGTGTGGCTCCTGCTGGTGTGCACAAGTAGCAAGAGCTAAGATCCCCACTGTGTCCATGTTCACGAACTTACCTGTTATAGGGGAGATCCCACAACCATCACAGGTAACACTCAGGTGGCACGAGGGCACAACCTCCATCTCGCTGACCAAACCTTGCCAGTTTGGCTGCTGCGGGAAGTCGACCATCAGGTCCTGGCCATTACTACTCACACCTAATCCAATCAAAGAAAAAGTATTCAATTGTATGCAACTTACTAATCACAAAGCTAAAAGTTTACTCAATTTATATAAAGCTTTTCATAGTACATAAACAACTTTAGTTCATGCATACTATAAACTATATTTCTTTAAAAATTTGTGTTATCCAAAAGCTTTTCCAATACAGTAAATGGTTTCTCACATGCAAGCTAGTTTTCAAAAGCATTATAATAAATGAAAGATATACCTGTAAGCACATGAGAGGTGATTAGAATTAATAACCATCAACTAAACTGTCATTGTGACGAGTTATTAGTTATGATGCCATAAATATAATATGTCAAGAAATTATTGCACAACTATAAAGCAAGTAGTAAAGGCACAGACCTGGAATCCTATCTTGGCCTAACTGACCAGACTGTCTCTAGTATTTGATTTTTTATCATAATATCTTTAGCTGAAGGTACCACATGAAAGAAGTGACCTAGATTATCTATGTAATGCATGCAGACATTCAAAGTAGCTGTCATAACATTTCTTGATATTTCTTTGAAAATATGTCTGACCAAATACAAGAAACAAGTCAGTGACAGGTTCTACTTGCAACAAACTGAAGTTCTTTTAAACTAAACTGAATAGCTTTATCAGTTATGCTCAATGTGAAAGTGAAAATGAAACGGTGCAGCAGAGGATGGCTGTAAGTTCAACCTACACTACCCAGGATGCAGTATAGGAGTGATACAGGCAGAGGCAGGGTTGGAGGAGAAAAAAATAGATGTCAGCATGGCTGCTCTTGAAGAGGACAAAGGAATACCACTGGAAAATTAACATCACCAAGTTATTCTGTATAATAATGGGGTGTTAAGGCTCTAAGTATCACCATGGTATTATGCATAACTCTGTGCAGAAGATAAACTTGGTATAACCAACCACAACAAACACTTAAGTGTCCAATATGATCAAGACATCATTCCAAAACTGCACATTGAGGAACATAAAATTTTGTTGAGTACCAAAACTTTATTTAGATTTTTATGCTGAATTTTTTAACCTGACAATTATTTTGGAAGGCAGAAGAGCTTGATTGCTCCCTTGAAAACATTATCAGCTTATCAACCACTCTTGGTCTTGAGGTGACCAAATAACAGTTCAGTACTTGTACCCACTCACTTATTATGATAGTAACTAGATAATGCCATTGTTACACTCTAACAGGCTGTCACTGCAGAATGATACGTGACACTTACTTGTAACGACTCCAATGTTGCGGTGATTAACCGAGCCCCACTTGTACTTTGGAGTGACCACTGAACTTTTCACTCTTACTTTATCTCCGACTCTAATGGGACCATTGGTAGCTAGTGGGGGTGGCGGCTGGTCCAGGAGCTCAATGTGGATGTAGCGAACCCAATATGTTCCTCCTTTTCGATGCCAGTCAACCTATTATTTTCAACTTTGATAATTACTAAAATAATAAAACATTTTACTTATTACATTTGTAATCAGTTAATTACAATACCTGTATAATATTATTATGATATTATACAGATCTACAAATGCTACCAAATAATTTACACACATTTTATACAATCTTGAGAAGCAATACTGTATACAATAAATACTAACCTGAACATTGAGATTATGCAGAGAACCTCTATCAACTCGCACAACCCGCCCAATGTCTCCTTCATAAACCTCTTCATATGTGCGACAGCAACGTACATTCATACCAGGTGATATGTGGTCCCGCACATACATAGCATATTCATCATTGCTGGTAAACTCAACTCGTTTGCGATATACTTCAACAATAGGAGATGCCTACGATATGTAAAGAGAGAATACAGAAATTAAATAATCTTGATCTTGTGTATCTTTGCTTCACAAATGGATCAAATTGTTTTAAGTTCTTGAAGTGATAATTTACTCAAACTCCCAACATATTTTTAATACATCTATATTTTTGTTCCGTTTTAAATGTCGGAATATTTGAGGTCAGGTACTGGTACCTATTAGGTCATTCAGCAATTATCATTCATTTAGGTCCCATTTTGCTGTTTGGTGCACAAAGGCAAACAGTGAAAGTGCAGTGCCCAATCATCCCATGCTACACGGGTATTGATCCGACATCATCATACAAGGTTAAGTGGGTGAAGGTGCTAATCACTAAAACTATAGTGTACAGGTCTTGTCTTTTATGCACTTAATTCTTCAAGACACAGATTATTATTTTTACATCAACAATTATAACACAGTTTGAAGCAAACTTTTTTTTGTATATAAATTTTCCTAAACAAAATGTAGTAATCAAAATTCCATGACTTGTATTCCGTTACAAGACAAAATCGGTTACCTTCTCTTCATAAATGCGTTCACCTTTATATTAATTCCTCACAACAATATACAAAACATTCTTATTAACATGCTTCCAAGCACCCTCATCAAACTTTGTTTATTCCGTAATTATTTCTCTCATTTTGACAAATAAAATGGTAAAATTCTTGTACTGTACCTCCAATACAGGTGGATCATCATTAAACTCGTCTGTTAATGAATCTGCATCTGAATCCAAAACATCTTGTGCAGTATCCGTGTCAGATAAAGTGATGTCAGCGTGCTCAATAAGCCACACAACCAATGACTCGGGGCTTGGAGCTACTTCAGTTCCAACACCACCTGCAATATAAAAGACCACATGATTAAAAAAAAACTACAATTAGTATTTCAAACCAAAGACTTTTTAAAAAAATTCATAATGAAAGTATAATTGATAAAACTTTGTTTAGCTTTGCTTCATGAAACCTTAGAATTAAAGTACACTGTAATACCACCAATACACATTTGTACACAGTAATATATTCCAATATTTCATTTATTAACTACAATATAAATTATATATATTCTACATATAGTGTACACTCCAAAATCTGGATTGCTAAACAACGAACCAAATCCATTCATTGGATCTCCACTCAATTTTCACCATTTCTTTAAAAAAAAAAACTGTTGATATACACAGTTCCAACCTCAACATGGGTCTACATCAGTATACAGCACACTGCCCACCTAATGGTATTGGCCACCCGAGTTTTAATTGATTGTTCCTCAAGAACCCACGAGCATTATTACCTGATAATATTGGACGCAGAAGCAATGTGTGTCAGTGTGTTTTGGCTGTCTATTCACTTTGATAACATTTATACCTATTTTTTGGACATTAACATCACCCACCCCAATATTTGACTACTCCCTCCTTGAGAACCAACGAATATTAAGATGTATTAATGTGTATGGTAACAGTGTCTTGACACACATTGGTAACATTTTCACAATTGATTTAGAGATACTGAATTTGGTTTAGGTGGCTACATTTTCCTTCTACATGTTCCTGGCAACATTATTTATTACCTATGATACATCGTTCTAGGTGTCTACCCGGGTCTTTCTACAGACTAAAGACTATAGATCCTCCTTATACTGTATTTGACAATGACAAAAATAACATTCTCATATGCAGTAGCGGTCTTTCAAAAGCAAACCATCACTGTGGCATTCAAACTTTTGTATTAGATATCGTTTATGTTTCAACAGATCAATGGAGTATACTCAAAGAATTCCTTGCATTTATTTTTTCTATCCAACAGTGCAGGGACTAAAGATTTTTAGGCACTGGCAGCCAGATAAAGAATCTCATTTTATGTGATACACAGTACTATACATTATTTGTCTAAGTAAAATTGATAGTACTTTACCTAGAGCCTTAACTGCATGTTCCACACTCTTCCGTGAAAAGCCCATTTCCATTAACTGCCTGACCAAAGGGGATGGAGAAGCATTGCGTGTCCTTTTTCCTCGCGTGGTTTGTGCTGGACGGGTTGGACGAATCTGCGTCGGTGGATTATCATTTGCAATAACAGGTGAAGGTGGGCATCCTATAGAATGTTCACTAAGAGGTGTAGAGATATCATCATTGGAGCAGGGTGTGGCTGGAATAGGCTGCGATATCTCTTCGGTGAGGCTTTCACAAAGAGCTAGTGCTGCAGTCTGTAAAATAGGAAGTAAAAATATAAAGATTAAAAAATTTGATCTGAATATTTATAACTTTATTCTAGCTATTGCTGATTATCTTGTTTATCAAACTGATTTGGAAATTTACAAAAAATCTAACTTTCTGCTGTGTAGATGATTGGTAAGTGTTTGCATATGCCTGCCCACTAACTTCAGATTGTCAATAATTAACATTTTCCCAACAAAAAATTAACTTCTTCCGTACATAATATAAATAATGATAAGAAAAATAAGAACATTAGTTGATGCCCTAAATTAATTTTCCACTGTATGTGCACACTAAGAATTACTGACAAAGGAGGAAGATGGATCTTTAATTTTCCAACCAACAGAACCAGAGTGTAATGGTCAAAGTAAAATCCAGATCATCGACTGTGAAAAGATCAGTCCCCCAGGGTATTGTGCTTGCTCCAGTACTTTTTCTCATCCTCATATCAGACACAGACATTAACACAAACTAGAGTGCCAAATCATCCTTTGCACAAATTAACTGGATTTTTATGAGAGTAGACAATATAGAGGACATAGCAAACCTCCAAACTGATGTAAATCAGGTGATTCAATGGGTCACAGAAAATAATGATGTTTAATGAAGATAAGTTCCAGTTCCTGCACTATGGAAAAACGAAAATATAAAAACTGAAACCACATATAAAATGGGGTCAAATCATAGTACAGTAGAGAACGAAAAAGCAATAAAAAAGATTGGGGAATATTCATATCGGAAGACCTTACTTTTAAAGAACACAATAAAGTAGCTGTCACAACTGCAAGAAAAATGACAGGTTGGACAATAAGAGCCTTTCAAACAAGAGGTACAATACCAATGATGATTCTCTTTAAGACGCTAGTGTGGAATATTGTTGCACAATAACAGCCGCATTCAAAGCTGAATTAATTGATGACCTGAAGAACTTGTAAAGATCTTTTAATGCTAGAATCCTCTCAATAAAACATCAAAATTATTGGGACCACTTGAAATTATTAAATCTGTATTTCCTAGAGTGCAGGTGGGAGAGACATCATAATAATTTACACTTAAAAATATTTAGGGAACTGGTTCCAAATCTGCATGTGGAAATAACACCACACACACGACAAAAAGGCATATTAACACTTTCGCCCGGGCATGACGCAGCATTGCGTCATCCGTTTACTGGCAGTAATACCGGGGATGACGCAGCATTGCGTCATCCACTTTAAATAATCGGCAAAAATCAGGTTTTTTCCGATTTTTTGGGGACTGGTTTTAAAATGTGCGCCGATGTCTTCCCATTTTCTTTGTTGAGCCTCGTGGCCCTCAGGCGGCTTGGCACATGCTGTGGGCCCATTGTCTTTGCTCCACTGTTGTGACCAATGTCGCCTCCCCTCGCATCTCAAACGTGTGAACATTTCGGCTATTTTCCGTGGCTATATTTCTTATTGCGGCTTTAGAAACTATCTACGCTTACTCCACGATGGATAGTAATCATGAACAAGGCCCTTCCAGGAAGAAAATTGCGAAAGAAAGGCTTGAAAAGGGCGGGAATTGGGAGTGTAGCAGGAAGGCGTCTGAGCGCTCACTCACGGCTAACACGTGGCCCGTCTTCAACTCGTCGGCGGTTGGAGCGTGACCAGGTTTTTTATTTTATATGCTAATGTTCCTCTAGAGAATTTTATTACGAACCCATTGAGACCAAAATGAAAGACCTAGGACAAAAATTGAGGTGACCAGAGTGAAAATAGTGAAAACATTTTATCCCGTTTGCGCGCTCCCGGGTAACTCGTTCGCACTTTCTCGTTTGCTGCGGGTAATTAGCCGGGCTTTTGGAGTTTATATGCATTTAGTGCTGTAGAGAATTTTATTGCGAACACAATGATACCAAATTTAATCTCGTAGAAGGAGAATTGAGGTGACAAAGTTGAAGAGAGTATACACTTTTCGGAATTAACGCACGCTCCCGTGACACGCTGGGGCCCATATCGCACAGTTGAGGGGTGGCGCGGGGGGTGAGCGAAAGTGTTAAGAAGAGCAAAATAACCTGGTTGAAACAACCCATCCTCTCGCATTATCACAACATCACTAAAATGATGTACAGTACTAGATTGCCTAAACCTAACCTAACCAAGGGCCCATGAATGAAAAATGAGACTGCCCATCAATTTTGTGAGGTATGATGATTTATAGTGCACCATATTTTGACATTGGGGATTTTTATGTCAAAATATGATGTGTTATTAGAGGACAGGTTGGTTGAATAGCAGATGTGCAATAGGTACACTGAGAGAACTCTACCAATATCAAAGGCCCAGGACTTTTTCAACACTCCCCCTCTAAACATAAGGAACATAACTGGCCGACCTCTCATGAGGTTCAAAAGAGAATTTGATAAACATCTTCAAAGGATAACTAATCAACCAGGCTGTGATTTATACACCAGACTATGAACAGTCATGTCCAACAGTTTGGTTTACGAGACCACCAACCAGGAGACCTAGCCATACACTGGCAGTGGGGACACTGATCCTCGAAACCAATGCAAGGCAAGGTAGTCAATGACATTACCTCTAACTGCTCCCTTGTGTATGATGCCTTCACAGGTGATGGAGGTGTAGATGCAGTGATGAGCCTCTGAATTAGAAGAATCTGAAAATAATAAATACATGCCTAATTAAATACTTCTAATATCCTTTGATTATATATCTATTTACAAAACAGTATCAATTTATATCCATATACTGTATACATATTTTCTTATGCACAGCAAGGAGACTCATTTACAAAGTATTGAAGCCTTGCTACCATTCTACTGTAAATGCAAGAGTTTAGGTAATGCAAATTTAGTAATGCACAATTTTATTTGTAATACAAATATTTGAACTTCTCTATGGTGTATGAACTTGTATGCAAGTTGGTGCATAATTTTAAAACTCCTGATAATGTTGCATGTATTTCATTATAATTATTGAGAATTGAGATACAGTATAGTAACATTTCCAATGTTTACTAACAAAAAAAGTAATCTTTACAATAACAGCATATTATTTGCCTCATAAATTATGTACCCAATAAAAATAAACAAATATGTAAAACAGATTTTGCTAACACAAACATTAGAATACACTAATTGTAAATGCTAGATGATCAACAATTTACAACTCTATAGCCGTGTTGTCCCTAAATAACAAATCTTGCCCTGTAACTCTAAATCGTAAAATGGGAAATAACCTCTAAACTCTGGCTGGTGTCATCCGCCACTGAATCAAGGTTGTTAGTCGAGCTGCTGATGTCCGTTGTGGGCTGCAAAAGGACCAGCCTCAGAAGAGACTGATGATTCAGGAGTGCTCGGCATGCATTCATCACCAACATGCGCAGCTGTAAGGCAACACAAGAACAAATAAATAGCTGCACGTTACAATAAAATCGTAGTTTGAAATTTAATGGACCTTATATATTTCCCTCAATTTTAAATATAATGAAAGCTATTCCTCAAATATAAATTAATGGGCATTTTAGAGACCTTATAACTTATTATTTACATGAAAAGACTCTTTTGTTTAAATAGAGTAAACATAACCTGTATAACTGTCCTTAACCATATATTTTTTACCAAACATCAGTCTTTTTCTATTCATTAATTTTGTTGACATGTTAATTTTCCTCCTATACAAAGTTATGCTGTACTGCAAGCAATAGAAATTAAATACTGATTATTATGCATTTTCTTTTCCTAGCAACCATTTTCTGGGGTCAACCCAGGAGACAGCACACATGCATGCACATTGAAAAAATTTCCATGCATTAAACCATGCAAACCATGGTATATTAAACCCGTTTTTAAGCTCCATTTACGTATTGTACTTCACACAATACAGCCTACATATAACTCCCAAATATAGTTATTTTTCTGTCTACTTACCTGCTGTATTCTCAGTAATGTAGGAGAAAGTGCTAATGGGCTGGAAATATGAAAACTTCTTGAATAATCCCCAGCCAGAGCCACTAGAGAAACCCAAACTTGAACACAGGCTGTAGTTACACTTAACCGATCTGTATCCAGAGGAATGCACTAAAGTCATTAGTCGTGTATACAATGACTGACCTCATAAGTTACGTTATGTAGGTCAAGAAATTTTTCAGTGTCTGATACTATCACATGATATTAAAATTAACATCTTTATATAGTTAAAACTAAATAAGATGTAATCTGCCTAAATTAGTATCAAAATAAATACCAAAATTCCAAATTAAATTAAATTTATTGAATTATTCCTAATGTAAATTAGAAAGGCAATTGCAGTGGAATATTAAATTAAAATACAAGACAATCTAATACAAAAAGTAGGAGTTAAATTTAACTAAAAACTACAGTGGTACCTCGCATAACGATTGCCCCAAAAGACGAATATTTTGGGTAACGAACGGCCCGATCGGCGTCAAATCGTCCCGTATGACGAACGCTGGTTTGAGTAACGTCAACACCACATGGTGGGGTCGCGCTGCTGCTTGCACATTCTTAGACGCCTCCGACGATGCACATAAATTATGTTGTTCTTGTTTAAAGATGCTAATGATGCTGGGATATAAAAGGGTGACTGCTGAGATGTTGCAAAGCATTGACGTTTTTGTAGGAAACAAGAAATGAAATATCTGATATACAACAAATGTCAAAAAAGTTCGTTCGGTGTTCGGCAGGTAGGCTGCTCCATTATAACAATCTTTCTTTGTTTCAAATGTGTTCCATTTGTTTTTTATTTGTCATTTACGTCTCAATAATGGAGAAGCCTACCTTACATACACTGAATAAACCATTATGACATTTTCCTTTCTTCAAATGTGTTCAATATTTATTTTTCATTTGTCTTATAGCAAAAGGTTCGTTCGGTGGTCGGCAGGTAGGCTGCTCCATGTTTCTTACATACAAAAAACGTAAATAATAAAAAATATGAAGAATTTTGAAAACCAGTACAAATGTCAAAAATGTTCGTTCGGTGGTCTACAGGTCGACTGCTCCATGTTTCTTAAAAAAAAAAAAAAAAAACGAAAAATAAAAGAACTGTTGAAACAATTTGAAAAATGGACAAATGTCATAAAGGTTCGTTCAGTGTTTGTCGGGTAGGCTGCTCCATTATTGAGACGTAAGTGATAAATACAAAACAAATGGAACACATTTGAAACAAAGAAAGATTGTCATAATGGAGCAGCCTACCCAACAAACACTGAACGAACCTTTTGCTATAACGAATATGAAAAACAAGGGCTGCTGGCTGGGTTAGTAGTGCGTGAGCAACCATTTGTAGCACACATGCCTCTGGCTCTCAAACACCTGTCCCACACGGTGTTGAAAGACTACTCAGTCAGTGCAATTCAGACCCTATTGTTTGAAGAACATAAGGGTCATAACATTGGTGAAGCTAGGCGCAATAAGGGCTTAACACAACGGTCGGATGCCTGTGATACAGCACCTATGAGGATGATACAGCGAGCGTATCCAGGTGTAGCTCTGAGCCCCACCCTTGCCATCTCTAATGTATATAGATGATACATAGATGAATCGTTTTCTGCGTTCAGTGATGATGCATCTGATACAAGTAGCATAGATGAACAGTGTTAGCGGCTTCCATGGTGGTGGTGTTCATTGATATTTTTAAGAATACCTGAATCTTTTCCTGACTGATGGACACTCTTTGAGGCTAGCTGAATCTCTTCCTGACTGATGGACACTCTTTGAGGCTAGCTGAATCTCTTCCTGTGTGGGACCTAACAAAGCGATCTTTTCAAGACTACCTTACAAATTGAGCTTTTCCTATAATCGTTTCAATACTACCTTATGCTTTATAAGCTTGGCTACATACCACCTACAAGTACTAAAGCCAAGGGTGCACGCGAGTGCATTATTTGCAAGCACACAGAACGATGAAACAGGAAACAAAAATCTATCTGTAGCTGGTGCAAGGAGAGCAAAGTCGCGCTGTGTACCATGGACTACTTCGTTGACTATTATGCACCTCCAAAGTACTGAGTGTGTAATACAGTGTGTTACTGTGTAAATAGTATGTGAAACTGTACATATTGTAATATTAGTGCATTTTTACCACGTAATATTGTGACAATAAACATTTATTGTGGACACATTACTGACACATGTATCACAGTTTCATGGAAAATTATGAACATTCTACTGTATACATATTGTAAAGGTCACAAATATGCATCATATACGATAAAAGAAACAAATAAAACCGCATTGGAAATGCATAGGAAAAATATTTGAAAATATATTTGTGGCAACACGCGGTGCTTGAATGGCCTGCGCGACCGTGTCTGGGAGCTTCACACACGGGCGACCAGCCCCTGATGACGTCACAGCGCACCTTGTCCACGCCCTCACAGCCAAAGTAAGTGGAATTTGGTAATTATTTTTACATAGACATGTTCAGGGACGGTAATTTATCATTTTACAAAGAAAAATTATATTTTGGGGAACATTTGATGTCATGCACACTAGGGAAATTTCACAATAAACACAGTGCATCACACTGGTTACATGGGGGACACTCGTTTTGTATGACGTCCGTTTCACATGACGAACATGGAACGGATTAAATTCGTTATGGGAGGTACCACTGTATTTTTGTTTTGGCTCTCAGTTGCCACAGGTGTTTGACTTGAATATACCAAGCTTTATCCAACAACCATCAACCAGACAGACAACCAGAGCGCAACTCCGTAGTCTCCTCCAACTGATGGATGTCTACTAACCTAACCCAACACACCAGGAGCAAGAGGCTCGTCTGTTGCATACTCATGGTCAGGACCAGAATTTGGCTCAATTAGTGAAGCTTAGGAATCACAGATAGACCTAAAACAAAAAACAATTCCACAAAGCACAGGTAAAAAAAAAAAAAAATTACATGCTATGGTTGTTTTCTACGAGGGACCCCACGAAAGCTTCCACAGTTTACTCATGTGGCATCTCGAATGAGGAGGTCAACTTTTCTAGAAATGGAGATGGTGAATTGGGATTGCCTATGAGAGAAGAATGGCAGAAGAGGAGGGTTTTGAGGAAAACAATGGCATCCATGTAACAAGCAATGAGATGCCAACATCAGAAAGACCACTAGAAGCCCCAAGCCTGAAAATACACTGTGGATAAAGCAAGTATCCACACATCATCAGACTGGTGCCCAAAATATGGCTGACTGGACCACATCACCACATGGAGGATGGGGTGAAAACAGCCATGATGCCAACAGTGTGCACCCCCCAGTCACAACACAGCACAGAACAAAACCCCACTTCAGAGATAAAAGAACACTGAGACAGCTGGAGAAGGAGTTGAAGCCACTAACCCACTCCCTGTGACCTCCATGTCAAAGAGAGGCTTTGCCAAGGCCATATGAGATGAGTTGACAGTACCTGTATAGGCAAAAGAAGAGCCAGAATAAAAAAATAACAGAAATTGACACAAAGGACAAACAATGAAGAGATGCACTGGCAGGAGGCTTGCCCAGTCACTATACAGTGTTGCCATCAAGAAAAATGACCATATGACACCAAGACACCTGTTAACCCAGCTCCAACAAAGGAGACTTCATGGAAGGCCAAGTAATTATATACCCACCTTACTGTCCTGCATATGATAAGTGGAAGATAGCTGCAAACCCTACGGTGAGGCAAAGATCTAGAAAGGAAATAAGGGTGGGACAATGAATGAAAAAACCTACGGTGAGACGAAGATCTAGAAAGGAATAAGGGTGGGACAATGAATGAGAAAACCTACGGTGAGACGAAGATCTAGAAAGGAATAAGGGTGGGACAATGAATGAGAAAACCTATGGTGAGACGAAGATCTAGAAAGGAATAAGGGTGGGACAATGAATGAGAAAAATTATGGAAGTATGCTGAACTTGGAAAATGGGAGCCTGTAAAAAAAACTAAGGCTGCAAAGAGCCCTAAACCCGGACAACACACACAGGAACTGGACAGTGGGAAGAAGAAAAAGGAAGCTCGCCTACCCCAGGCCAGATTAAATGCACCCCCCACCCACAATCTCCACACAATCCAGAAATGGTGCCTTATAGACTGGAAGCCACCAGAACCACAATGAAGTAAACATATCCACCTGTGGATGGCTGAACTGCCAGCAAAATCAGACAAAGATGTCCCGTCCATATTCCACTCCATCACAATAGACAGACAGAAAACAGACCAACAGACTTTTTGAATAACTAGATTCTGGTTATGGACTCTGATAGACAACGAAGGGTCTCAGAGACCTGTTGTGTTGGCCTAAGGTTAAGTGGTATCCAAGTTAACCATGGAGAGCTACCGAGGGGTCTCTCGCAAAAATGTTCATGATGTATTGCGTACAATAATAAACTTATATTAATTTAGAGTAAGTAAATTATATCCTGTACATATGCAAACTTAACAAATTACTAATACCTCCACCTGGTTTAATTAACCTAACCTAATTTATGATAATTTAAGTAACAAGTCAAAATGAGCATTTGTGTATAGATGATCTGTTAAGACGTCCCTCGTCTTACACCGCCATGAATACAGTTCGCTGTTGTAACACAAGCACCAATTTACTTAAACCAATAAAATATATATGTCAAATAATATATCTCAACAAGAAAAAACTATACAGTAAGTATATCTAAACATGTAAACAATTCATAGAAAAACTATCCTACTTAATATTTCAGTTTCACTAGCATGTAATACTAGCTGTATCATTTCTGTATGATACGGCTGTATCATTTCTACAAATCCTGCTGTATAAAATGGCAACCCTAATATTCATCTTGACTGTATCAATAACATTACCATGTAACACAGGTTTAATAATGCCTCGGAGCAAATCCTACCATGTCATTTGATTTATTTGTTTAATATTCAGTATCGGAATCAGTCCACAAGCTACATAAAAAAATTAAAACACAATAGGTTGGAACAAGTGAGAAGGTTGTGAAAGCCAGAACCATCAGTTGTTTCTAAGTGTCATATGACAGTCTTGGAAGATGGGACACAATGAGTGTAGCTCTCACATTCAGGAACTACACTTCGGTAATTATAATTCTTTTCCAATGTTGTATCCTGAATATACTTGCACCTTGGATCCCATTTTTCTTCATAACTGCCATTTTTTTGTCCACGCTCACAATTTCTAGCATATTTTGACCAGAAAAATATTTTCAAATACTATGCCTGTCTTAAATGTTATTTCATCACATGAATATGTATAAGAATAATGACTTCAAACCTCATTAAAAAATTCTTAATTCTGTACAAATACTTGTAATGCATACCACTGTATACAGTTTGAGACAATCTACTGTCATTAAATAAAACTGACTCTTGGTTAACCTGTATTTTTATATTTCAAAGCATTACAATTGTAACTTCATAAAAATGTATATTAAGAATAAAAAGGTAACCCATTTCAAACCTTCAATTGAAATTCACACATTATAAATTTGTACATGTAGGCTATTTACATTATTTTTTAATACCTGTATCCAGCCCAGCTTACCAATAGCAAAACGTTTGGTGGGTGATGGCACTACCGACGATAAACTTAGTCTGAGAAGATTTCCACCTTCATGAGGCTGAACATAAACTTTGTGTTGACCTATACGAGCAATTGTGCCTGATAAAGGAATTGAAAATATTAGATGTACAGTATTTATAACATTCAAAAAATACCTTATGGCAGTGTTTTGTAATCTTATTCAGCAATGTGTATTTTACCAACAATAAATAGGAAAGCATACCCAATCCACCCTCCAAAACAACATCCCCACCAAGTCTGGGGCGTGCATCAACACCTCCAATAATGGCCAAGGATGCAGCTATACCTGTGGCTTGACCAGCTAAGCTACCTGGCCGATAATCATCAAACTGAAAATTAGGAAATATATAATTTTGGTAAAAACTCAATGTATAAATGATATACATAATATATAGAATGTGTGTATTTTTTATTTAATTATACACATATAATGTATATATTATTAATAAAAAATTTATTATATATATATATATATATATATATATATATATTATATATATATAATGACAAAAAAATTATAGAACTGTTATATAATTCAACAAAGAATGAATGCTAAATATAAAGAATTAAGTACTGTACCAACCTTGAACTGGAACTGGGAGAGATCAGTTAACAACTGGGACACTAAGCCAAGTCGATCAATTATGGCATCATTAATAACATTGTTCCAGACTGGAAGAGCATGAAGAGTCCGCACTAGAGAGACTACAGCTTCCGCAACAGTACTCGAGTGAGTTGATGTTATGGCGACGCAAGTACCACGAGCCTTCTTGCCTAACAAGAAAATTAAGATTAATAAAAGTACGATAATAACCATGAATAAATAAATATAGGCACATTAAAACTGGAACAAATAAATATAGGCACATGAAACTATTGTCGAAAAATGCATACATCAATATTATTAAAATATTGGTTTTATAAAACATGTTGACTGGTCTCTGAAACATTACTAGAAAGGGGATCTTTCAACTGCAAATGTTCAATCAAATTCAAGTTATCCATTTGAACAAATGCAATAAATACAGGTCACCGACTCAAAAATGGATATCTGAAGTGAATCACGTTAAATCTTTCATAAAATATTGATTGAATTTTTATTTCTACCTTTATTCAATAGACTTATACAGAATGTGAAAATTCATGTATTCAAGTACAGAATAATTATATATTTTCTAGAGTACAATCTGCACCAGCAAACATTTAGAAATTAAAAAATACCACACATAAGATTTATCAATTATTATGATACAAGGTGTTTGTTAATCATCATTGTGAATAGTGTATTGTACTGCTCTAATAGCGTTTAATATCCTTCAACTAGTATTATAATTTCAATAGCAAATCTATTATAAAACATACTTGTAGCACTAATAGCTGGATCATTCGCACACGTGAGAATGGTGTTGCCCAGTAAGGAAAATATTCGATCTAACAGTATCTGTCTGTCTTCCAGGTCGTCAATACGGTGCGGTAACACACAAGACAGCAGCCGCAAAGCCAGTATCTGCAATTAGACATAAAATTCAGCTTCCTTGAAATATTAACAGCAACAAACATTTGAAACAAAATAAACATTAAAATTTTATGCTTACAGTAGTAGTCGGGTTCATTCTCGACTCACAATTGGGAATTCCAGGTTCAAATCCAGGGTGGGACAGAAATGGTTGGATGCATTTCCTATTACATTACTCCTGTTCATCTAGCAGTAACCAAGAGATAGTCAGCTTGTTGTGGGGTTGCATCCTATGAAGGGTCAGTAGTTAGACCTTATGGGGGAGAGGAGTGGGACCTCAATATAAACCTAACATGTATGTATGTATATGTGTGTGTAAATCACGAAAATTAACAGTTTCAATTCTTCCTTTGTGGTCTGACACTCGTGTATGTACATATATACACACACTACACATGTGTATCCACCCTCGCTGACACCTACATAAACTTTTGGTGCCAATCAAGCAGCTGGGGCGGCCAACCACAGAGAAATAGCAAAACCAGTCAAATACAGGCAATTGGAAGGTCAATACACCTTTGTTCCCATACCATCTGAGACCCAAAGCCCCTGGGAGTAGGAGTGCCTTGGGATTTTTCAAAGAATTGGATTCCAGGCTCATTGACATCAGAAACCCAAGGGCTGCCAATTTTTTGTTCCTGCATTTCAGAAAACTTATCAGAAAAACTAACTTCAAATGATACAATTTTAAAGACTATAACTTCATAGTGTTAGAGCAAAAAAGTGAACATTTCATATATATTATAGTATATATATTCATGAACACTTAATAACATATTTATATATTTAATTATTTATTCTATTCAAAGGAGACACCAAATCAGGGAGACTATGCAGCCCTATATGAGGCAGAATAGTGGAACAATCAAAGTAGTATTTTTAAGCATGATGGTGAATGTCAGAATTGTCAGAGGCCTGAATGGAAAAGGTTACAGACTTCCACAAGTTCCCCATTTGCTTTAAATAATATTGAAAAACCAAACATTCCAGTTTCAACCATAGTGCTGAACATCAAGGTCTTAATCTACTGCCTATCAAGATATTCATGGCAAGTAAGATGGCTACTATTCTACCCAGAAGATTGGTAGGTAAGTAATTCCTTTGGTGACACCATATAAATAAATATTCAATTCACCATCTGGATGGAATTTACAATTTCAGTTGGACACTGGAAAAAAAAATTGTAAAGTAATGGAACCACTGCTAAGACTTTAAAGTTTGGCCATAAACTGACTTGCCAGTACAATATAAGAATGGCCCAAAGCACATCACCAAATATACTGCCAAAAGATTAAAGGAGCCCATAATATTTTTGACTGGCCATTACAATCTATAGACCTCAGTCCAAACACATTTGTGAAATAAACTAAAGAAAGTAGTTTCACAAATGCAAGATGAAGGAGCTGAAATTTTCTGCATGGATATATAGAAGTGCCTAAACCTATTGAAAGGTTACATGAAGCACCTCCTCAATGTTATAAAGGCTAAAGAATGATCAATAACTCAGTGATGGTAAGAGTAAACACTTGCATTTTTGTTTACATTATATCAAGGATATGAATAATGTTTAAGCTACCTCTATAAACATTCACATTTCACTTTTATCACCACAAGATGAAGTAGAACCTTTTGAATCCAGCTCAATTTTTAAAATGTAACAGATTATGCTCCTTCACCTGCACTCTTCCTTCCACATAATGACAGACAATAAGAACATTAAAACCACCTTTTGTATTAAAATGTATAATAGCTATAACATCCCCTACAAACCCCCACTCAAGTGCTACTTACCCGACGATAGAGAGAAGATGGTCCCAAGAAGGTCTGTGCTAGGTTAAGTAGTAAACTGACCCAAGGGGGTGTGGCCAGGTTCCTACACAATAAGGGAGAACAGCTTATTGACCGGACCAAACCCAGAGTACACCAAGACCGATGCTGCTCCTCCAAGAGATGATCCCGATCTTCAGACTGAGTTGTACCAGCCTGCAGCATTAAAAATATTAGACAAAAAACTTTAAATAAGGACAAAAATTATGGTGAACTGTTATCAAATCATTAATGTAATACATAGAAATTTAGTTCTGCATCATTTCTCCACCACCATAATTTTGTGCAACTCCATGGAGGTACTGTATGTGTAAACTATTATAATAAAAACCAGTATAAGAAGATTTGTCATTCTAATGTTGTTATTAAATTTTGTAAACATCAAATTATTGTAACATTTGTATTTTATGTATTTATTTACTCAAGTCATAATTTTAAAAGCATTCTACAGTTACAAATGCTGTTTTATAAGCTCAGTGTCAATATTTCTTGCTTTGTTTATCAACTCTTGCATCCTTCCTCACGAACACTAACTTGTAATGACACATTCATTCAGATATGTTATTAATGTCACCAACTTTTATTATTTTTACTGAATTTTCCTACATACAAAAATTGTAAAACCTTATGATTCAACTATGTATTGCATTTCTGAATCTATTGTTCTGAAGCCGACAAGAATATTTAGGCTAAGAATCATAACAAAAGTTACAAACTACGTTTAGGAATACTGTACATATCTTTTTGTTATTTATGTATGAAAATTGCCAGAGATAGATTATTTCACCAAAATGATCTAGCTCACAAATTTTTGGACACTGAACCACAAAGTTTCAAATGCAAGTCAACTGTGCTACTCGGTTATCTTCCATAAAATATTATGTTAACTGTTTGGTAACTTGTTACTGAGTGAGAGGGTCTTTTGCGGCGGAACAGACACAGACCAGATCATTACATTCAAACGAGACCCCCAACGTGCATTATTATTTACTGTATATATAATTATTACTGTTATTGTTATATTTTAGTCTTTTTTCATTGAAATGGTATTATAAGCAGTATTGTTTGTGTGTCAAAACAAAACTTACATTAAGCTTTACTGTTGGGTCTTTAGTATATGGCTGTGGAAATTACACATAGGCCAAAATATTTGAGGAATAAAGTATTTGGCAATGAAACCATAATACATTTGACACAAAAATGTACTGTACATAAATGTTTTGTACTATACATAAAAAAAAACTGGATTGTAGATACAAATCCAGTTATCCATCTTATTATTTTAAGAACAATTAATTGATGAACATCCAAGAAAATCCTCTAACCTGGACAATACTATGGAGCAGAGCAGCAACTGTACGAGCACTCGCGGGGGACATGTTATGAGCAGTCAAGCCTGTTGATATGGTTAGTGATCTCAACAGCTGCAAGCAAGAATCACGAAGAACCAAGATTGGATGCTTGCGTATGTAGCTTGATTCTGTCACTGGGAAAAAGATACATATATAATATAAAGCATTACTAAATAATTCAAGAAGTATGATGAAAGGAAAAAATAAAGGATTTGTTTGATGACATACAAGCATGACTACTGAACTATGACTAAATTAACAGGATGCTTAATTATGTGGTTTGAAAGTTTGAGACAAAAGGCAGACAAGTTATATGTGAAATTAGTATATGAAAGGTGGTGAAAATTATAAAGCTTGAGATGACTAGGCCAATATTCCTGTGATTAACAATGGGACAAATGTAAAAGATATGTACAAAACTGAAGTTAATTAGTGTGAAGATGCAAGACTCAAACTCAAAAAGCTGAAATGCATAAGTTGAAAGGAAAGTAAATTATCTGTAATGGCAAAAAATACCTGGACAATAGCTTGCCTGCTGCACCAGGCCAGTGATAGGTTTACACAATAAGTATTTAGTGAAAAATAATGCTTTCCATAACTTTTTACAAAGAGTGATGATGCACCTTTCAGACCCCATTCACACGGCTGTTTGGTTTAGTAGTATCTGATAGAAATTCACACTTGGCATACACACACACATTGTCATTTCCTCCACAGCATTTTTGTTCACTTTCCTCGTTCGTTACTCTCACTTCTCCTACCTACCTGCATTACCAGCTACGGACTCCATCCTTTGCAAATCTTTGATAGTGCCAGTACAGTACTTTACAAAGCAAGCAAATTATAATTCCTTCACTTGTTTGATAAGAAGCCAACATGCAAAATTCTGGGGTAAATTTTTAAGCATTGCTGTTGGGTCTGACATACCAGAAGGTGTGGAGATATGTCGTGATCGAAGTGTTTGAAGAAGATTCCGCATGGACCACAATGCTTTAAATACAGAAAATGGCTCTTGTGACTACAATTCAAGATCATACATGCTGTAAACTCAATGGTGCTTTGTGAACAAGCAAGAGATTTCTTTATCTGTTTGATAGAAATAGATTGATAATACGAGGAGAAGAAAGACCTAAGATTTTCAGAAACCACTGAAGCAAAAAGTATCTACTACTACTGTACTGTACTTATATGCTTAGCAAAATAATGAACACGTCAGAAATTTCGTTAATAACGTTACCAATGTATTAATTTACTACAAGTTATGAAGGGTTTTCAAAATGACTTGCTAAAGAACAGAGCATAAATGGTTAATTCATATTCTGAAAACTGTAAATAAAAACACAAATTTGCAGGTACAGTAGTTTTCAGATGTTAAAGTGTGTTATATGGCATAATTTTTAACAGAGGAAACCTTCAGAAAATTTAAGGTGTGCATTATATCTATACAGCAAAGTTCATTATTGTAGCTTACAAGCCAGTGGAGTGTATGCCAATTAATGTGTTCAGCCTCAGGGCTACAAAACATTTCAGAACTGGACAATACAATCAAGAGGTAAATATTTTTTTTCGTTTGGAATGGTTAAGCTTTCCAATATATTATATATAATTTTTTTTTTTTAATTTGAGATGATACATAGATGACCAAACCACACATCAAAAGATGAAGAAACGACAATGTTTCGGTGCGTCCTGGACCATTATCTTTGTTTATGATATCTGTATATAGCATTTTTTCTTATGGAATGGTTAAGCTTTCCATTACACTATAAATTATTTTAATTTGTTTAAATTTGAGATGAAACTAAAATAGAAATTTGATCAAACCTAACCAAGCCTAAACTATCCTAACCAAACCCAAGTCAGTAATTCATGTTCTTAATATAATAATATTTATTGGAATGAAGTAATATGGAAAAAAATATTTGGTAACGAAAATTACTCTGCTTGTTAGGCAAATCGGGCCTTGCATACTAGCCAAGTAATGACTATTATTCTGAAATTATTACATTTTAACCATTGCACTACAACTAAGGAACGTAGGATACCACCATGCCTTTATTTCATTTATGTCTATTCTCATAGGATCTTCCAGGAAGATGTGTAAGGAGTTGGAAGATAATCAAGGACCATGAATGGAAATGAGCATTAGGATACATTGAACAGTGAAATACATTATGAAGTCAGAGAATGTATCCAGGGAAAGTATGAATGTATCCTCCGACCAGGCCTCCCGCCCGATCGGAGACGGGGCTACTGGGGCATTGTTCCCCGGAAGCTACACAAGATAAATACAATGTAGATAGGGAGGAACTTTGATGTGAAATGGGTTCCATGAGCCAGTGCCTGTAGCAATTTTTACAGAATCCTCATTGCGGCTTGAGTGAACGTATGTTATGAACCTGGCTGGACAGTACAGTTTGTAGTGGAAAGCAAATCTCTATAAGTAGACATTAATAGCTTGAGATGGCCCATAGCATGAGGGCAAGTTTGTGAAGTGCTTGCATCACAGCATCTATAAATGCTGCCGTGTTGGTAAATTCTCCAAGTAGAAGAAATTAGTGTATTCTATACTCAATCGAGAGAATGAATTGAAATGCCAACAGACTTCTTGAGGAAGGGAACTAAATAACTGTGTTTAAGCTAGTGAATACACCATGTGGAGTGTGTGATCAAAGGACTACAACACTGGTGAGGAATAAGAGAAACTCATTGTAGATGACTGGGATTATGAGCTGAAGTTTACAGTGTTTAGCACTGTGAAAGACAGTTGGATTGTTACTGTCACATTGAGTTTTAAATTATTTTCAAAGGTAAATTGCCATTTACAATTATACAACAATTATTGTTTAATGTTGTATACAGTACTACTGTATTTTATACCTGCTCTGAGCTTAAAGTAGGTAACCAGAATATGATTACTAATGTGCAAGAAAAAAACTTGTGTGCAATGTTCTAGCACTTCTGATAATACTGTACAAAAATATGTATTTGTCTAAAAAACAGAAAAACCATGATATAACAAAAAAAAAAAAAAAAAAAAAAAAAAAAAAAAAGGAGAAATTCTTTATCAGGTTTGGTCCTTCGAGCCCAATCTTCCCATGTTCAACCCTACTCATCTGTGCGGTGTACAGATGCAAGTGGAAAGATTATGTCAACATGACAAACTGTAACACATAGAAAAGACAAGTGTATATGTGCCATCATCTGCAAAGTTAAGAGCAAGGTGGTCCATCAATCTATCATGACAGGTATTAGCAAAAATACACTTGATAAAATCATAGGAACTGTAACTTAATTCTGCACCAGAGGACATTATTTTGTTGCATTTGAAATGTTGGGGCATTATGGCCACTAGAATGCCACTTGGAATGGTATAGAGATAAAGTTGTTTCAGACTGGGTAGAGAATAAAGAGCATCTTTAAAGTAGAAAATGAAGTCAAGGAAAATACGTATTCCGAAACTAATTGTCTCTGTCAGAGTAGTTAGCAAGATAAAAATTACAAGACTGGAAAGGAGCCGAATTATATGCAGAATAAGTTTAATTTGGGTTATTGCTTATGAAGATGATACAGTAGTTAAAACACTCAGAAATACAAGGTAAAAAGGTGCATGAAAGTAAAGATGATAATATACATGGGTGAAATACAAGATATCAGTTACATTCATAAACTGCAAATGGACAGCAGATGTAAAGATAGTAAAAAAAGATAATTATCTAAAATATGCAATAATAAACAGGAAAAGTATGTATTTTAAATATATAGATTGTCAGCAATAAAAAGAAAAATTGAAAAAGTCATGGGATTCCTTATAAAAGAAAAATAAATAATCAAGCTTATAATCTATAATTACTAGACATTTAAAATAAAATCCAAGTTTTAGGCTACCAATTCTGATCAAATATATTCGTGGAATGTTAAAATATATCTACAGCTGTAATTATCCAACAATAAAAATGAATTCCCTTCAGGCTTTATCAATTTTTAACTTATTTCAACAGCATATACAGTACTTTCACAACCTTTCCCCCTTCATTATAATACCAAACTATACTGCATATACTTGAGCACATACCCCCACCCACATTTTCCCATCCTCTACAGCATCACGATACCAAACTACGTTGTATACTGAAGCACCCGGAGGGCTGGTCTATGACCGGACTGCGGGGACGCTAAGCCCCGGAAGCACCTCAAGGTAACCCCCTCCTTCCCTACAGTATCACAATGCCAAAGTTAAAAATCACTTTACTAGCAATGAGAAAATATAACACAATTATGTAAAAAGCCTAGATTTGTCACCTTGGTTTCAATTATATTGAATAACTTTTAATTATATACTGAAATTAGAAAGCTTCTGCTTAATTTTAAGTGTTAATTCAGTCTATTGACTAAGAGAAGCAAATTTTATGTAAGTGATTAAACAAAGTGATTTATTCATCTGATTAAACTGCTTCCTACAATACAATACTAGTAGACTAGTAAAGCAGTTGGCCTTGGCAACTGCTTTACTAGCAGCCTCAGAACACAAAACAATAGAGGAATACCATTCCTCTTATTTATGGTTCTTTTCTTGGTGACATGCTGCACCTTCCCAACTTTAAATTCTCTTTTTAATGAATTTAATTTTAGTAATCATTAATATTTTCCCAAATACTTTTAAGAAAATGTCTGTCCATCTTAAGTGTTTTCTTTCTACTTTTCCCACTTACATGTGCCGAGACAATTCCCAATTTTTTTCTTATAACCCAGACCCCTTGCATGGGTGATATTACCCACTCTCGGTGCACCAGTTGCAAAGTATTCGGGTGAACTCATTTGTGTCTGAAATCACTGTCACAGTCCAATTAAAATAGGGAAGGGGGGGGACAAAGACAAACCAATGCACTTTTCCTCTTGGTTGAAAGACATCTATAGTATGTGCTGAAATAATTGTACAACCTCATTTGAGCACACTTCAGCAATACAGATGTCTCGACTATCAGGATGGTTCGTTGAAAAATTATCATATTTACTTTAAATAAATTACTATGGGACAAGCAATATAAACAGCATGAACACACAGTTTTTGATAAAACTTGATAAGCAATATATTCATTAAGAACAAAGTCTAGAAATTTGACTTGAACTGGAATGTATGTAAAAACATTCAAAACCCTTTACGTTCTATAGAAAACTATCTTCATATAACACAACCGAATCAAATACAAACACCACATTCCTGTCAACCAACCTTCCTCTTCATCTGTGTCCGAGTCGCTCTCTGGTGCTGGCGGAAGAGGAGAATCCACCAGTTTCAAGTCATACTTGCCCTCTTTGCCCATGCGATATGAATTAGTTGAACCATTATCCCACTGAACACGAATCCAGCCATCTTCTCCTAATTCGCCAATCACTGTTCCCTCACCAGGAAGTGGGCCATCCTGATCACCCCATTTCCAATCTATACCACGAACAACTCTTGTCCCCACCTAAAATATGGATACATTTTTAAATTAAACTAAATTACTAAATAAATAAATCAAATAAAAGCCAATATAAACATTTTTAAATACAGTACATGGATTTTTGAGTATATTACGGAGATCATTGAATATAAAATTTAACTACAGTGGCACCTCGATTAACGAGCGGCTCTATCTACAAGCATTTCAAGTAACGAGCGAGCCACTCGCAGCAAATTGGTCTCTATTGACGAGCTTCACCTCTATTAACGAGCAAAACCACATGGTGCTTTCTAGTGTCTCACGGGTTCTCGCAAATTCTCGGATACCTCCGACGCCAGTGTTGTTGTTGTATCGCGCTTGACAAGCATCCCTCTGCATTTATTTGCGCTTTTCTTTGGTTTTTTTTTGTGGTTTTGTGACTACAATTTGTAACGCACAATGTCCCCAAAGAACCTGTTTGCTAAAGATAGTGTTGTCAAGAGGAAGAAAGACACAATTACTGTGGATTTGAAGGAAACTATAGCAAAGCATGAGCGTGGTGTCCGTGTGACTAATCTCACAAGGGAGTATGGCAGGTCCTCATCAACAATTTGCACCATTAGTAAGGGGATGAGGAGGTAAGGGAGGATGCTGCCTCTTCCAGTGAGATCAGGGAAGTGTTGGGAATGTTTGAAAAGGTGACCGCATTCTTGGAAAAGCATCACTCTGATAGAGCAGTGACAACCCGGTGTGTGAGCATGCTTAATGACAATTTGCTGTCTCGTTTTAGGGAAATCCTAAAACAAAGACAAATGCAATTGTCAATAGACTCGTTCTTTGCAAAAGTAGAGAAAAGACCAGCAAGTGATAAAGTGATAGTGAACCACAACCCAGTCCCAGTTGGGTGAAATTCCCAAGAAGAGAGAGACCGCCTGACTCAGAGGTGGATTCTCCTTCCACACCATAACCCCTCTCCTCCTTCCCACCTTCCCATCATCTCCCTCAAGCCAGCAACGACTCTTCATAAGGTATAGTAAACATGAAAACAGTACAACAAAACATTTATAATTACATGTGCAGTATTATATTTACATTATAAAATGCCATACAAATATGGATGTTTTTGGGAGTGGAACGGATTCAATTTATTTTCTTTATTTTAAATGGGGAAATTTGTTTCTTAAGACGAGTTTTCCACATAACGAACTTGGTGCCAGAACGGATTAAACTCAATAATCGAGGTGCCACTGTATTCACTAAAACATTAGATATATTTTTTCTTATATGTAATAGAAATATGAGACAAAGGTGAGAAAGGGAAATGTTAAGCATTCAAAAGATAACTCGATAATGCTTATAGAGTATGAACTCTTATCCACAACTGCTGGGAAGAAGAGCATTCTAAATTTTCAATGTTCTCATGCTTCCAGAACGTGGAAGGAGCATTTGTAACTATATTAAAGTCCCCAATAGATGTAAAATATTTATGTTTTAGCTTGTCCCCAGACATCACTGCACTGCTGAGCAAGTGGTGGGGATGTTGGGTTTTCAACTTTGATAATCTGAATTTAATTAGTCCATGAACCTTGATTGTCTGGAAAGAATTTGCATTCCAAAATAGGCACTTATCCCATTACAGAATTACAACTTTTGTGTTTTTAATGTGGCACTTGCATAATACTGTGATGTTTTGCTCACCAGGTCCTGCTGATGCACTTACATTTTGTTTTGGCTCGTGTTTCTGCTTAAATATTAGTACTGCAGTGTTCATACCATTATGTAACCATTTATGCTTTCATGGTCTAAACCATTTCAGATATTATTTACCCAAGATTCCCCTTAAAGGCCACAACACACAATCTGGCTGGCAACACATCAGTATGTATATGGATGTTCATGGCGATGAATAAGTTCCAGTTCTAAACATATTTATATAAACTTATTAGTTTTATAAAAATTATAAATTTTCCATTGAAAATTACATTAATTAAAATTTATTTGACATGTATTTAATTCATTCCTAAATTAAAAGTTACATTTGTGAAATTTAGTACATCCTGTATAAGTTGCTGGATAATAATTATTATATATATACATACATCCAGTATGTATTCATATTAACACATTATATATGTATACCTTCATCATTGCAGCAAGCTCTGGTCCCGAGAGTGGGGGTGGAGGCACACGAGGCTTCTTTGCAGCTTCTTCAAATATTGCAACAATATCCTCCTTATCTTCACTCCTGATGCTTGAGGTGGAAGTCGATGGACCTGTAATACAGGGTGCAAGAATACAATGCAGGGTACTGTATGTTTTTTTTTGTTTGAGTCGATTGAATTCTGTATAGGAATTCTTTTTAAAGCAGGATGGCTCAACTCATAATTATCCAAACAAAAATATTTAGCACAATTTCTTTCCAGCTTCTTGCTATCTGAAAGAATTTCCCATTTTTAAATAAAACCATTTTTGATGACCAAACCACAACTCAGAAGATGCAGGAGTGACGTCATTTCGGTCCGTCCTGGACCATTATCATTGTCACGACTTTATAATGGTCCAGGACGGACTGAAACGTTGTCGCTTCTATATCTTCCGAGTTGTAGTTTCTCATAATTTCTTCAGCTTGTTATTGTGACACATTGCCTGCAAAATAATTTTTATTCATCATCTGCTAATACTAATCATCTAGATTGGCATTCTGCTCATGCTAACAAGTTGTTCACTTGAGACAGTTAAGCAAGTTCCAGCTGTGTCTGGGTACAAGTGACAGGATAAACAACTCAGCGGGTTCTCTTCCTATTGGGGGAGTGTTGTGCATGTTGCTATGGCAATATGTCCACTCACAGAATGAGTGGCGCTGCCCAATAAACTCGCCCCTCGGGACAAAAATTAAAAAAAAATTTAAACAGTTCTGCATTTCTCGTTGTGAATATTACTCCACTAAGGAGGCAATGAACAGCAGGATCTCATATTCATTTATGATGGTTTACAAATAATAATAATAATAATAATAATAATAATAATAATAATAATAATAATAAAAGCTTCAAAAGGGTGACGCTGAGCAAAGTGACTCGCATTCCTAAGATTATTTCTAGTTCTACTCCTATTACTTCATCTACAGTATATTAATGATCAAGATCTCATAAGCAAATTCACTGGTAACATGAAACCAGAGAGAATAACAAATTGTTTAAATTTAAAATTAAATATTTGAGTTAATACAGTTGTATGATTTAACAACTTTTTGCACGAGAGAGAACTTTTGAAACTATTATGCAATATCACCACAAATACATGAACTCATTTTAGTTATCCATAAATATCATGTATAGTACTATGTACCATATTTGAATTTAATATTTACAAGGTTATTACACCCCTCCACAAAATTTACTAGGCACATCGTACACAATCACTCGTTCTGTTCAAATTGTCTGTATGCTTGTACAGATGTAATGTAATGTCACTCTTACAAAGTTCTCGATATGTTCCAGTTAATAGCTCTTCATCTTCTGCGATATAGTCCAACCAGTCCTGTGATATACTACACACTTCCTAATCTTCTGAATGTCATATTCCACCTCTCTTATCACTCCAAACACTACTAAATCCAAAAGTTGTCAAATTAAAAAACATTATCAAAATTAATTTAATCAAATTAGAAATTAATAATTAATAAATTTTTTGTATATACCATAAGCAGTCTTGTTGGGTATTTAGTAACCGACTGTATGAAGATATGCAGTCATGCTCTTGTGGGAAATCTTTTGAAATGTATTCATACGAATGTTGAAAGTTAAGAGACTGCAGGAATCATCCACAACCAACATGCACAGTTATTTGTCTTAAATATGGCAAAATATGACTTGGTCAAGTGCACAACAGGCAAGAATAGCATAGCCACTTTTCATGGAAAAAAATCTTTAACAGAAATGTGTTATCTTAACTAGCAGGATATTTCAGAGGAATTATTAAAAACCATGAATTACCATTCAAAATATGCATCAAACAACTCTTCATATTAGGGGTACCACCTCTAGTGCAATTATAGGGACCCACAGCCTCAAAGAAGAGAACACAGAGCATTCAGAGAGAAACTTATCATTTAACTCTGAGTACGTATGAGTGTTCACTTCTACCACCCCCTTTTTTTATGTTGTACACTTTATTATACAAGGTTATACAGTTACATATCTGATTGTTTACAAAAAATGAACATTAAGAGGAAATAAGTGGAAGTTATTCTTCATATTTTTTGTTTAATTTGAATAAATAGTAAAGCTTTTTAACTTTTCAAATAATGAAATAAAAGTCAAATTTCAGCTTACCAATAAGTCTGAGAAGTGTCTGCATTAAAGCTAACAGACCGCCTGATATTAGTAGACTCAGATCCGCGCCACAGTGAGCTCTTGTTGATAAACATACCAAACCAAGAACAAACCTGTACAGAAATTTTATCAGAACATCTGAGTTTAAATATTTAACAGACACACTTGCTAATATTTCAAACTTCGAGATTTTAATTGCAACTACAGTGCTGCAGATAATATATTGAGGGTACATAAGATACATGAATAAGCATAATAATAATATACAGTATAAATATAAATACTGTATACATATGAAATCTATACACTGTACTGTACTGTACCTTGAAAGTGGCATGGAAGCTAAAATGTTATGATCACGGCAACTGAAGTTTGAGTCCTTGGAGCTAGGATTGTCTCTGCCCCTCAGTATCCTTCCTGATGAATGGGCAGCAACACAGAATTGCTCAGCCTTCAGTACATGAGCCCGCAGCTCACCGACAGCCCATTCCCAGACCTTTGCCCATGATGCCTTCAGCACAGCTCGTTGGTAAACAGGAACTAAAGGAATGTTTTCCAGGCAATCAGGAAGAACCAGACTGTTGACAGGAATTTTTTTTTTTAATTTACTACAGTATTCCAAACTAAAACATTTCTTTCGAAATATATTTCAAACCTCAGACAATATTTTATAATGTATTGCTAAACTGCACACAACTTGAATTACATACTGAATGTGCTAAAAGACAATGGTAAAACCTGCCATATTATGTTCCATAATGCTTCCTTAGGCAATTTTGTACTCTTCCCAAGTACTGAAAAGGGGTCCAGCACAGTCAAAACAAGAAAACATTTTGCCTGTGTAAAGTGGGGATCTTTTCAAATGTTTCTGCAGATTCACAATGGAAAAAGAATATCCAGTACAGAATGACCTCCAGAAAGTTCAAGTACACAAATACAGGTGTTACTGTGCATGAATACTTAAGTGTGGCGAGGTTTGTTATACATAATGTAATATAGTGTGAATGACCTATGGATGAATGGGTACTATTTCCCAAACATCTATAACATTTAACTATACTCCTCCACTTTTTCTGTGTTGATGCCTTCAAACCTCATGAAAGTGGAAAACAACTGGGTAATAATAATAATGCATTAGAAACTACACAATATACATGTCCAGAGGAAATACCCTTGATTATTCAATCAAGGGTAATTGTCCCATCTCTAATCTCTGACATACCGATATATTTACAACTTTCCTCCAATGCATGGCATATCAAAATATAGACATACTGTACTACCAAGACAGTACTAATATACAGTATTAGCTAAATCCATCTAAAATAATGTAAGCACTGTACAGCTTATGGATTTTTGGGTTCTACTTACGTATTTTTTGGTGCAAAGGGCAAGAGGCCGAGCCATCCATTGATAAGGGTCAGTCTAACAGATGGCAAGAAGTTGCTCTTTTGAACTAAGCCGAGGAACATCTCGATACCACGCAATCGCATCTCTGCTCTGTCCATCTGAAGAGCATATAATTAGAACTATATACAAATTTTGAATACAATACTATAATTCTTAAGAAAAACAACACATATATATATATTTGTCTTAATTAGACTGTAAAACAATAATCCTCACTGTACCCACCTGAGTGAAAAAGGCTTTCCGCATTGCTTCAATATTAATTGTTTCTTCTGAACATACAAACTCGATGACTTTAGTTGCTATTTCTATTACTTTTGCTGTTGGCGGTGGAGCAGTTGGAGTTAGAACTGTAAGAGAGAATGAAAGTTATGTACCACTTAATTCAGACTGTATGCAGCAAGATACACACACACACACACACACACACAGGTAAAGCTTTTAAAACCCTACAAGAATCGACATTATCAGGACGTCCATCATACCGTACCATCCTCGAATTTTGGCTATCCTTAGGATATTCCAAAGAGAAAGTCATAAAATCTCCGGCAAGTATCATAATCATATAAATCACTTCCTAATTTTCCTTCCCTATGGAACTTCCTATTACTTATTTCAGGAGAATAATCATATATACTACTTATTATAATGGAGTTGTTCTTATTTTTGGGCAAAATGAATTGCCCAACTCATTGACCAGTGTAGTGTACATGCACACCCATAAATCATTGCTTACGTGAAGATGGTCTCGAGGGAGAATATGCAGCTCCAGATGGTGATGGAGACCTTTTCAGATTTAAACTCACAGATGCTTTTTTCCCATCTCCTTGTTGTTTTTTGGCATCTGCAGTTATTTTTAGTTCTTTCTCCACTGCATCTACATCCCCTTCTACTTTCATGTTGTCATCCATGGAAACTTCAGATAAGCGACTTAATTCGGTCGGATCACTGTCCTTACACAAGTCTTCCTGTTTGTCTAAGCGACCGCTTCTTACATCATCACAGCTGTCAGGAGCATTAATTCTGTCCTCACAGTTGCTATTACTGCTGCTGCTGATGCTTATATCCTCAACAGAACCACTTGCTTCTTTGGTGTCCTGCAAGAAATACAAGTACTGCATGACCATCATCACATCCACTCTATATGATTAATTATAAGTATACGCAAACATTTTTGGTACAGTATAAGCTTCAATATACGTACTAAATTTAAGCATATATGAAATACAACATCTACAACTGCTAGTGTTGTGTTTATAACATTGAAAAAACTGTGGTTTACAACACAGTTATGGGGTCAACTTCCAGAAATAAGAGTACAGCATAAATTGTTATTTGTTTATCCCAATCATTTGAGAAAAAGCTAAATAACTGCAGGGTGATCTCTTACAAAAAAAAAAAAAAAAAAAAAAAACTCATTTATCAATTGCATATATATGTGTGATTTTTTTATGGTCTGAAATTGATTAATCCAATTTACATTATTTCTTATGGGATAAATTAGTTAGTACTCTAGCAGCTAGGTATTCAAACGGACTTTTGGAATCAATTAAGTCTGAGTATCGAAGTCTCACTTTATTTAACCTCTAGGGTTGGTCAACAATTCCAGCCTAACTTTATAAAGTGGAAATTCAAACTAGATGGGTTAGGAGCATTCCTTCCCCAGGGGAAGGTGGTGTTCCAAGAGATCATTCAAAATGATGTATCACAGACCAGTCTTGGAATATAAGGAACAGAAATGGCATCTGAACCTAGTGAAAGACACACAAAAGCCGAGAAGGTTCAGATATTTGCCTCAATACAGATACTAATAACACAACCTTAGTTGTGAGGACAGGTTATCTTGAGGTTATCTCAAGATAACAGGTTCAAAGAATTGCCAGGACAGGTTCAAAGAATTGAACCTACAAACACTGGACAGAAGATGATCTGGAGACATAGTTGCAATATACAAGATGCTATACTGAGAAACAGTTAAAGTGCATAATGTGGAAATAGTAAAAAAAAAAAAAAAAGCGCCACAGGAATGTAAGGAAGGGATCTTTCAGTGTATGAGTAGTGGCCACGATAAGTGAACCAAAAGAAAAGGTAGCCAAGGCCAGCTCAATCTACAGCTTTAAAGTAGGCATGATAGTTGTAGTAAAATGAGAGAGCAGTGTAGCACAAGATACTAAACAATCAAGAGCCAAACTCCAAAAGCTAATCCTCCCTATCTGAAAGTACATATTAGTAAGGAGTAAACTCCCCTCAAAATACCTACAAACACGTCATGATATTATGATACACGTTTTTGAACGACAATGCTTGAGGAAATATTTTTTTAATAGTGTTTTTTCTTCATTATTTATTTTCTTTCACTTTGCACACTGGAATTTCTTAATGTTTTTGAGCAATGTTCATTCTTTTAACCTGTGTCCTTTTCAGATTTTGAAGAAATGACACAAATGTCAGACCTGTTGTTTAATTTACCTGGGGCCCATCCTTTTCCTGGCTTGTGGCTGTAGTATCATTAGACCTAAGACGAAGTAACTGAGTGGCTTTCCTCCACCTTGACACGCCACGCACAGCAAACTTGTCCAAGGCGTCTACATCTCCACAGCTAGCAGGGCGTACTTCATAAAAAACAAATCTTTAAAGATAAAGAAAAAAGATCAGGATAAAGTTTACTCTTTCACCATAGTATAAACACTATCATCATGTTCCAAATATGAACACAAATATGACAAATGTAGTCCTAATTTAAGAAAATTGGTTATCGTGATTGTCTTTCATATTTGATAGCCCTGTTAATGCTCTATTCCTGTAGCTGAATACAAAAACAATTTTATTACAATATAGTTAATTGTGAAAGAGTAGTCATGGTCTATCTACATGTTTATTAATTTAGCGATTAAGTGCACAAGGCACTACTTACCAGCAGAATATGAAGAAATGATAATGGGTGTCTCAGCGAATTTGAAACAAGTACAATAATATGGAACAATGACCGACTGCAAGATATCGTATCATTACTGTATTCTCTGGACATTACTTTATCTCCATTTATTCCACAATAGAAGTGAATAAATAAACACATTAAAATTGCTACTAAATATTAAATAAATTCTTTTTTTTTTTTGCATTTCTTAGAAACTCAGCATATTATATGACTTAGAATAAAATTACACACAAAAGGCCCATAATTTTCCCCCCACATGCAAAAATATTTAAGGAGTATATATATATATATATGGTGGGTGGCATCTCAACAGAATACTTCTCGAGGTTATCTTGAGGTTATCTTGAGATGATTTCGGGGCTTTAGTGTCCCCGCGGCCCGGCCCTCGACCAGGCCTCCACCCCCCAGGAAGCAGCCCGTGATAGCTGACTAACACCCAGGTACCTCTTTACTGCTAGGTAACAGGGGCATAGGGTGAAAGAAACTCTGCCCATTGTTTCTCGCCGGCGCCCGGGATCAAACCCGGGACCACAGGATCACAAGTCCAGCGTGCTGTCCGCTCGGCCGACCGGCTCCCCCCTGTAGCCAAGTTTGTGCTGCCCTTTGTGTCCATGAGATACTTAAAAAAAAAATCTGACAGAAGTACAGTGTGCCTGAAGTAGAATTTATCCCAAAGCAGGCATAAAAGTACCAGGCTCTTTTCCCAGGATATAGACAAATAATAACTGTTGGAACAATGGGACAATAGCATTCATGCACTTTGATACATTTGTAATACTGATTTAGAATACTGTCCTGATCATTTATAGACAAAACACCTTTTCCTCCTGTCAACTGCGAGGAATGTCTGGAGACAAGAGCAAGACCCTCAGATGGTGTAAATAATGGGTCACCAACACTAGTTTGTATTCCAAATATGATTGATTTAATTTAATACTTCAACAAAATTTTATTAATTTGGACTAAATAACAAAAACTTCATGGTCACTCAATCTCTATCACATGTGTAAGAACATAAGAACTGCCTTTAGAAACTTGTGTAAGGAAGCAGAAATTTGTTTACCACGTATGTCAGACCAATCCTGGAGTATGCAGCTCCAGCTTGGAGTTCATACCTAGTTAAGCACAAGTCAAAGTTAGAGAAGATTCAGAAGTATGCCACCAGACTAGTACCAGAGCTGGGAGGTATGAGTTACGAGGAAAGGCTATGGGAATTAAATCTCGTGTCCCTGGAAGACAGAAGAGTATGGAAAGACATGATCATGAACTACAAAAATTCTCGGAGGCTTTGACATGGTGGATAAAGACCAAATATTCAGCATAGGTGGAACATGTACAAGGGGACCTAGGTGGAAACGAAGTACCCTGTACTCAAATGAGCGACATAGATATTAGAAAGACCTTTTTCAGTGTCAGGGTAGTTAACAAATGGAATACATTTTGCAGTTTGGTGGAGGCTAAGGTCACACACAGTTTCAAATGTACATATGAATAAGCCCAATAGGCTCGGGAACCTGTACACCAGTTGATTGACAGTTGAGAGATGGGACCTAAGAGCCGCTGCTCAACCTCCTCAAGGCACAACTAGGCGAGTACATACATGTGAAAAGTTTTGAGGCCTGCATTACAGAAAACATCTGGCAGGAAGCAGTGGATCCAAATTGGTGAAATGAGAGAATTTTCACCTAACATACATACTTAAAGAATAAAACATATTAAAACTGTGCCCACTCTTTGAATCAAGGATTTCAGCACCTCAAAAACTGGGTAAGAAAGCATTACTCCCTCTAAACTCACTTGGTAATTCTCACTCACTCGGTAATTCACAAACTTACTGTTACTCACCTGCATCTTTCCATGACCGGAGCACACACCTCCTTGTAAGACCGAGTCAGTTCCTGCCTCCTCCTGATCAATAGCCACTTGGTGTTGTGGACATGGCGGATAAGCTCTTGCAAGCCTCGAGGCAATTCTAAGGTTGCTTCCCAGCCATGACTATCATCAGCACTCAATGCTAGACCTAAAAGGTAAGGATTTGGGAATAGATTTCAGATCAAATGAAATATACTTGTATATACAAATACTGTATTAATGTTTGTAATGATTAATTCATTTCTCTATTATCATGGTGTAATAGTTGAAGCATGGATCAAAAGAAACTTAAAAATATTTAGTGTTATGTTTTAAGCAAAGAATTACAATTAAAACTGATTATTCAGAAAAGATTGTATTAATAACACTAAGTTGAAACCTCGATATAAGTCTCTTTTATAGTTAATCTAAATTTTACATATATGCAATTGATCACCAGTATGCTTGTTTAGTCATTCCACTGGCACACTCCATGTTCATGTTCTCAATACATTACTGTATACTCATCCCATATACGTCTCTAACACTTCATCTCTTCCTTTCTCGTCATTAACAGCACTTGTGTTCCCGGTCTTCATCAAACTATAACTCCATACTATATTCCGACCTTCTATCATAACTAGCGAATCTATTTTCACTAACATTTTCTCAATTCAAAACCATGATCACTGCCTTTATTCCTTCATTTGTTACATATACACACACACACACACACATCGTTATATGACAGAATGCTGGGTAGACGGGACACCACGAGCGTAGCTCTCATCCTGTAACTACACTTAGGTAATTACACTCAGGTTAGTGTGTGTGTGTTACACAACTAGGTGAGTGCTCACACTCACTCGCTTCACATCATGCAGACAACTGCTTCACTGCCAATTTTGACCGTCTTCCACATCACTAGTACATCAACTCATCTGCTGCTTAAACACCAATTTTAATCTTCATCACCACAGTTCAGATCCATACAGCTGCAGTTTCAACTTCAGTTTTGACCATTTCTCTTACCACACATTTACATCCATATAATTGCTACTGTTTCATCATTTTCATTCATCTTCCACACCATCACATACCACATCAATTCAACTAAAGCTTCACCATTAGTTTGAAACATCTCCCTCACCACCATTGTGCACTTCTAACAACTTCTTGATTTGAGGAATTTGCTGCTCTTCCCTTATTAATATAATTCTTGTACTACCTTAGATGCAATCAATTATTGTGCAACCTTATGTGCTAATCTTTTCACATCCTTACTTTAATCTTCATCCATTCCATCAAAATTAAAAAAAAATTCTCTAACGTGAACAAAAGCTAGGATCCGAAAGAAACAGACAAGATGCTATCTGCTAAAACAAACTTAAATTTCCTTCTTCCATTTGGCAATGCTTTCCAAAATATATCCTCCTCATCTCTAGGGTCATCCCAAAATAAGACAATGAATAAAGACTTTTTCCAGTTCCATTCCACTTACAAAAGTTTCAAGAGGTCAAATATTCTCACCTTGCTCAAGAACTTCAATAAGCTGAGGCGTGAGATGTGTGTGCCGCAAGAGTGTTGCAGACATGAGACGACCAGCTTCTTCTATGGGGTGATCCAGAGAAAAGTTTGTATGCATCGAGTGGCGCCCCAAATGGCGTATTTCTCGATCACAAACCGAGAGGAACATTTGTACATATGGATCCTGAAAGGCAGAGTTCAAAAGCAATTACATCAATACTGTATTGATCAATTTGAAATTAACTACATATTATTATAAGTATTTTAATTAAGATAATTCCAGACAACTGATCAACATGTGCTTAGTTCCATGAACCCAAGATAAATGTTGATTTCTTTATTTTAAATAACAATAATCATTATATATAAAATAAATAACCATTTATATTTTAATTCAATATAGACTTGTACTCCTGTAGACCATATGCAATACCAGATCACAAAGCTGCATTCTGTTAATAACATCAAAAGGAAAATAGAATGTGTTCTTAGGCTAAGACATGAAATTGGAAATTACAACAAATTGCATTTTGTGTATGGTCAAATACTTCTCGCTGATCCGTTACTCAGATGGTTCCCAAGCCCATGCCATTATGGCTCGTCTAAGACTCACAACTTCCCCTATGCTCCTCTTTGACCATTTCCTCAAGCATCATTACAAATGAATTTGTTTAGGAAATTTAAGGAGAGAGAGAGAAACAGTCTAACTCATGCCACCACTGACAGGCCAGCTCACTGAAGCAAAGAGTGCACAATACTGTCAGAGTTCAATTCTCCAGCAATGCTTTGTCTTAAATACTCGGGTGCTCTCTGATCACTCATTGTGGCATTGGACTCTACACCATTACACTTCTCAGGATTTAGTCATCCAGGCACTTCATATTTGTGGGGTGTCAAATGAAACTCCTGTAAACAGAGATCCAAACACTAACACCTCATCTTTCACCCTTCCTCACTGTCTTCCGTATGACAACAAGAGTCCTCAATAAAGGTAAGATATACTTATATTTTGTACTACAGTATGTACAAGAAGTAGTAGTATGTATAAAATGTATTTTTAAGTTAATATTTTTGGGGGGTAGAATGGATTAATTTAAACTACTGTATATTATTTCTTATGGGAAAATTAGTTTCGGTTTTCGAACTGTCTCTGGGAATGGATTAAAATAGAAAACGGAGGTACAACTGTTATACTATAAACATATCTCATGTCAGGTATTCCTTCAATCATACTTTTGTTAACAAAATTTTAAATAAAACTGTACCTGTGTTTTTCCTTCCATCAGGGCTGACAGGAAAAAATCAGCCATATTTGAAAAGTAAGAATCTATTTCCACCTGAGGACTTGAATTTGGTCCTTGTGATCTCGCTTTCTTGTGTGATAGTGGGTCTATTGGACGTGGAAGTCTCACATCTCCTGGAGTTGTAGCAGAACCAGGAGTGGTGGCAGATGAACCGGTTCTTGCTTCACCTTTCTCCTCATCATATGGGTCAGGTGGCTGAACAGTCTGCATTATTGAAAATACAATTATCATCAAATCATGAGCTTCAGAAACTAAATTTTCACCGAGAATATTGGTAGTATTTTAAGCGAGATCTGCACAAGGTGTAGCTCCATGCTGCTCTATATTGAGCAGCATGGAGCTATTCTATACATGGAATATTGAGATAATAAAACCTTTACAGCATATAACTCATTTGGTAACTAGTACCTACCTGACACCCAGCTCTCATAAACTCAGCAGAAATCCATTTTTCATGTCCTAATTCCCAAGGTGTTGCCGGCTGACCACGTGCAAGACAGCTGGCATAGGCTCCTACCAACATGGCCAGAGCCCGTTCAGTGTCTACCAGTGGGGATGAAAGGGTACTTGCATCCAAGACCTGAAAAAGTTAAATTAAATAAATTACTATCTAATTGCATGCATTGTGACAAAGCTTATACGCATGTTCTAAAGGAGTGTTTCTCGACCGAAGTTCCATGGAACTCCAATATGACTATGGGTTCCACAAAAGATAGTGATAATTGGTTCATTCTAATCCTATTCAAATGTATTTTTGAGTCATTATTATATTTATTTTTTCTCATTTAAACAGTATCCAAAGCAAAAGACAGAACTTTCCAGTTTGGCAGCAGGATGCTGCTTCTGGAAACTTTCCTTATTAAGAGTACTCAATAGCTCAGTCGATAGAGCTTTGACCTCACACACGTGGGGGTCCACGGTTCGAGTCTCCTAAACCCTGGTGAATGGAATGTTTATTTCCACAGAAGTGTGGATGACAATTTATTTCAACAACAGAAATTGTCTCCTTTCAGTTAACAATGAAATCCGTGTGTGTTTACTTAATGTATGACCAAGAATTATTTCAAGAGGGGGTACAATGGTTGAGAAACACTGTTCTACAGGTTTCAATAGCATAGGAATGTGGCAGTCACACCACCTATCACGATGTACTAAGCTGGGGACCCATCTTCCCAAAATTTCTTCCAACTAATAGCCAAAATAATCTGGTATCGAAAGTCTGCACTTGTCCAGGCCACAGAAACCAGAGGCAGACTCTTAAGGCTAAGTGGAATGTGTAAAGAATAAATAGAGAAGCAGTTCGAAGTGGCAAAAGATTTCAAGGAAAGAATGTTTGATGTATGGTGCTAGGCTCGTGTAAGACAAAGATCACATAAAAGATTAAGGAGAAGACTGGGTTATATACATAAAAATATGACAGCTCAAGTAATTGATAAAGTCAAATATATGGATGATATTTTACAAAAGTACTTCGTATTTATCAGTGTAGAATTAGATATTTTACATGAAGTTAGACAACTCTACGACAATGTGCAGAGAGAGAGTTGCTTACTATGACAAATGGAGAACAGTGCCCTACAAAGATGCAAAACTACAAGCACAGATGCTGAGAAAATACAGTTGACGGGTAAGTACAAGATGAGAATCGATATATACAGATCTTGGTTGAAGAGGCTTTGACCAAATGAATCTTAATGTAATGTGGGAATGCAAAGAACATTAGGTTAGAAATGTTAAGCCAATGTATCATATTGCTCCAGGTTTCAGAAAAATGAGGGCATACCTGGAGTGTTTCGGGAGTTCTTCTTCTTCCCGAGCCCAGCCCGAGGCCAGACTCGAGGAGGGAGTGCTTGGTGGGATTAAGATATGGTATGAGAAGTTTATAGCAAGAAAATGAAATGAGTTTTGTGACTGCAAACTGAAAGGGACAGCGAGGAGAAAATGGCTGTACAAAAGTATAAGTTGTGTGAAAAGATTAAAAAGCAGACCAAAAAAGTGAAAATTTGCAAATGTGAACACTATCAGTTCTGCTGGTGTGGCAAGTGTAAGATTAAATGCTAAAGCCGATTTAAATGGAAGAGATATGAACATCATTCAACATGCTTTCAAAGACAGCCTGTAGTAGACCAGTAGTAGTAGTAATATGGGTGTTTCATTAGCAGTGACAAAGAGAATACTTAAATGAATGTCTTGAAAATCTTACTGACCTAACAAATTTACAAAGACCTAAAAGCTGGAGGGTTTTTCATTCCGGTATGTTGTTATTCTACAAATTTGGGACCTGGCCTTCAAGTATCTTCCACGTATATATTATTTGATACCTCTCTCGTCTCCTTTCCAAAGAGTACCTTTTGAGAGCTTTGTGACGGTCCCAATAATTTAGATGTTTTATTGTTTCTATTTGTGCCGTATATGTTCTTTGTATTCTCTCTAATTTAGAGGTCTCTCCCACTCTGAAAAGCGAAGTGAGTTCCGAGCAACACACCTTCAACGGTCGATTGTTCAGTAAAACACTGAACAAAATGTTTAACAGATCTCTGACCATGTCCATGGAGGACAGAAGACAATGTATATACAGTATGCTGATTAGCACTGTAAATGTGTGGCCACATCTGTGGTAGAAATGCAAACAGGCAGCAGCAGTGCAGATGCTGAAACACGGGGAAAACTAGAGGCATAAATAGTATATGCAGAAATTATTAACTGTAGTGGAGAAAAAGAGTAAGGAATATGGGCGAATTATTTTTTAGACAACTTGGGAAAGATATTGTAGAAGACGGGAAGAGAGCTGCAACAGTAAATTTATATACTGTACTGGTAACTTATTAAAAATACATACATAAAAAATTAAGTAACCCTACTGAAGAGAAATTTCTCACTTATAATTATCAAGAACTGGAAACTACTTCAAAATAGTGTCCTCACCTGTACCACTTCCAGCTCAGGGTCCATATAGTTCCCAACAAAATAACTAGCCATCATTTCCTTGGCCCGGGTAGAATGGTTAGCCATTTCCCAGACCTGAGTGGCATCCTGGCCAGCATAGTACTGCAAGATGTCACTACCACATGGGGCTGTTGACCTGTCAAGATATCCTGGTAAATATATACTAATTTATGAGAAAGGCTGCAAGAACACACAAGCCATAACTCACCAAGAACTCTAAAAGACCGATCAGGATTTGAACCCGTGACGTCAGGGATCACCCCCAAACGTACACAGTACCATGACCACCACACAATTGATCGTCCTGGTCGAGTCATTTAGAGTTCTTAGTGATATACCATTATATTTTCACATAACAACTAGATTACCTAACTGGTACTATGAACCTCTGAAAAAAGATCTAGCCATACACTTCACAAAAGTCTGAATTGATCATCTATGAGTATTAGATGTTTGTAAATCTTGCAGAACTGCTACTGAAGGTTTTATGTCAGATGTACTTTGCTGTAGTTCCTGTGAGACAAATTGCAAGGAAAGCATATTTAAGTTGGATGTTTGTGTAATGTATTAGTGGCATATATCCTCCGTGTAGCACAGTATCAGGTAGGGAATAAGAACTCACAAACAATTAGAGATGATAGTATGAACTCCATCTGAGCACCGATAACTAAAGAACAATATTTATATTAGGGAGAGGATTATCAGAGCATAAGCAGTTGCAGGTGCCACAACCACAAACACGTTGCAACATAAATGGCTAATGATTAAACCTTCTACCAGCAAACCTTTAAAATACTGTTGAAACAAATTTAAAGGCCTTCACAAGAGTAACCAGGTCGTATTGGTCATGTAGGTTCGCAGATTGCAATCATAGTCTGCTGGTAACTTGGCCTTTGCTGGCCAAGTTACCAGCAAAGAAGCCTACCCTTAAGCCAGACTAAGATTAGAAATACTCTCAAATGTAATCACAGGTAAATCCCAGCATTTCATGTGAAAGTATACACAGTCTTTATAAATATTAAAGCACCAGTGAAAGTTCAGAAATAAGTTGATACATCAAAAAGTTATAACTTGAACTGATGATGAAGTAAAAATTAATTACTCGCCAAGGATATTACTAGAGATGAGAGACGTTGAAAATTGGGGTCTTCATCAGTCTACTATGTAGCAGTTTTGTGGGTAATGCACAGACTCGAACAACAATCTGGACATGAAAAATGCCCACTGTAAGATGGAGTGTCTATTCAGTAATTTAATGGTCACGAATTTCTCACCCCAAGGTCACATGAACCTTCCCCTCCTTGCCTCCCACCAATCCAAAGACTCACTGGCTCTTAGCTTGGAACCTCAACAGTCAAACTAGAGAATAATACAACAAAAATCACAGATTCATACCCAAGTGGACTTGCAAAGGATATTTATCTTCCGGGTAATGACTTTCCAATCCCTGTTCGATCCTTGTCAAAACTAATCGCTTATGGATTTAGTAAGGATGCATTTGATTATCCATTCTGCTAACCATTTGATTATCCCATAATCAAAAAAGTATTTGTCCAACTCAGTGGTAGACTCAATTTAAAAAAAGTAAAAAGAAAAGGGAAAGTTCATGGGTCTTCATTCATGCCTAACAAGAGAAGTTAAGAATATATTTTTTTACCCCAACTCCCACAACCGATGAATATTGGCAACTTTCAGTTTAGTTACGACCTTTCTCTAAAATGGAGTTATGGCCAGCACTGCCCACACCTGCTTGATACCTGCTTGATGGGGTTCTGTGAGTTCTACTCCCCAAGCCCAGCCCAGGCCAGACTTCACTTATGAGAGCTTGGTCCAACAGGCTGTTGCTTGGAGCAGCCTGCAGGCCCACATTTTTACCACAGCCCGGTTGGTCCGGCATTTCTAGAAGAAAACTTTTCATTTTCTGGAAATTTTCTTTGTACCCTGAATTATGTTTAATGGCCTCATTTTTACCATACCCGAGTACCTGAAATTTATCCCTGTTAAGCATCATGTTATTTTCTGCTGCCCAATTGAAAACTTTATTAATATCCGTTTGTAATTTTTCAACGTCTTCAGCAGAGGTAATTTTCATGCTGATTTGTGTCATCTGTAAAGGATGATACAAAGCTGTGACTTGTATTTTTGTCTATATCCGATTTGGGAATAAGGAAAAGCAGTGGTGCAAGGACTGCATCCCGAAGTACAAAGCTTATAACTGCGCTTGGACTCAATTTTATATAGTTGACTGTTACTCCGTGTTCTGTTCGACAGAAAATTGAGCATCCACCGTCCTACTTTACCAGTTATTCCTATTTACCTCATTTTGTGTGCTATCACTCCATGGTCACAGTTATTGAATGCCTTTGCAAAGTCCGTGTATACCACATCTGCATTCTGTTTTTCTTCTAATGCCTCAGTGATTTTGTCGTAGTGATCAAGTAGCAGTGAGAGGCATAATCTTCCCGTTCTAAATCCATGTTGGCCTGGGTTGTGGAGATCATTGGTGTCCATGAAATTGGTGACCTGACTCCTGATCACACTCTCAAATATTTGCATTATGTGGGATGTTAGTACAACTGGTCTATAATTCTTTGCCAATGCTTTGTGCTCCCTCCCTTGTGTAGAGGGGCTATGTCTGCCGATTTAAGAGCATCTGGTATCTCCCCCATGTCCAAGCTCTTCCTCCACACTATACTGAGTGCCTATGCTACTGGCACTTTGCACAGTATCAATGGAGAGTACAATCCATTCCCCACCCCTCTTCCTATTACATTAAAATGGCAAAAAAGATGGACATATGAATACACATGTATGTCTGTATGTAGGTGTAGGCTTGTACACCTGCTACATACCTTCAAATTGTAAAACAGATCTTAAAACTAAATTTAATTCACAACTTTAATACTTCACAAAAAATAATTACAACATTACCCATGTAACTGAAACCCATTTCCTATATTGGTTTCTAATATCAGATTTTCCAACTCACCTAAATTCCTGAACATCATACACTTTTCCATTAACCACAATCCATAAGCCTCCATCTTTGTTGTGATTTTCTAAATCAGCTTTACGGATTACTGGCATTTCCTCTGTTTGTTTAATTGCATTAACTGAAACAAAAAATGTTTTATTGCAATCTATAGAGAAATGGTATTTTGAACCATACAAAATCTTTCAAAAATTTATGTACACAGTTCTATATTTCACTAGTCATATACACAAGTTAACTGCTACATACTGATGACCAAACCACACCAGTAAAGGAGGAGACAACGACGTTTCGGTCCATCCTGGACCATTATCAAGTCGATTATCAAGTTGATAATGGTCCAGGACGGACCAAAACATCATCTCGTCTTCTGGTGTGTGTGTGTAGATTGGTCATCATATCAGCTACATTAGTGTGCCTCATTGTCTGCATACTCTTCTTATGTTTAAATTTTACACAGTTTTCACGTGGCATGTCTCCTTGTAAACAACCGTTCATATTTCCAATAATTCCTTCTTACCAATAATTCCAGGCCAAGCCATATCTTCCGTATCTTCTCTGTCGGCACCCGGAGCAAGTTGATTGAAGCGGTCAAGTGGTTCCAAAAGGCTCAACAGTGGAGAGATGAGGTCACAAGAGAGGACAACATTTGGATTGTGAACAGACACAACAAGCAGAGATATGAAGAGTTCACTCAGAAGTAGACCTGGTTACATGACAAAGAAATAGGCTTTTATTATTCACTGCTTAATATATAAACTACAGTATGTATCAACAATCCATTTGCAAGGTCTTGCAAACCCAAGCAGAGGATAAAGTTGCTATTGCTTTGCCACTTAAAAGTTACTGATATTCTAATTGTAGAAAAAATATAGCAACATTAGCTCCATCTGGAACCAAAACTATAGTTTGTCAGTTGCTGAATGTATAATCCACAGGTAGGTGTTCAGCCACCATTGTGCTAGAATTCAAATAGTTTTATCACAAACTTAAAAAGGGATTTCACAGTATAAATATGTACATTATGTTTATAATATCCTAAATAAAAGGCATCCACAAGTATTTTAAACAGGATATCTTAAAATCTGTAGTAAGTTCATTTATAATGTAATCCAGTGTCAGTGTGTATGAAGTTCGGACCACGTCATGTCCTATGGTCCTGTAGGTTGAAGAATGTGTCAGCAGGTAAGCAACCACACAGCAGGTAGGTAGGTAGGTGTAAATGGGGTGTGTCAGCTGCGGGGTGTGTGTGTGGGATGCGGGGTGTGTGGGATGCGGGGTGTGTGTGGGATGCGGGGTGTGTGTGGGATGCGGGGGGTGTGTGGGATGTGGGGGGTGTGTGGGATGTGGGGGGTGTGTGGGATGTGGGGTGTGTGTGGGGGATGCGGGGTGTGTATTGCAAACGTGTCAGATGCAGGTGACTGCACATGTGTTGGATGCAGGTTGTAACATCTAAAGAAGGCCCCCTTCCTGTCTGGCTTTATGTGGCCCTCTATTTTCTCAACCTCTCTCCCTATTTGCTACTCCCCACCGTTTGTGTAAGTCATGGGATCAGTATGTCAGCCCACTTGGCACCCCCCCCCCCCCAACAGCAGTGAAAATGTCACTAGGTGTAAACACACTTCTTAATCATCTTGCTATCACCTCTGTGAGCAATAACTATAATATCTTGTATGCCCACATACTTGAGTCAGCATAGTTGGTCACTGGCATGATGGGCGAGACCTCGCCTGGCCTCAAGGGATACCGGGATATATCAAGGGATATATTCATTACCATAGAATAGGAATTTCTAGAGTAAGTTACAATTGATATTCAATAAATCTGAGTAAATTCAATAGCAAGCCTTATAGGTCTACCAAGCCTGGTTGACCTTAGGCTTATAGACGGAGGTTTGCAGATAATAAGACCTTCAAAGTAATAAACAACTTATGAATTTAAGTTGATTATTGGTGATAATTTATTCAAGTTCCCAAGACATCATCAACAGAAGTCTTCAAGGAATTCCTCCTCAGAGTGGCCAGGGTTACCCCCTCCCCCCCATGAGCTCTGGTGTTTCACTGCAAAGTAATTATCCAAGACTCTCACTATTCTAGTAAACTTGCAATTACCATGTCATAGGGGTAGTGGCAGCTAAGAACTGTTATTTCTAGTACTGTATAGATAACCTTGGCATATCATCTACTGTAAGTATGCTCAGGTTCCAGCTCCTCATGCCTGCAGTTTGCTGTGGTGGGTGACTATAGTGTTTAAAGCGGTTAGTATAATACTTTGTACACCATTATTTCCAGAGTGCAGTGCTACAAGGTGTTTGCACACATGTTGGATGGGGGTGTTTAATGAAGAGTGGAGGGAGAACCTGTATACATTTTTATTTAATTCTGCATCATTTTTAGTCACCTCACCAACTTGTAGTTTCTTTGTTTTGCATGAAACTTGTTAAAACTTACTTTCAAGCATACAAGGACAAATTTATTTCAAACAAATAACCCACATACCTGTTATGTCTCTTTGCAAGATGGTGCAGGTAAGAGCTGTGAGGCGAGTATTGATGGTGGCCAGCGAGGTAGCGATGGAGAGAGTATCCGAGACATGGCCAACAAGAAGAGATAAGTACTTCCTTAGTAGCCACCCTGCTCCCTCAACTTCACTCTCTGCAAATAAAACATCTGCCTTACTTTAAATTCATGCAAAGGTCATGATTCAAATTCAGCCAAGTCATGACCTAATAAAAAGAAGATTAATTCAAGGCAATTAGGCAAGAAAAAAACACACACACTAAAATTATACAGTACTGTACATAAAAAGATAATGCCAAAACACTCAAATTTTCCTGTACAATAAATAAATAAATGTTTAAATAAATGTTTATTCAGGTAAAGTACATACATACAAGAGGTTTTACAAAAATTGATAGATTTATAGATAGAGCTGGTACATACAATGCCTAAAGCCACTATTACGCAAAGCGTTTCGGGCCGTTATAATCCAATTCAACTTTTCATCTGCTTACCTTGCATAATGTGTTTTGGACTAACATTGCTCTCCACAGGAAACAGTTGGCTCACTAACAATCTTTGAAATCTCAAGAGCAACTGAATTGAAGGGGATAGTTCCCCTTGGATTCCTGAAGCGGCACCAACCAAGGCGCCATTCCTTTCACCATGTCCATCAAGCAGCACAGCCGACGATATCATAGACATACTATCTGGGGCAATAGCCTGTAATAAATTGGGCCAATTAAAAATATCTACAATACAATTCATTTATAACAAAAAATTCAGTATTTATTATATTTATTTATCAGCTCTGAGAAGAAAGGAAAGCCAGAGAAAACAAGGTTAAATATATTAAAATTACATCAATCCACTCACCATTTATAAAATAGGCTGTGTGAACTGTGAGATATATATATGGGAATGATCTACCGGAGAAAGCAAATCCATTCATGATACTATTTGTAGATGATCCTAAACTAATGAGGAGAATAAAAACAAGTGACTGCAGAATGCTGTACAAGATCCAAAACAGGATTCAAGTTTTTTCAGATATCTGGCTACCCATTTTCAACACTAGTAAATGCAGTTATAAAGAGAAGAGGGGGAAAAAAAGAAAGAAAAATATTAGTGCAGCATGTGCAATATTAGCAATATAAGACAAGCTTTTCAAAGCTTAAACAAGATGCCTTCAGAAAAATACATAGAGCCTACAAATATGTTAAACCAGTCCTGAATGAGGGAAAAAAAATATTTAATAAAATCCAGAGATTTGCTGCAAAACTGATAAAAAGAAATACAAGATCTGAACCATGAGGCTCAGATTAAAATATATTGCTAAGAGTGGTATTTTATATGCAAGCCTTTTTGCACTTGCACCAAGATAAAAATACAATAAATAAATACAAATATAATTTAAACCTGAAAAATTAAACAGATCCCAGCGACTTTAATATGCTTCTCTTCTTGCTGTTAACATTAAATTTTACTGCTATCCCTGTCTTAAAATTAAAACACTGTGCATAATCACAACAAAAACTTTGGCCACTTCTGAAACACTGCTTTGCTTCACACAAATAACTAGAATCTTTAAGATAAAGCACTGTCCAGAAATTTTCTTTTTGTTCAACATTTCCTAAAGCCTATTAGCGTCTTTTAATCGATACCCACAAACTACAGAATAAATGAATTTACGTAAATTTACCTGTAATCTCATCAGTGTTTGAGTGGAGGCATTTCTCAACAGTTGGCGAACTAGATGCAGAAGTGGCAGAGTTGCCGACTGGTCATCAGACATGGAGTTGTCACACGAGCGACGGGAAGAGGCAGCCTCCGCCCTCATGTTCTTCCTCGGGCTTACATTGGAGCCCGCAGCAACACTGTTACTGCTGCTGATGGTACTACTTTGGGCCACTTTATTCTTTTCAGTCCACTCAGCCTCTTGAACTTCAACTAATGCAGAAGGGAAATATATATATTTACCCCATTTTAATCTGCTACAGTACTTAGCCTATCTGATCACTAGTAACAGAAGGTATGATAATGATATAAGCAAGTAACTTATGAAAATACTAAACTTAGGCAGAGACTGTATGGGAGCAGTTATTCCTGGAACCACAATGACAGTTTCCTTCAAGACTTCCATTATAAACAAAAATTAGAATCTTGGAAATTATGAGAAAACACTAGGGAGGAGGAATGGACAGAAGGAAAGGGAGGAAGTGAGGGAAAGGGAGGAAGCAAGGGAAGGAGAGAGAGGGAATAAGTGAGGGAAGGAGAGAGAGGGAGGAAGTGAGGGAAGGAGAGAGAGGGAGGAAGTGAGGGAAGGAGAGAGAGGGAGGAAGTGAGGGAAGGAGAGAGAGGGAGGAAGTGAGGGAAGGAGAGAGAGGGAGGAAGTGAGGGAAGGAGAGAGAGGGAGGAAGTGAGGGAAGGAGAGAGAGGGAGGAAGTGAGGGAAGGAGAGAGAGAGAGGAAGCAAAGGAAGGGAAGGAGAGGGAGGTAACACGTTGGTCATTTTGAGTTGGAGTGATCATATCTCGTGATCCCCTGGCATCTTTTATGATCTTGCAGGGGCCGTTTCACATGTTCTTAAGGGCCAACACTGAGAATGGCCCCATGGTAACTTGTCACAGTCCTTGTCCAGTGGACATATTAATTCTTATTTTAGAGGGCAATTGAATGTGAATAGCTAAGAAAACAGACATGACAAAATCATACGGCAATGATACAATTGGGGGATACCTAATAATGATTGATAATGACTGAAAAAAAATGATTGTAAAAACTTTACACAAAAATTTTTCTACACAATTCATAGTCTTCAATTCCTCTCCACATCGTTAAGATTTTCCTCGCCTTTTTATTAAGTACTGCATTTGGATTTGGTTTATAATAAATGTTATATATCTTTAACCTTTTACATCATGAGATGCATACATACACTTAATAGCAGCACTGAGAGCCATTTCAAGGCCTCCGTCAGCCATCAGACTTGATACCAGCAGATCGATCATAAATCTTCGGCCTGAGCTCATACTAGAGATGTCCGATCCTGGAGAATAAAGAAAAGAACAAATTAAGATTAGGAATTAAGATTATGAATTAAAATTAAGATCGAGACATATTAAGAAAACCAGGGGAGACAGGAGAGGGGAATACAGGAGGAGGATGTAAGGGAGGGGAGGATGGGGGAGAGGAGGGGGGAAGGGGGAATGGGCAACTGTACCATGTTGAGTAATTCTTTGAGAACCTGTCGTCTCAAAAGAGAATTCAAGTAATTCAGGGAAGTTTCCTTGCAGTTTCTCCCTGAATTTTTGGAGGAACAGTATTTTCTTCTACCACCTCCATTTATCTTTTATGCTTTATGATTTATTAAACCGATAAAATTGTGTTGCAGCCTAAAAGATACGTATGCCAATTACTGTTAAAACACTTAATCTCCTCAGAGGTGGAGAGTGCACACAATACAGCGGACACTTTCCCAATGGATTGCAAAACTGAGGTGACAGAATGTGAAATTAGTTGCATTTGGGTGTCTGGTGTGCCTAAAAAGTTCCTCGCCAAACTCCAAGATTTTCAGTGCACATTCACCCAAAGAGCCAAGGGTTTCCGAACATAATGGTAAAAACATGTAACCATGTACTATGCTCATGTACCTACTGGTTTTCAGGGTCTCCTAAGAAGTAGCAGCTCCACCACCTTCAGCTAAACTATACTGTAGAGGCATCACCTAATGTAGATCCATATGTGAAGTCCTAGACAAATTATTTACCATTCCCCTCCAAGGTTGCAGTGATCCAATCTGGATGCTTCTGAGTATTGTTAGGGCTGCACCTTTAGGGTTATCTCTGTGTTTAATTCTTGACTGAAACTAGAATAATCTTTATGTCATTCACCGATTCATGCCTGGCACGCCTTCGTTCTGACTTAATTAAGACAGACAAGTCCATGGTGGCCATATATACCTGTTGATGCATTGCTCCAGATACTCCTTTGCTTGATGGAGATAGAGGCAACATTAAGGGCCTGATATTAATTATTTAGTTGAGAAGTGATTAAAAGAGGAAAATTTACAACACATTTTATTAAACTGCCAGAAGGCATTTGATAAAGTTCCCAAAAAATACTTATTTGAATAATGGAGAAAAGGGCTTGAGTATCTAGGAAAATACAATACAAGGAATGCAATAAATAATGCAAGTTACAATACCCATGTAACAAGTGAAGCCCTAAACAATCAATCCAGAGACGTTTGTAAAATATACAGTATTGTGAGTGAACAACCAACCTAGAGGTATAGAATCCTCCATCTCTGTAGATAAAATGAATTGCTAACAAATTAAAGGCAACTAGGAGTGGGAGCAGTGGTGAGACATATGTATAAAAAAAAAAGGAACAGCTAGAGTTAGCAAGATAAAATGACTTGGGGTGGGTATCACATTAATCTACTCTCTGAAGTGCAAACAGGTAAATATGCAAGGTTGGCAACTGTAACATTTCTTATAAATCTAAATAAGGAACCATCCATGGTACTGCATGCAACAAATAGAAGCTCCATACTTAAATAGCAGAAGTCAACACCTGCCACCAACAGCAAGAAGGGCAGAACCTAAAGATACAAATCTGTTGTTGTTGTTCAAGATTCAGCTATTCGGAACAAAAGTTCTACGTAGCGCGGGCTATGGAGAGCCCGTCATCCAGATCTTGCTCCTTGAAGACTGACAGTTTGAGAATCTCCAAAGACTTTTCCAACAGGCTGGTTCCAAAACTAAGGACCTGAGCTATGAAACTAGGCTAAGTTATGCTAAATTTCACATTGGACAAGAGAAATCTCAGAGAAGGCATGGTCAAAACAAACAAGACGCTGTCATATTGACAAAATGACCAAGGGCAAGCTGTTTGAAAAGGATTTGACCAGGATGAGGAGACACACACACAAGGGGTGGGACCAGATGAGGGAACACACAAGGGGTGGGACCAGATGAGGGAACACACAAGGGGTGGGACCAGATGAGGGAACACACAAGGGGTGGGACCAGATGAGGGAACACACAAGGGGTGGGACCAGATGAGGGGACACACAAGGGGTGGGACCAGATGAGGGAACACACAAGGGGTGGGACCAGATGAGGGAACACACAAGGGGTGGGACCAGATGAGGGAACACACAAGGGGTGGGACCAGATGAGGGAACACACAAGGGGTGGGACCAGATGAGGGAACACACAAGGGGTGGGACCAGATGAGGGAACACACAAGGGGTGGGACCAGATGAGGGAACACACAAGGGGTGGGACCAGATGAGGGAACACACAAGGGGTGGGACCAGATGAGGGAACACACAAGGGGTGGGACCAGGATACAAAGTCACACGAGTGGTTGATCTAAGTTACGAGCAAGCAGAATGCACAAAGAGTGAAACGAGTGAGGGATAATTTCACACACACATCCCAATGTATATATGGCAGATCCGATGAGACTAGAAACTTTAAATAATGGTCAAGATGATGGAACTAGAACTCTCTCCATCAACACAATTAAAAAAACACTCGTATTACTTTGAATATAAGTTTTATCTTAAATACGGCAATGTAATGCCAACTCAAGTACAAAATGCAAAAGTACTGTACAAACAATAATGAAAGGAAATCTAGTACCTAAACCAATACTAAGAGTTCATATATTTTTTTTATAAACACAGTAAATAGCCTAGTCAGGTTGCAAGCAACCGCATCAAACAGCCTGGTTGACAAGACCACTAACCAGGATGTCTAGTCCGCGACCGTGCCGCAGGGGTATTGATCTTCGGAATCATCAACAAGTACGTGACAAGTAGTATTTGGAGATTTTAATTGTAATGCTAACTTTACTTGTATTAACACTAGTCATCAGAATTACCATGACAAATTGTGCATCACACAGTCTTAACTGGTACGGTACTTTACACAAAACAGAATCTTTAAAAATTAATCTTGAGCCCTGTATTCATTTACTTCTCTGTACAGTATTTCACTTGCGCTATATATATAAAAATTAAATAGGAAAAGTCATCATAAAAAAGAATTGATAAGAGAAAAAAAACTAGCAGCAGTACAAATTAATACCTGTACTCGGAAGGAGAGAGGACAGTGCTTTTGCTCTTTCTTCTGCAGTAGGTAATAAAATGGACCAGCCCGTCTGGAGAGTGGCCTGTGCAGCAACCTGGAACCAAAAGCAAAGTGTCACCTATAAATTGAATTTAAGAACTAGATACGTTTCTAGTGCAGCTGATCAACGAGGCATTCCAATCCCCTACACTAGGCTTATTTCATAACACAAATGGTGTTTATGGGGAAGTGAGACCTAGCTTCCTATGTCCCACTTCCTAGCCTTTTGTACATGATGTGATTATTACCTCCAATGATACTCAGGTTCTGCTTCATTTTTTATTTAAGTTGTGAATGAATGTGGCTTTTCAGCAATAAAAATTAATTAGGGGCAAGACATTACACAGTTTTTTAGTGGCAATTTTGAATAACAGGGTTATAATAAATAGCACACATATACAATTAGATACCCTGAAAGTAACAACTATTACATTTTGAAAGCACTCATACTTTAGGCATAAACTAAGAAATTCACTTGCAGACAAGGAGTCACAATAACGTGGCTGAAGATATGATAACCAACCCACACACCAGAAGATGAAGAAACAACAACGTTACGGTCCATCCTGGACCACTATCAAGTCGCATACGATTGATAATGGACCAAGACGGACCGAGACGCTATAATTTCTTCAACTTCTGGTGTGTGGTTTGGTCATCGTAAGGAATTCACATTTCAAATCAACTGCTCAGGTGATCAATGATACAGAATGGAAACCTTGAAGAAAAAATAAACTGACTCATAAGATAACCCTGACTGGGAATATCTAATAAAAAAGCACATAGTAGCATGAGATGGCTGTTATGAATTCATATAAGTTCAGAAATATTAAAATACAGTACTGTCAATATCTTATGAACAAATTTTAACATTTTTGCTTTTCACTTCATTGAACTTCATGTTCCAATGACTCGTTCGTGTGTCATCAGATACAAAACATCCTCAAATTGTATTATTAATCAATACTTATGAATCATGATTATTTACTTTGCAGACCTGACTTCTTTTCAAATGAACCTTTATTCCTATACATTACTGAGCTTAAATCCATTCATTTCCAAACATTTTAATACCAAAAGCCATGTTCTAAGCCAATAAATTCTTTAGGAAACCAAAGAACTGGAATAAACTTTTGAACATTTTGCACCTCCTATAGTTAATAGTTCTGCTCACAAATTACAGCTCTCAAAATGTACTGCAGAAACATTAAAACCAAAACCAAAATTGTCTACTACAGCACCATAGGTCAATCATTTATGACCATTTAGATAAAAAATACTTGTGAACATAAAGTATTGTGTGATGAAGAAACAACTATAAACTTTAGCCAAATCAGCAGCACCTCACACAACCAACATGGTTTTATCCAATTTTCTCGGTGCCTATTCTCAGAAATGTTTGTATCAAAATAAGTAACAAGATGACAACCTGCGTGCATGCATGCGCAAGTTTGTGTGCTCGTGTGCATTTGTTTGTTTGTTTGTTTTACCTGTATTGTAGGCAAGACTCCAGAACTGCTGGCCAGATTGACGACTCTCTGCTTCAGGCTGCCTAGGAGTGATGAGCCAACATGTAAACCAATGCTGTCAACATCGGTGTGGTTCTGTACAGCAGAGTGAAGCTGGACAAAAATATATAAAAAATTATTAAAAAAACATTATTGATATAAGGTAATCAAAAACACGGGACATGGAAAACTTATTAAATAGAGTACTGTATGGAGGAAATATGATAAGTTTAATGAATAGAGAATTAGTACAAATTAAATATTTAGAAGTTCAATAATGATGAGCTTTTTTTTGTGAGTGAACCATTAACACAAATTAAGCTTCCAGTATATATGAAAAGATCTTTTTTTAACAAGACACTGTTGCTTCATAAGGCAAGAGTGTACTGGTCCAGTAGTTTCTTGAGCAGTCAGTGGAGTTGCTTACCTTTCAATGATTTCGGGGCTCAATTTCCCCATGGCCCAGTCCTTGGCCAGGCCTTCTTATAAGGCAAACCAATATTCTGTACTAATGTAGTAGGTATCATCAAGAGGCCTGACAGCTGAACGGATAGCATTTGGGATTTATAGTCCTGAGGTTCTGGGTTCGATCCCCGGTGGAGGCAGAAAAATTGGGCAGAGTTTCTTTCATCACCATGATGCTTCTGTTCACCTAGCAGTTAATAGGTACCTGGGAGTCAGGCAGCTGCTACAGGCTGCTTCCTGGGGGGGGGGGGGGGGTGTAACAAAAAGAGGCCTGGTAGAGGACTGGCCTGTGGGGACGCTAAGCCCCAAAATCATCTCATGATAACATAAATCATCTCAAAAGTCCGCACTGGGTGAGACATAGCAGGAGATACTGGAGAATACTCAATCAGGCATGATCTCTTATGGTCAAGCTGAATCAGCTGCATGTGTTTCCTTGTGTCCATAACCTGCACTAGATGTTTGCCATACTAAAGGTGCTCTTAGTATAAAGGTGCTCCAGTATATTAATAAAATTTGGATACCAAAGGGCACCTACCTTGAGGCTACCTTGAGGTGCTTCCGGGGCTTAGTGTCCCCGCGGCCCGGTCGTCGACCAGGCCTCCTGGTTGCTGGACTGATCAACCAGGCTGTTAGACGCGGCTGCTCGCAGCCTGACGTATGAGTCACAGCCTGGTTGATCAGGTATCCTTTGGAGGTGCTTATCCAGTTCTCTCTTGAACACTGTGAGGGGTTTGCCAGTTATGCCCCTTATGTGTAGTGGAAGCGTGTTGAACAGTCTCGGGCCTCTGATGTTGATAGAGTTCTCTCTCAGAGTACCTGTTGCACCTCTGCTTTTCAACGGGGGTATTCTGCACATCCTGCCATGTCTTCTGGTCTCATGTGGTGTTATTTCTGTGTGCAGGTTTGGGACCAGCCCCTCAATTATTTTCCACGTGTAAATTATTATGTATCTCTCCCGCCTGCGCTCAAGGGAGTACAGATTTAGGCTCTTTAGTCGGTCCCAGTAATTTAGATGTTTTACTGAGTGGATTCTAGCAGTAAAGGATCTCTGCACGCTCTCTAGGTCAGCAATTTCTCCAGCTTTGAAAGGGGCTGTCATTGTGCAGCAGTACTCCACTCTAGATAGCACAAGCGTTTTGAAAAGTATCATCATCGGTATAGCATCTCTAGTGTGAAAAGTTCTTGTTATCCAACCTGTCATTTTTCTTGCAGTTGTGACGGCTACTTTATTGTGTTCTTTAAAGGTAAGGTCTTCCGACATGAGTACACCCAGGTCCTTTACATTGCCTTTTCGTTCTATGTTATGATTTGCCTGCGTTTTGTACGTGGTTCCTGTTTTTATGTTTTCAATTTTTCCGTAGCGCATGAGCTGAAACTTATCCTCGTTGAATACCATATTATTTTCTGTAGCCCATAGAAAGACCTGATCTACATCTGATTGGAGGTTTGCCGTGTCCTCTATGTTGCCAACTCTCATGATTTAACAGATTACAGCACTAACAGATTTAAAGCATGATACAAACAAATTTTTCAACCACATCTGAAAATGTGACAATCACCTCCAAATAAAATACGTAGCTCCAAAATTCTCTACAACTGATTCCACTTTGTCAAGCAGGCCATACCTCAGGTTCAGACAGGCTGCAGTTTGCTTGTGAATCATGTTAGACAGCCTAGCCCTAACTTAATCAAACCCTAGGATAAAGATGGACAAGGAAAATGTGTAGATTGAAACCATGCATTAACATCTCTGCCATGGTACAATGTGAGTGAATAGCACCGAGTACTGTACTTCCACACACTAAGGCGATTGACAACAGGTGAATCCCATGCAGAGCCCAATAATGTCCTCCCATGCTCTGGAGGACTAAGGTCCAAAAAGCAGCCATGAATATACCAGCATGTTCAAGAGCAGATCATTGCAGGTGCACACCCCAGTACTGAGAGAATTAATCTGGGAAAGAGCCCAAAGACAAATTACTTGTATCCATGCTACTTCACTTGTTCCATACTATGTAATGTTGCTGCTTATATGCAATATTTTGCTAATACCTCTAAAGCCATTTGAAAGCATGAAGCTCACAAGATGGATAGAGCACATTAAGGCATATTTGCTTCTGGCTATTATTTCAAGTTTAAAGTGCAAAACCTTTAACAGAAAAGTAAAATAATGGCTAAAACAAACAGAAATATATATACACTTGCCTGTAACCTCAGTAGATTCAGCCCTGAAACTACCATACACTCCTGCTCTTGAGATGGAATACGATCATCAACTAGTCCTTCTCCGACGCGTGCCAAGAGGTCATTTAGCCTAACAAAAGTTTCTTCACAAATTTCCACTACATATGGGATTCGTGTGGATACTGACCATGACATTTTGGTGCTCCAAGCAAAAGTCTGAAAAAGTGCAAGATGAGGAAATTTAGTTTCAAAGAAATTTTCTCCATATAGTTTTTAACCATTATAAAATATATTATTGAACTTTTTCTTTATCATTAAAACAAATTGAAAAATCATAATACCTGCAAGCTCTTTGTAAAATGTACCACATAAAGCAACTAAACTTCTCTGGCATTACAAAGTTCCATCTGGTTTCTTGTCTCGATATTATACCCAAAATCCAATTTAATTTTTCCATATTGAAATTTAACTTACTGTAGTTTCCTTTAAATATTATTTCTGCAGATCATCCAACACAGCATACTGAGAATCTTGGAAAAGCATAATCTATAATGTCTCAAAGGAAAGCTATTATCCAACACCAAGGTGACTAACAACCTGCTTAGCAGCCAAATAACTAGTAATTAGTTACATAAGCCACCGGCTTCCTGTCCCTCGTCGAGGCCACTAGATAGATGGTGGCTCTCAGGTATACTCTGCTAACTGATTAATAAGCTGACCAGCCATCCAACAAACTAGCACATTAAGAAATCAATCAACAAACCACCTAGCAATTAACCATTCAATTAAAAACTCAGTTAACCTATTAAACCTTTTCTAAATTTCTGAAGTGGTTCAAAATGTCATAATGCAGATCAATTTTCAACTTTGCTCAAGTTTTGATTATCCGAGGTAATTGATTTGAAAGTGCCTCAGTACATATTCATCAACTTTATTCAAGTCATTATTCAAGCAGTGCATGCATAAGCAGTAAATTTACAGCCAATGTGTGGACAACTTGAATTTATGTAAGGATATAAAACCCAAGAAGATTACAACAAATGGAACAAAAATAATCAGCATTGTAACATGCATAACAGAACATTTAAACCAAGAAATATTTATCAACAAATGTCTACAATAGACTGTCCACAGACCATCCTGCATCAAGATGGGATAACTGTAATAAGGAAGATTTGGCTAGTAATAGAGGAAAATAGACACAGAAACCACAATAGCGTGATGCATCAAATGAACAAATGCATAAGGGTGGTGATGAGCGTTCGAGCCTACGTCTGGGATGATCCCAGATGCGCCTCATCACGGCCCTTGTGGATTTGTTCAAAGGAAAATAGCCTTTATATTGTACAATATATTACCAGCTGCAAAATTTTAACATACAGTATTAAAATATTCTGTCTTTTGAAATATAAAGGAAATCAGAGCCACTAACAATACATCACATTTTATTTTACTTACTTGAGATGGTCCACAGGCAATTCCAATGATATTCTTGCCCTGTAGAGAAGACATGGGTGTTGGTTCTGCCAAAGCAACGTGTGGCGAGTCTCCTAGCTGAGCCTGATCATTGCGACCCCACACATATACTTCCCCATCCTCTGTCAAAGTCACTACATGCATGCATCCCACACCCACTTCACCAACCTTCTTGCCTGCAACATTAAAACATTGGTTTCAATATCTACTAAAACAAGTAACAGAGTATAGCAAACAATAAAATGACATTATTGTCTACTTAAATATATCCTATGAAGTGTGTCATAATATCGTGGCTAAAATTAATGGACACATAACCCGAGCAATAAATAATGTAAAAGGTGATGATACTTCAGTCACTTTATGTCAATTAAATGTCCAGTTATACTGTATTCCATAATACATATATTCCATAATACAGCTTTTTAATGTCATATTTAGGAGAAAGCTATTTGGCCATAACAAAAAGATTAAACTGCTAAGCTATAGAATATTAATTGGAATTGGTATTAACACCTGATATGACTTGCATTGTTGAATTAATATTTATAAAGAACAAAACCATTGTCTTCATACCAGCTAAAGCTTTTACTTGTTTCGGATACCGTACATGTTCTTCACTGTTGTGGCCAAGACGATGGTTGTCACCTTTTCCCCAAGTAAAGAGTGACCCATTTTTGCTAAGTGCAAGAGAAAACTGAGCACCACAGAAAACTCGACACACCTCCTGACCCTGGGCAAATATATTAAAACAAAAAATTATTATTCATATTTCAGAAGCCATCTTTATTCATTATGAAAGAGCTTAGTCTATGCATAACATATATTAGTCTGAATTATGCACATTTTCAACAAATTCAAAAATAATACACAGCCTCAAATAAGTAAGCATTATGTATAATCTCAACAAAGTTGTATATCCTGTACTTTTTCCTTCCACAATTACAAAAATAATGCAAAACAGCATTAACTAACTTGCAGTTTATCTACTAGTTTTGGAACTTTTGAGCCATCTGATCCACCACGTCCTAGTTTTCCATAATCACCATCACCCCAAGAATACACATTGCCCGAGTCTGTTACAGCAATAGTCTGAGCATCTCCACTTCCACAAGCAACATCAAGGACTCTTTCACCTGAAATGAGATAAGATCAAACATGACACATTAAAAAGCAGAGCCAATACTATGACTTCTTAACCAACCAAAAACACTTACAATGATAAAGCATCTGGAGCTGGTGACATTTATAATTGAGACAACATGACTTAAGAGAGGGAAAATCATGTCTGACAAGATCTGTATAGTTCTGGCATTTTAAAATTAAAATGTCGTTATAGCATTTTAAAGTTTAGACTACTAATATCAGTTTAGGCAGAAAAAGAGTAGTCATCCAGCATGCAATAACGTAAACAAATAAATGCTTCCAAAGAAAAGTGTTCTAGATCCCTACTCGGAGATGTCGCACCTTTCAATGCTGTGACAAGTGTGGGAGTGCTATGATCATCAGATGACCCATGGCCGAGCCTTCCATAGTTTCCTCGACCCCAGGTATACAGTTCACCTTGGCTGGTAATGGCTGCACTGTAGGTTGATCCACAAGCAATGGACACCACTGTTTTCCCTTGTAATTCCTGTATGAGAGTTGGCTCTTCCCTAGAGCTACTGTCCCCATGCCCGAGACGACCCCCATCTCCATTTCCCCAGGAGTATACCTGCAAGGCAAAAATAGCAACAAAACCATATATTTATCAATACAGTATATAAAATTTCAAATTATATATGAAAAGTCAAAGCCTGTGAAAATTAAAATCATAATTCAAATGTATTAAATTGAAATACTGTATATATTTTGCTACTGTACAGAATGAAGGCCTGCCAGAGTATCATGCTGTACATATATCATTTTAAGCTCATCTTGACTCATGTTGAACTTGGCATCACAAATTTACTGAAAGAATCTTATTTAAGAATAAGACCAATGAGGAATTAAGTATTTATGTTTCAAACATTTTATACAGTAGTAAAGTTTTTGCTTTAATCCCTGGCTGCACAGCTATTAATAGCTGACAACTCCTCAGTGTGCAAGAAGAAAAAAGTATATATTTTTCTAATATTGTTAAAATGTGTTCCCTGTTCACAGAGGGAAAAAAAAAAACATGTCTGACATATTTTGGCCGAGACAGGGCAAGGAAGTGTGGCAAGATACAGGTGCAGACAGAATATGT